GGGGGGGGGGGATTATGACTTGCCAGGTGCAAGCAATGACAAAGATTTCAGAGTTGGGTGAAGAATAACCTTTCAGATGCGAAAACATCCACGACAACTACCAACGCTTGTTAGCTATAGTTATATGCCTCTACTAAATATGTTCTCCTTAACTCCAGACCAGGGATAACAACGCATGCCAATGAAATGAGGGGAAAATAGCTGTCACCAAAACATGATTGCCGCAAGCTATGAACATCTAGGAAAATATGAATGGAATTTGGAAAAAGAACGGAACTAATAACAATGGGATAGACAAAATAACAGTGTCCAAGATGCAGAATCAATCCCACAGATATTTACAAACCTGAAGAACAATGATTAAAATAGAAACGAGGAGGGAGAAAGAAGCGCATTGGAGTTCAGAAAGCACTTGAGTGCATCAGCAAGTGGATGGACAAGTTCGGACGATGAAGTCCTTTGTATGGAGCCCGATATTAACTAGCAAAAACACCTGCTGGACAAGTCAGGGAATCAAACACCGAAAAACCGACTCAAAAAAGAGGCTGAGTTGGGAGCTGCCAGTCCAATTTGAATGTCGGCTTTCAGCTATTCATACCATTTATGTTCTTGCTGTTGTATTTTGTGAAGCAGCATACATGGAATGTGACAGCATAGAGTTTGCCTGGATGAGAGTTTTGATTGTAACTGCGATGAGAATATGACAGGTAGAAATAGAACCAAGAGTCCCACGAAACACAGCACGACTGCCGCTGCTTGGAGCCAAATAGTTAGTTACAACGTTCCACTCTGAATCTCTTTTCGAGGTCTACTTAATTTTCAACGACTTGGGCATAACTAACTGGTAGAAGCCCAGACAAAATGTCTCTTTCCTTTCATTCTGTCTTATTCCAAACTCATTTCGTTCATGGGTCTTTTGCATTTTCGTTGTATGTCAATGACCCAATTTAAACAACAACCCCCTGTTTGAACGCCTATGCCGGTCAGGTTCAGAACCACGCCCAAATGGACAATGTGGCTGCGGAATATGTAGGATCACCGAATGGACGAGTTCCGGACAAGCCAGGCCGATTTCCAATCAGTGATTAAAATACGAAGAAAAGGGGCTATTATCACCTCTCAGATCGCTCGGAGCTGTTGCCAGGTTTTATTCTTGACTTGTATTCGTGTGTGTATATATGAACGAGAATCAACGGCATTGCGGTTGATGAACCACATATCCAGATCTATATTGCTTAAATATTCCATGCCTGGCCACGGTAGCCATCGATCCAGTCAAATTTGAGCTCCCCTCGGGAAAAGTCTGAATATTGAGGAAATAGAGCTGCGTTCCGCGCTGAGCAGCCGTAAGGATTCAAGCCAGCATGCATAGTTACCCAGGCCCAACAAATTTGCCTTCAATTCACCCGTCAGTATTGTTGTTATTGTTATCCTTCACAAGGCCAAAGAGCATCAATAAGAACAAACGATCCAAGAAGATGACGATCTTGCACTTTCTTATCCCGTTTCTTACTCCATTTTTATTGGTTCGAATAAAGTCGACCGAATAGTCATATAGAGTGCGAAGCGGAGTGAAAATACATGTTCCCTATCCGATCGTCTTAAGATTGGCAGCCCTGTAGCCTTGCGGTGTCTTCAACCATGCAGCATGCATAAATACACGCCTAGCTCCAGATCTTACGATACGCCATCTTTGTAGGAGACAAGGAAAAGAAGCCACACAACTCGAGTGTCAAAGCCAATTGCCGCTCCGGCGAATTGGGATATTGTGATGAGGATGGGGATGGACGGGTCCTAGGTGCATGTCGTGCAGGATGAAGCAGCGGTATTCTTCCCTCTGTTTCAGAGACAGGGGAGAATAATCTAGGTATAGATATATAAGAGTAAATGTGAGAGGGACAGAGTGATTGAACCAAGCTTAATTCTATATAAGTTCTAGTCCGTTTCACACTTAATCTTATTTGGTTTCTCTTCTTCGGATTCTTCGTCTGTAAGCCTTTTTATGGGTGAGGGGCAGTTATATTTTTATAGCTCGAATAGAAAACGGACTTCGCCCGTAGGAAAATCACTTAGGTTACTACTTGATCCCAACGTAAATGGGGGCAAATTCCACGTTGAAAAGGCTGGTTATCACACGGTTGCAGCTATGTGACCAATCCACCTTTTTCATAATCCTTAATGTTTGTTATGCTTTATCTTGCACACCTGACTTAAGGCACTGCATCTCTCACCAAAGTTCAACAGCAAGCAAGCAAAATCAAGCAATCAAGCGGGGAGCTCTGCAACCTCTATTCATGGTTCGATCGTTCCCGTACCATCTCTATCCGCATTTCACACCCGAACTCGCATCCTCTAACCCCCCGTAGAAATAGACATTCGCGGGGCGCTCCCTGCATCAATAATACAGTATATAAAAATTAATTGACAGAACCGGGATGGATATTAGAAGCGACGTTCCGATACCGGTCCCCTTGCTTTTACATAGGATCGTCACCTACGACGCGATTGGCCCAGGAATGAAGAGGGTTACGTTGTGAGGGAAGTATATGGAACAGGAAGAGAGGAGCAGAGGTTATGGGTTTTGGGGGGGCAGAACCAAGGAGGGTATTGAAAGTAAATGAAAACAGATCCCATCTATGTTACTGGCGCATTGGAGGAGGGGCAAATAGGTAAATGGATGCAGACGTTAAGATATATCACCAATGGATAGAAGTGAGTGAGGCACCAATAGGAAAGAAGAAAAGAAAAAAAATAAGGAAGAGAAAGAGATACGGAAGGACATACAATTATTCTCTTCTCAGGCTATAGAATATAGAATTGAATAAAGACGGAGTGAGAATGCACTCCGTGCCCGGCCTTGAGATGGTAGATGCAAGGCTGAATAACTAGTGACCTACATACATGCATACATGGGACTGTACCTGTTTGAACGACACGACATGATGCAGGTATCCCGATACCCTGTTGGATCCCGACTTCTTGCCGAGGATTAATCTTTATTTATTTATTTATTTATTTTTGATGGCGCTTGGCTGGAAGACAAAGCCCGTGCAATCCTTCACCTCCTTCACCGATAAGCCAGTGAGGTAAAATAAAGGAAGGGATCATTGTAGAAAGAAAGGGTTTCCTAATGAATTCCTGGTCGGTATTTGCCTCGTTTGAAGAGAATAAAATAGGGATTAACCATGATCTTCATTGTTGACGTAGCAATGGATATTGTAAAGGAAACAAGTGTTTTGGAAGAGATTAATGGAACGTGTATCAAACCCTTGAAAGTGCGCTGTGCATTGACAGTAGGCAACTGATCGTCGACAGGATCTGGTGCATTTCCTCATCTGATAGTAAACTGGGGAGGAAGTCAACCGGGGTGGCTGGGATTTAATGAGGTACTTCATTTTCTAGTCTACTCTCCTTCTTCTTCCTCTCCTCCTCCCCGTCAGTTTGAATTGACACTCGAAGCTGTAACTCAAGAGGCCGTTCCATGCCTGCTTGAAAAGCATAATAACTGCTAATGTCGTAAACAGGCTTGATTCGTTTCTTATCCTGTTTTGTTTTTATATCGCACAAAAAGGCCATGCCCCTCGTGCGCCCGTTCCTGGGTTGAAGTGGGGGAATGGTGAGTAACATAGGACGGCCAGGAGAGGGACAGGAGAGGGACAGGAGAGGGGTCTGGTGAGAGGGTAAGTTCGTGTGCCACTCGGTAAACAAAGGAGTTTGTTTCCCACACAACTTGCACACACCTACACACACTAGAATTAACCCACGATTTCATGCTTCATGCTTCGGTAGGAAGAGCCTAAGAGGAAGAGAAGGAGAGGAAACAGGGCATATGTTAGCAGGGTTCGGGCTAACATGTGTGGTTTGATTTGGGTTCTTGGATCACTATCAATCTAGGTTCATGTCGTATTTGTGTCAGATGAACACAATATATAGGCATGTAAGGGCTGGAAGCATCGCATGTTTGTCCCCTCCTCGTGTTTTATGCACGATGACACAGAAGATTATGAAATGCTGCCTGAGTTGATTTCTGTGTGGAAGAAGGAGAAAAGTGAACAGGATAAGGAGATCATGAACATTGAAAAGATTGAGATAGTTTCGCTCCTCACTCCAAGGCGTCCCCCGTTGCTTTCCTTGGAAGACTCCGACGAGGTTGACCAAATTCAGTAAGCAGCATTGGTAGCTTTTTCCAGCCACCCCTCTATTCAGAAACCGAGAAAATGAATTTTGTTTTCACTAGACAGGCTTCGCATGTCGCTAGCCGGATTCTAGATGTTGAGGTTGAGCTGAGTCATTCCGTTTATGTTTGAGATGCTGTACGTAGTAATCTGCACCTAAACAGGAGTATTCTTGTACTCTGCGTGTGTTATTTATTAGCCAATTAGCCTTCCGTATCTCTTCTTTTACGTTCTGGGAGCTATCTCTCTCTCTTACTCACACACACACACACACACACACACACACACATTCACTTTCCTACAGGCGAGGTCTTCTGGGATGAAAGAGAGATGGGGAGAGAGAACGGAATGGAAAAAGGACCCTCCATCGTTTTACAGCTTGCAAGTGGCAAAATATATAAATAACCAACACTTGGGAAAATACAAATCGAATTAATTCCCCGAAAGTTGTCTTTCTGGAGAAAATCACTGCACTTGAGTAATAAAACGTAAATAAATAAAATATAAAAATATTAAAAAAAAATAGCCGCATCATCGACTGATCCTTGACTGCGCCATCAACGATTGCCAACGACTAGGGGGGGAAAAGAGCATTCGGGACAGGGATGGGGCATCCCAGAGAGCCAGAGACTTGACTGGGGCGCTGGGCGGCGCATCGATGGGCGCGCCACTGCCCCTAAGGGTAAGCACTTATAACTGCCGCGGATGTTGGTGGGATGGGCTGGGCTGGACCCGCGCCCAGCGACAGCCGCTATGTCTGGAATCAGTAACTCCACCCCTGTAGTGTGGACAGCGCCGCAGGGCCAATCCGATTTCGTTGACAAAGTTGACAAGGCTCCATCTCGGAATCCGGGAGTTAAAGACCAAATCCCTGAAAAAATTGGGGCCTTCACCAGGCGAGCGGGGCTGGAAAGTTTTGGGTCAGTAGGGTGTGCCTGGCGCCCTCCCAGGATTTCCCCCCAAGGATGGTTCAAATTTCTTGTTTCTTCCACGCAACTTATTAGTTCTGAAGAACTTATATCATGAGATCAAAACGGACTTTTCGAGACTCGAGAAGACTGTTTACTTTATCCATGATTGTCTCTTGAGTGTGGATGTTCACTTGATTTAGTTCGCATATCCGAAGGTTGTTCGTTCTCTCACAGCCTAGAGCCTGTGCTCCGCATCGCTGGGTTTTAGAAATGCGCTTATCAGAGTCTCCACAGCCATATATTTCTTTTTTCGTTTCGTGATCGTGTGTTTTTGGCCTCTCGCTGATAGATCTGCAAGATGGTCCAACGAAACGATCAACGATGCTGCTGACTACGGGCCTATTGCCCTATGGAAATTCTTTTAGTTCCTTTTTTTTGTTTATTTTTATTCTTTTTTTTTTTTTTTGGCGCTTGAAATTCGTAAGCTCTAAAACGATGCATTTCGGTTTTGTCGAGCCAGAGTGGGGAAAAATAAAGGATATAATGAGAAGAAGCAGTGAACAATCTGTTGTCCTTGTTAAAGATGAGCATCAAGAGGCAGTTGAGGAAAATAAAATCCTCCGCAGCCAGCAACCGTCAAATTATAGTCATAGTTATTTATTTGTATGAGAGGTAATGAACGAAAGCAGAGAGATACAGCAAACCGCGGTATTAATTTAATTTACCTTCATTTCAGCAGCTCCACGAAAACAGCTCCATGCCTCAAAACTCTTCTTAAAATAAATGGATGTAATATTTACAAGCTAATGATATAAATCCCTAGTGTAATAGCATAAAGCAGCAAAGAGCCAAAAAAAAAAAAAAAACACCAATCAAGAAAAAAGGGCGAATAGGATGAATAGGGTGAATGTACAGACCAGCAGGCCCAATCAATAACCTGTCAGCACTGTGGAGGCCCCAGTGGCGTTGTCTAGATATGTCGGGGCAGATGCAGCTCCTGTGACTCGAGCTGCTTTGGCAGAGTTTCTTGATATTTCGAAAACAGACCGAAGAGAAGAGAATCTGAGAGATTGTGAACAGCTGCGAGCAGCTGTGTGCCATAGCATACGAAGTACAGGCCCCGTACATTAGTCGTACTGGGCCAGCTGCGGCCGTTTTCTGATCCTTGATCATTCATCCATCCACCCATCCATCCATCCATCCATCCATCCATCCATACATCCATTCTCCATACTCCATAGTCCATACAGAGCTCCACAAGCTCTTTTAGTTGCTCCGTATATTATATTCTTAGAATATCTTCTCGACTCCCGTTTTGCCATTTTTCTTCCCCTCCCTCAAATGGTAGTCTTGTAGTGAGGAGTCTGCCAGTTGAAACATCAAGTGTTCGTTTGATATATTTTTCTTTTACATTACCTCTTGTTTTGATTTCAGACTTTTGCACTTCATTGCTTGCGCTGGCCCATTTGAAAGGCAATTGTTTAATTTCTGCTGTTGATATTGTTGGTCGAAACCATTCCTTTGGAGCTGTTGGACGGGGTGAACTTAGCTTCTCTCTCAGAACATCAGCTCATCTCATAGTACGTTTTGTTCCAAACTCCACTCTCTCTAACAATAACAATAAAGATTCAACCGCTTCTGTTTTCTTGTCTTTTCGTTTTTCTGTTCTCTAAATACTTGATACTGATGTATTTTGAAACCAATTGACAGTGATGTTCTCTTGTTGATTGTTTTGCAGAACGTGAGATCTCTACCACCACGGCAACCCGTCCCCAACCTAAACACGCTCCTCTACCATGGAGAGTGCCGTGACAACGGCCAGTTATAAACATCAGTCTTCGCCATCTTCTTAATTTCGTTAACAAATCTATTCTATTCGATTTCAACTCCTCTGGAGCTGGCATCAATTCTGCTCACACGGAGATCCCCAAACTTTACATGCAACCACCGACTGTACTAACTTCCTTTGTGTCATTCTTTGCTCCACTCAGAAGCTTTATACATCAATACTATTTTCCAACACTGCTACCAATCTTATCACTACGACTGCTGCCGTTTTCAACCTCCTATCACTGAACCATGACTAATCGTCGATTCGCCGCCCCTGCCCCAAGAGAGGGCTCGGCTTGGACGTGGATTGCCGAGCACTATAGCCAGCCCGAGAGCTATGAGATCCCCCTCCGCACCATGTATGCCCTGAACTCGACAGTCGGAGCGCATCCACCCTTTTCTCCTCTTCCCAAGAGCCCCGGAGCTACGTCCCCTTTCGAGGGCAACGCGTTCCCCTCTGCACGCAACCCCAGACGCAAGGAAGAGAAACCCCCTGCATACAACATGAGCAGCACTGCTGCGATTTTCAAAATGCATCTTATGTCCCAGATATCCCAATTACCTTCTCAACCATGTTCTTTACCTCCCAACTTCATTACTTCATTCGTCCGCCGTTGTTTCCCAGATAATCTCGCACTCGTTGATTTCCCCCAGGCATTGACTGCTCTGGACTACCTCCGGGACCTTGAGCAGCGCCGTGGGAAAGAGATCAAAGCTGCGTTGGAGAAGCTTGGTATATTTGATGGTGTTTTTGACAAAGACGATCTCGCTAAACGGTATCCTGGTGTATCGAGCTGGATCGACTCTATCATGGAGAAAGACACATACGCAGCTGCTCTCTACTCACAAGTCTACCTCCGTCTAAGACACTGGGTGAGAAACTCCCTTCATGGAAATTACGCGTTTATATACCGACGTATGCATGGGCATGCCATTGCTAACATTGATACCAGACTCTAATAAATGAATTGCTACTGCCTCCTTTCAACAAAGCGCACTGCGTTGCCATGCTCAACACGCTTTTCCCAGCTGTGATTTCCATCCGACCAGCAGCACACGTTTGTGAAAGGATGCTCATGGAGGAGCGACATACGTTCTTCCAATACATATGCAAAGTGGAAGAAAAGGGCCCACGCGTGCTCGATCCCCTCATTGCAAAGGACAGACGGCCAGGGGAAACTACAGGATGGCCTCTGGTACACGAATACATCAACAAGTACATGCACGCGGCTACTGACATTATTAACGAATGCTTCGAAGTCAACAACCGCGAGAGCCTGGAAGAACAGTCAGGACACCGCAAACAAAAGAAAGGCCGGAAAGTGGATTCAGGAATCAGTTTTGGATCCAACTCAGAACACCCCCGCCCATCAACCAGCAGCAACTCAAGCTGCAACCACAGCTACAATAACAGCAACAGCAGCAACAATAACAATAACCCCGGAGTCTTAAACAAACCCCTCCCTCCATCTCCAGCCATCAAACTGCCCAAATCCATCAAGGTCAGTGGCAACTCCGCCCTCGAGCGCATAGGCAGGGAGCTACGAAAGATGCATTCACGCGGCGATTTTGACGAAGAAAAGCCCAAACCTCCCCGAACATCGTCTCGTGCCGGTGGCGCGCTGCGGAAAATGCGCTCTTCCAGCATCCTAGGGGAGCGCGATAGGAATGTTGTCACCGGCCCAGGCGAGAGTGAGGGCGAGTTTGATGTTGTGGAGTTTCGACGCAAGCGGATGATTTGGGAGGCGAAGCATAATGCTGCAAAAGCGGATCCTGATGGCGATGCTGATGCCCATGCCAATGAGAATAAAAATAAACGGTCTAGTGCATGATTTGAAACTTTATTTACCAGTGACTTCGAACGGGCGGACGGGTGGACTAGCAACCAAACAAATGAACTTTCAGTTTTTTTCCCGTTCGTTTCAACCATTCCCTTCTTACACTTTCAAGTTTCTTTCTTTTTTACTTTTACTTTTTTTTTTCTTTTTGGGTATGCAATGCAACGTATGTGAAAACGAAATTCGATCGCTATGGGACGACATGAACCATGAACCTGGGAGATGTCCTTTTTTCGCGTTTTATTGTGATTTCTGGGGCGGAGTTTTTTGTACTGTGCTGCGTACTTGCTAACTTGTCCTTCGTTTTAATGTGGCTAGCTATACGCGCTTAAAATGCACTTGGTTGTTTGCTTTTTAATGTTTTCTTGACTACTTTTTACTAAGGGAGGCTTCGACCAGCTTTCTTTTTTCGTTGTTATTGCTTTTTCTACCTATTGTCTACTATGTCTCGTACCTTTTTTTTTATTTTTACTTTTATTGTCATTGATCCCCGTCATCTCGTCCTTCTATTCAAAACTGGAGTGGTCAGTTCGAGTTGCAGAATTCCATACTTCGCCGTTTGTCTATTATCTCTATGTTGGACGTTGGGGCAAGCATCTGAATTTGGGATTGGAGATTTCATCTTGCTCTGCGCATCCCTTTTCGGTGCCCTGCGCTGTTTGGACCTGCATTCACGGGAAACACAAACGCATACCGGTTTGACGCTCGTCCATGACCACGTGTTTGTTTGCGTGGGACGCGTATTTTTGTTTGTTGTCTCATTTCGGGTTTTTCTAAATTTTCTTTGGAGGGACTTTAGTGGTGAAAGCAAAGAGAATACGGTGGAAATTGTTTCAGTTAGGGTGAAAATGGCGCAACAATGGATAGAATAATGAAAAAGCTGAAGAGGAAAAAGAGGAAAAGATGAAACCCAAAAACAAAAATGCATTTATCTCATCTTACAATTTTTATTATCTAATTTCAGCAAGGAAGATCATGGCTCCCACGAGTTGGAATGCAGAATTCAGGCTGTGTGAGATTAAGATGAGCGACCTGGGCGGAACACTTGGATTTCATTTCTTTTTCTTTTTCGATTCTTTTATTCCTTCTTTTAATTTTGGTCTGGCCAAAATGGTTTCTGAGGTTGCAAAACGGCGTTTGTCACTGACGGCGTATTGTTGATTTTGCCATGCGGGGCGTGGAGGGGTGTAGGGAGTGTTCCAATTGCACTCTGCTGTGCCGTATGTCATATTGTATATGCCTGCCGTCCCCCCTTTGATGTGGGTTTTATCCATGGAATGTCACTGTTGGGTGATGCGATGTGGTCTGTTTGTTTGTTCTTTTCTGGTGCTTGGTAGTTCTTTGCGATGCGGGGTCCGGCGTGCTTTTGTTTTGCAGATAAGTTTGTTCCGTATCGATCTGTACGGCTATAGGAATTGACTCTAAACTTTGAACCTTGATAGAAATATTATCCGCCCGGGTATGAGTTTGCCTGAGTTAATATAGCCGATAGCCAGCTTAACCCCATCAACCGCAGCCCTCAATATAGCCGAGGCAACATACCCTAGGCACCTTGGTATCCCCCTCAGGGGCATCCATAAGGTGCTAATCCCTCGATCAACTGCAGCAGGCCACTGGTTGTCTCGACAAAGCTGTCTCTGAGCCCTAGCTCCTAGAGAATGATCTGCGGCCGTCTTTAATATATGTAGTGTTATGCCGAGGTCAGGTCAGATACGACCAATCCTTAGAGCACCAAATTGAAACTGCATATTTAAACTATACATTCCGAAGCTCTCTCATTACATCTATTCAGATCGGCATCTCTCTGCCTCTATAATCAATTTCGAAATAAACCTATCAATCATTATTATTACTCTATAAATTTGTTATTTATATACGTTTAACTACCTCGAATAATAAAAATGGCTACAAACAAGCAATTTGGTAGCACTCTTCCATGGGCAGAGCCATCCTGGTAAGTTATCACTTTCTATACCCTGACCTCAGCGTTAACCGTAAATCTTATTTTATTTTCATTTGGACACATCTCATTACTGAGATGCACTTTGTTAACCGTATTTCGTTTTGATTGAAGGTACTCCGGCCGTCCCTCGCCATATTACAACGAGTCCCATTTCAGACTGAGGGATGCCGTGCGCAAATGGACTGAGGAGGTGTGTGTGTTTCTGACCGTCTTCCATCCAACGGAGCAAAGCCAAAGTTTCCTAAAGCTTAGAAAAATTTACCCTTTTTCGTCTATTGCATAGAACGTTGTCGGTAAAAGCGAAGAATGGCAAGCTGCAGGCAAGGTGCCAGACGAGGTCTACCGAAAATGCGCGCGAGACGGGCTCCTGCTGCCCATCGCTTTTGGCAAGTCGATACCGGAGGAGTTTGCTGCGCAGTATCCCATAATTGGTGGTATCAAGGCCAGCGAGTGGAATGGGTTCCATGATTTTGTGATGTGGGATGAGCTGTTCCGGGGCGGGGCACTTTCTAGCATCTTTGTGGGTTTGGTAAGTTAGCTTTATATATTGTTAACCCGGAGAATAGCCCTTGGATATCTTCAGATATTTATGCTGACGTGTATTGTTCATTCAACTAGACCGTTGGAGCTCCCCCTCTTAAGCAATTCGCGTCGTCGTGGCTGCAGAAGAAGATCTTGCCGGAGATCCTTAGCGGGGAGAAAAGAATCTGTCTTGCTGTTACTGAGCCGTCATGCGGATCTGATGTAAGAAACCTGACGACGACGGCAGAAAAATCTAAGTGCGGGAAGTTCTATATTGTTAATGGGGAGAAGAAGATAAGTTTCCAGAACAAAATCTGTCTGTGGGTTATCAAGCTAACTTCGCCTTCACTGGATCACAAATGGCATGTATTCCGATTATTTCATGGTGGGTCTACTTAAAAAAAAAATATCTCAAAGATATACAAGAAGCATTTCACCGTTAACACTGCCCTTGCTTGACGTAGGCGGCTGTTCGAACCGGTGGCCCCGGCGCAGAGGGTGTTTCCTTCCTCCTAATCCCGCGCAGTGAAGGGATCCGCACACGCAAAATCGAAATCGGAGCCGACGGGCTCAGTGCCACCACCTATGTCACCTTTGAGGACGTAAGGGTTCCTGTTGAGTACCTCGTCGGCTCTGAGGGTCAAGGTTTCCGATATGTCATGAGCAACTTTAACCACGAGCGCCTGTGGATCGCTTTCCAGACCCTTCGCAGCTCCCGCATTTGTCTCCAGGATGCGATGGCATGGGCTATGAAGCGTGAAGCCTTTGGCATGAAGCTTATTGAGCAACCGGTTGTGAGACACAAGTTCGGCTCCATGGCCAAGGAAGTCGAGGCATTGCATGCGTGGACGGAGCAGATTATTTATGAGTTGGATCATATGAGTTTTAAGGATGGGAATCGGCAGTTGGGTGGGGTTACGGCACTGTTGAAAGTGAAGGGAGGGCAGATGGTTAAGTTTGTTGCGGATAACTGTGTCCAGATTATGGGAGGGTATGGATGCTCTTCATATTCATTTTTAATGGACCCTATCAATCCTCTCTCCCTCATCTCTCAGGGGAGCCTACGTTTGCTAACGGAGTTTAAAACTGCAGACTTGGTCTCACCAAAACAGGCCAGGGTTCTCGTATTGAGTCGATTTCTCGCGCCACTCACTCATGGATCGTCCCTGGTATGTTTGCCTCGAAAACAGAATTGCCGTCTAGGATTTGAAAGTTTTACTTGCTGACGTCAATATGTGTATAGGTGGCTCCGAAGATGTCCTCATTGACCTGGGTGTTCGTGAGGCCCTCAAGCTTGCTGGCATCAATGCGACAAAGGGAGCAAAGATATAAGCTTAAAATATGGGAAGAAGGTTAATAACTAGCAATGACTTCTGGCAAGATGGGTGGCTTATCTCGGGCATTGAAGTTTCGAACGTCCTGTCTCAGGATGGATTATTGCCCTACTTCTGTCCTCTCTTCCCAAGACATCGCTTACAATTGATGATAGCTGTATTCTCATTTTCCTGCACGCCAACTTCTCAATATGTCAATTTATAGCAGCCCCAGTATATTACAACCGTTATAAATCAATTCGCATCTGTTGTTTTCATTTTCACTGCCATACTAATAACTTTTTATATCCCCACCACGAAACCTTTTATTAGGGTTAGGGTTAGAATCGATATTTGGGAGTTGCGATAGACGCAGTCTGATTGGCTGTGTTATATGATTACTAAGACTTAATTCTGCACTCTTAGTTGTGATATGACTAAGCCAGTTTCCACAAATGTTGTCCAAAACACCAACGACTGTTCGTGTATAGTTTACCATTTCGATAGCTTCAATTACTCTTTTGCCTTTTCTACACTTGCTGCTTAGAATGTGTCGGCTTGAGAAATAAATATTAATACTACATTTGCGGAGATACTATAAAACTTTAGCAGTTTGGTGGAAGCTGTTCTAATTGCAACAACAGGTTACGCACGGAGTACCTTGAGAAGACAATGCGCAAGACTTCGACCTAAATGGGATCGGAGAAGTTCCCACCATATCTTTCCATATAAGCTGGTGGCCGGTCATATATGCATACATACGTATATACCATGGTCTTCAAATATATCTTCTCTCCATGGCGATTGGGCGGCCTGGCGCTGCTCGCAACAACCTTCCTGTTTACTCCAATCGCTTCCGCTGGCCCCTTGGTCAATGTCGCTCTAACTGCTTCCTTTAATGCAGCACCGTACCTGGTGGAGCTTCTGTATGTTGCACATGTTGATCGAATCAAATTTCGTAGTCCGCATAGAAGAAACCCATAGCTAATGCAGAAGCCAGAGAAACCGCTGCAGACGAGAATTCCACCAGCTATTTCCCTCTCCTTGACCACATTGCTGAGGGTGCATTCACAGAAATTACTACGGAGCGAGACCTCTATGAGCGATTTACACAAATACTACAGGACAATGGACACCTTACTGATGCCGAGTCTATTTCGTCTTTTAAATTTGCCCTATCGTTACGATCCACCGCACCGCGGATCGAGGCTCATTATCAATATTATCATACGTCGGTGGAGCCGTCGTTAGTGGTGGCGCAAGATGCAGTTTGCACTGTCTGGGTGTATTACGACGGCTATCAATATTGTTCACCGAGTTTAAAATATGCGCAGCAGAGCGTGTCAGGAGACCAGTACGTGAGTTACATTTCGCGATAACTGTGAGTAGTGAACTAATATATGATGGAGTATATGATTATAGACACGAACGAGTTTTGCCGTTCGATCGAGTATTTGGAGATCCTTCGCTGCCCGCATTAGTACTATATGCCGATGTGACATCTCCCATGTTTAGTGGATTTCACCAGGAACTTAGCCGGAAGGCTCGAGAGGGCCAGTTCTCGTATAAAATTCGCTATCGGTCATCTGGCACTGAGGCCTCGAAACCCATTTTCGTTAGTGGATATGGGGTGGAGCTTGCTCTTAAACGAACGGATTACGTCGTGATCGACGATCGGGACGCGGAACAGAGCGTTTTGAAGGATACGGATGCAGCCCAAACTACCCTGGCTCCAGTAGACGATGCGAAGAATGAGCCACCCACTGACTTGAAGCCCTTGTCTGCCTCAGAAGTATCGACACTAGGTATTAATGCTGCTAGTTTCGTGATGAGCAGCGATGACCCACTTGCGACGCTGTTAAGGTTATCGCAGGACTTTCCGAGACATTCCTCTGCTATTGCAGGTCGCAATGCTACACCTGAATTTATTAAAGAGCTCCACGAAAACCAGGCTGCCCAGTTGCCCGTGGGGTTAAACACTATGTGGATTAATGGGATGCAGATCGACCCGAACAACATAGACGCCTTCTTCCTTCTCAGTCATTTAAGACAGGAAAGGAAACTAATCAACAGATTCCGAGAGTTTGGATTATCTGCGCGACAAGCCGTGGGTCTGTTTTCTGATCCGGCGGTTTCCAAAACCCAAGCAGCTGATGACTCACTGCGCTATCAGTACAGAGACGACTTTGAAGGTGGAGGTGTAATTATTTGGATGAATAATCTTGAAAAAGATCACCAATATGATGGGTGGACAAAAAGTCTAAATTCTGTGAGCTAGCGCTGTGCCGATACCTATCTGCTGGTTTTGTTATATGGAAATTCTAACTGTGTCGTTTATAGCTCCTCAGACCAATCTACCCTGGTCAGCTTCCTCCGATCCGACGGGATATTCACAATGTCGTTATTCCTGTCGACCTAACCTCTCCAAAGGATATTGAAATTGTCGTTCGAAATATGCAGACGCTTGTAAAGAGAAAGATACCAATTAGATTTGGTTTTGTACCATTATTGCAGAATCCGAATTCTCTCGAGCAGGCGCGAGTTGCCCATTACCTTCTAGATACATACGGTATTGAAGCTCTGGTGACCTACTTGCAAGCTGTAAGTATCCATATTTGAGAATCACTAAATTTCCCAAACTAATCTTTAACATAGTCATACACTGCCAACAAGACTGCCTCCCCAGATCAGGCCAGTTTCACAGCTGCATTGAAAGATCATAAAGTGAGGGATGGCCACAATCCTGTTACATTCAAAGATGTCTTAACATCGGAAAATTACGACCCGATACTTGCGAGCACAAAAACATATCTCCAGAGGCTGGCCATTGAAGGAAAAGAACCAACTTTTTTTGTAAATGGTGTTGCCTTTGTTCGAGATGAAAACTTCATGCAATATATAATTACGGCCGTATCCAATGACATGGATAAAATTCAAAAAGCTGTTTTCGAAGGTGATCTGGAGGAGGATGTTTGGGTTCCTTCATATTTTCTCCAAGGTGCTCTACAGACTCGAAACCCACTACTTATCCCCGAGGACCCGAGGTCAATTCGTATCGTTGATCTCAACAAAATATACGAGAACAATAAGGATATTTTTGACACTCTTCTCCGGATTCCCGCGACGTCTAAATCGGAGCATTCAATGCTAGATTGGACTAGTATCATCCTCATAGCCGATCTGGAGAGCGAATCCGGTGTTAAGCAGCTTCGTCACCTTCTCGAGCTTCACGAAAAACACCCTGGAGTAGAAACTTTACTTCTTCATAATGGAGAGGCGTCGTCTGTTTCGAAAGGCCTTTTGACAAGACTTCATAGTGTTCGACATGGTCGTGACCTTGACCCAGCTGCAGTTGCCGCCACTCTCGATGCCCTCGTTTCTGGAGAGGATACACCAGGCTCAGATGCCAACCTTGCAACCGCTTATTGGAACTCACTTCAGGAGTTGGTGAGAGAAATTGGAATTGGTGCTGGTGAATATGGAATGGTGATTAATAGTAGGATTATTGGTCCTCTGCCGTCGTCGACCGTTTTTGATGCTCTGGATCTGGAATATATGTTTGCATACGAACGGTCTAAACGCACTGAAGTAGTCGCACAGGCAGCTTTGGACCTTGGTTTGGAAGATAAAATCTCTGACCCTTTGAGCCTTGCTAAGCTACTGTCTCTAATGTCTCTCTCAACCGCAAGTGACATTCCGGAAGGAATCCTGAATTCAGTATCAAATGTGCGCTCTAACCTGTATAAAAAATGGAATGGCACTCACTCTGCAATATCTATCTCAAACTCCGATGATCCCTCGATCTACATTGTTGCGGCGGTCGATCCAGCGACAGAGACCGCTCAACGCTGTATTCCGATCTTGAAAGTATTGTCAGAGCTAAATGGTGTCAACTTGAAAATATTCCTTACTCCCCGAGAAGCGATAAAGGAGTTGCCGATTAAAAGATTCTATCAATATATTCTCAAATCTACTCCGTCATTTAGCGAAGACGGCTCTATAGCCAAACCGCAAGCCACCTTTCACGGAATTCCCGGTGATGCTCTCCTTAATTTAGGAATGGATGTACCTCACTCGTGGCTTGTGGCCCCAAAGGAATCAATATACGATCTTGACAACATCAAATTAAGCTCTCTTAAAGAAGGTGCAAACGTTGATGCTCTTTATGAGCTGGAGCACATTCTAATCGAGGGCCATTCGTGGGATGTTACTACCAGAACAGCACCACGAGGAGTTCAACTGCTCCTAGGGACCGAGAAAAAACCCCATTTCGCAGATACTATCATCATGGCAAATTTGGGGTACTTCCAATTCAAGGCACAGCCTGGGTGCTGGAAAATAACCTTAAAGCCTGGCCAAAGCGAGCGCATTTTCCGTCTGGACAGTGTTGGTGGAAAGGGTCACAGACCCACGCCCGGCGACGAGAACAACGACGTAGCTCTCCTCTCCTTCCGGGGCAAGACCCTCTACCCGCGATTGTCCCGCCGGCCGGGTCATGAAAAAGACGACGTCCTAGACCCAGACCCGAAGCCAAACTCAGCAAAGGACTATCTCTCCAGGGGTCTAAGCTTTGCCTCCAGCGTCCTCTCCAGCGTAACTGGTCCCAAAGAAAAACACGCAGATATAAACATCTTCTCCGTCGCCAGCGGCCACCTATACGAACGCATGCTCAATATCATGATGGTCTCCGTCATGAAACACACAGGACACAGCGTGAAATTCTGGTTCATCGAGCAATTTCTCTCGCCATCATTTAAATCCTTCCTACCCCACCTCGCCGCCGAATACGGCTTCTCGTACGAAATGGTCACTTACAAATGGCCTAACTGGCTGCATGAACAGCAAGAGAAGCAGCGCATTATATGGGGTTACAAAATCCTATTCTTAGACGTCCTCTTCCCCCTCTCTCTGGATAAGGTCATCTTCGTCGATGCGGACCAGATCGTCCGTACAGACATGTACGAGCTCGTCACGCTGGACCTCGAGGGTGCCCCTTACGGCTTCACGCCCATGTGCGACTCACGCACATCCATGGAAGGTTTCCGTTTCTGGAAGCAGGGATACTGGAAGAAATTCCTTAAAGGACTGCCCTACCACATCTCCGCGCTGTACGTGGTCGATCTGAACCAGTTCAGGGCAATAGCTGCCGGTGACAGGTTGCGTGGGCAATACCACACCCTCGCCATCGATCCAAATAGTTTGAGTAACCTGGACCAAGATCTGCCGAATAATATGCAACGCGTGTTGCCGATTAAGAGCCTGCCCCAGGACTGGTTGTGGTGCGAGACATGGTGTTCGGATGAGGCGCTGAAGACAGCGAAGACGATTGATCTATGTAATAACCCGCTGACGAAGGAGCCGAAGCTGGACAGGGCGAGGAGGCAGGTACCTGAGTGGACGGTTTATGACGAGGAGATTGCAGCGGTGCAGAGGAGGGTGATGGAGGGTAAGAAGGGAAAAGAGGACGGTGAGGAGGGAAGGGGATCAGATGGGAAGAAAGAGCGTAGAAAGGACGAACTGTAGAAGTTTATGTGTGTGTTAGTTTGCTTCTAGTAGATTTTTTTTTTTTTTTTTTTTGTTATCTTCTATCTTCGTCACTGTCACTGTCTACGAAATATAGAAGTTAAAGGGGTTCTTTTAACGCAGGGGTTTTCACCTCATATTGTAAAAAGCTTTCCTCTTTCCAACGTTTTGTGTTTATATTTTAGACTTTTAGAAGTCATCTATATGTTACAGGTATTATGATCAAATAAATAGAACCTAAATGTCAACAGTTTTCCTCACACTCCCCACCCAGCCCCAATCTCAGGAGGCATAGCATGTGTACTCCATATCATGGACATGTTCAGAGCTTGCACAATTCATAGAACATCGCCATCAACCACGGTTAATAATATCACTTCGAAAACAACAAAACAAAACAAACGCAAGCGATAGCCAACAGCAGGTAAGATCCTAGAGTGTGCACACACGACCAGAAATTAGCTAGCCCTCGCCGCAACAGAAAATGCGAAAAGGCGATGTAGAACTCGGGTCGCCGGGGAGGGAGAAGACCAAGAAGGACAATACCATCAATACGGGGCTAGAAGCATTCTTTAGTCATTTGTCCGACGCTGTAGCAACTCGGTTATTTTCAGGAGAAATGTTCCAGGAAGACACCAGACATAGATACCAGGCATGTGGACGTATTAGAGTCCGCGGAAACTCCCCAAACGAAAATAAGAAACGGTCATGCAAAATCAACTTCAGTGAACTCCATGCCCATCTAAAATCCCCACCCCGCTCTTTGCCTATCCAAATCGCTGGGCGGGAAGCTCCCCGAATATCAAATAAGCCCGACTCTTAGGTCCCGGGATCGAAAATCGTGTGAATGCCCATCTTTGCCCTGCACTAAATATGCCAAACAGGATAGGTAGTGAGTATCTATTGGGTCTCGGTAGGCGAAAGAAATTGGCGGACAACATGGGATGGAGTTTGTATGCCATCGTTATTAAGAGGGCCCAGTCCAGGAGGAAAACAACAATATAGATAGAAGATACCCGCTACGAAGCTGCAAAAAGTGACCCACCACGACTACGGCGCCACACAAGCGTGCCGGGGGAGGGAAAGCCTCGCGGGACCCTAAAGGTTGGATTTATTCCTGCAGACGCCAAGTTGAAAATTGCGGCTTCCACCCACCACGGAAATGAAGCATATCAAAAGGCGAATCTCAATGCAGTGGTATAAGGGTTTTGGAAAACACTACAAACCGGGAACCGACAAATAATACTCGCTATGCTAGGATCGGGCGTTGAAAGCGATAATGGGGCTTAAACAAACGGATTATGTCTCGGAGGGTTAAGAGAAAGGCAATATAGAAAGGGTTACCATGGCTCGGCATATTCAATACAGGTCGACGGACAAATGCCAATATCGAACTCTCCCTCCACACCTCATCCCATCCACAGTCGCTTCCACTCAGCTCTCACCAGCTACGGCACGGGAGCCGTCCCAAATTGTCGGATCGAAAAAAAATACCGCCAAACCGTGGAACAACATACCAACGAAACCAGCCAGAATGAGCAGTGCGACAATATTTAATAGTCGACAAAATGGGACGACAACACAAGAGGAAGAAGTCCAGGGATTCCACTGTCCAAGAATATGGCGAGGTAGACGCTCAAAATATAAAACGGGAAAAAACTTCCCCCTTTCAACTGGGGCTGGCGGTTTCCCTTCCCTTCTTCAACCGCATCGTCTTCCACTTCGCCGAGCACTGCTCCCTGGTCCTCGTGTTGCCCATGAAATCGCTCACCCGCGTCCACAGAATATAACGGGTGTCTATCCGGTAGATGTCCCCCGGCTTGGAGTCACTGGAGGTATAGATGGCAGCTGCGGGGAGCTGGGAGATGTCCAGCCATTGTCGCACTGCGCTCTCGAGACGCGTGCACTCGTCGGAACTCCATGGCCCGCGGGTCTGGGTGTCTCGATGTTGCACACGTTTGCGAAAGCGAGTGTTGACGTCGTCGCGAGCACGGCCCAAGATCTCGGCGATCTTGGCCCAGTTGGGTCCATGCTCAGCGTGCAATGTGACCAGCTCGTCGTCTTGCTCCTTTGTCCACTTGCGTGGCTTCTGAGAGGTGGCCACGTAGTGCGAGCGCATGTAACGTTGGACATCGCGGGGCCGTCGACCTGGCGTAAGGACGTACAATAGGTCCCAGAATTCGGATCTTGTCAAGTTGGAACCTAGAGAAGAGAAGCCACTGCTTTCGGTTTCACGGTGCTGGACCATACGGCCAAAGTCCTCGCCTGACATGCTGTTGGCCTCGCAGAATTGGGTTTTGAACGCTTCGACAGCAGCGATCTCTGCGGCTGAATGCCTTCCAGTCACGTCAGGCTGGTCCTTTGGCTTCTGCGGCTTCTCCACCCTTTTTGGCAGCTGCGAATTGGCGGCCTGGCTGGCGGTTTGTCGGGTCTGTTGTGGCTCAGGCAAGCTCTGGCCTGCAGCCAGCCCTTCCACCGGGTCTTGTTCCGGGTCCTGGAGCAGAGCGTCCCCTGAGGGAGATCCTGCATGGTAGGAGGACACATAAAGTCAATGGATGTGCCCCGGGGGGGTTCTATGCTAGATAAGAAAAGCAAGAAAATGTATATACAAGAATGAGTATATAAAGGAAGCGAGAACCAGGACATGACTCACGAGTCTTGGATGGAGACAGAACATCGAAGGGGGGAAATAGAGGAGAGGAAAAGGCCTGATGCTGTTTTTGATGTCTCTATATCTGTCTGTCTGTCTGGTGGGAATGATGCGGCTCGAGAGGGCCAAAGAGGGGTATTTATAGCCCAAACCAGCAGAAAAATCAAAAGTGACGGCAGAATTCAAGTCTACCCACGGGAATAGGTACTACTATGGGAATTGGTAGTACCGTGGGGGCATATTTGCCAGGAGATGCTGTTTTAATGAACGTACCACAAAACAACCAAGGCAATACAATTGCGCACAAAAAGACAAAAACGAATGTGCCAAAAAAGACACAGTTAACAAATGAAATAGAAATAAGATAGAAAGAGAAAGAAAAGAAAAGCTCAAGTGACGAGGGAATATACAACGGATATTCGCATCACTTAAGTTTAATATAACTTACTGTCTCGGTGGAAGTTTTCAGGCCGAGTGGCCTCGGTTGCATTACCATCATCAAGGAGCGACTCGTGCGGCTGCTGGGTACTACCGACGCTTATTTGGAGTCTGGGATCAATTGGGATGGGAAGTTCCACATCCGGCTGGTTGTTGGCGCTGTTGTTGTTGTTGTTGATGTTGATGTTGTTATTGTCTGCCAAACCAGCGCCGGAATCCCCTGGAGCCGTGCCGGGTAGGATGCGGCCTGCAGATAAAGGATTTGGGTGAGACATTTTTGCAAAAACAAAGGCAGATGAAGGAATATTGCGGATTGCAGCGATGCATGTAAAAACTTGAGAATGGATGTACTCCGTAGAGGTGGGAAGAAGTTGGGAGGTTGGATGAAGTCTGATAAAAAAAAAAACAGGAAGAGAAGAAAGAAAAAAAAGGGGGTAGAGGTTGGGTGACTAAGCACGTACTTGCAATGAGCTAAGCCAGCTACCAAGGCTCGCCGTAACGTCCTCTGTCCTCTTGCGGCCAGTTGATGGCCCAGTCGAAGAGGTTGGCATTGTTTAGCAGTTAATGTAACTTATTGTAGTTGTTGCTGTTGTGGTTCTCCATAGCGGGCAGTTTGTATGTGCATAGCTAAAATATAGTGATAGTTCATTAACTATCAAAGTTCCGAAGGTCACATTGGCTGCAAAAACAGCAAAAACAGGGGAATCACCGTAGAATGGCAGAAACTGAGATTTGAGATACAGAGTGTGTCCGTCAGCTGGGGCTATCAGCAGGAAATATAAAGGAAGTCCAATAACTAGACCACCCCCCCCCCCCCCCCCCCCAAAACAGTCCACTCACCAGACTGTCCACAAGGTATAGTTTAGTTTAGTTACTTGGATTTACGGTGACTAAACTAACCTACCAGAGCTGCCGTCCGGATGACTAAGCCACGAGGCAGCAGCTGGTAGTTAACTAGTTACCATCAGCATTTGCATGAGGAATAGAGAGAGGGGCAGAGACGAGAGATATGCAGATGCTGCATCGATATAGAGAGAGAGAGGGAGAGGGATGAATGACAGAGCAGAATTGGGGGGGAGGACTTCCAAACCTTTGCCAAAGTTAAAAAAAAGCCTTTCCCCCAAACCCCAACCCCCGCATCAACATCCATCATCAACATCTAGACCCTACAGTTTGACCGCTTGGAGTTATATCCTAGCAATACGCTGCCAGCTTCAACGCCTCCATCTCCCCCAGCTGCAACCTTACTCACCCTATCAAGTGCTCAGCCATTGCCCGATCGAAATCTTCTGCGTTGGAAGTAAGTAGAATTGAACCCCAACCCCGGGCCCAACCTTAAAACACAATCAGCTAGTTCGTCGTAACTAGTGCATATCAAGACCGTTTTTTTTTTTTTTTTTTTTTTTTTTTTTTTTTTTTTTTGCTTGTGTTTCTCCGTGTGCAGCGAATTTTGAACCCTTAGGCTTTTTAACCTCTTGATGCTCACGGGTTCTTCAGTAGAATAATATAGGAATACCCTTCTCTCTGCTTGTTCTCCCGATTTTCTCTGCTTTTGCCCCTGCCCGTATTGTATAACTAAGGATAAAGGTTCCCTTATCGCCACTCGCTGGTTCCGTTCGCGTATACATATTTAACTCTTGTGTACAGTCTCTGCCCCATATAATAAATATTCATTTTTCCTCTACTTTGCTTCCTTTCTCGTGCGGCATCAGGATATACCCGGAAAAAAAGGAAGAAGTCATCCCTTGTCTTCTCTTCTCATTTCTTCTCCCCTCTGTCTCAGTTTCCCTCTCTCTCTTCTGCTTGATACGGACTACACTGTCTTTCCTCCAATGGCATCACTATTTTGTACAGAATAAACAAAAAAAAAAAAAAAAAAAAAAAAAAAAAAAAGGAACCCCTGTTAAAAGGAAAATCCTCCCATACAGAGAACCGTGACAATACCATCAATTGGCCACAAAGGGAACCAAGACCCCTACTTCCCACTCCCACTCCCCCAACCCAAAAAAAAATAAAAAGAAAAAGAAAAAGAAAGAAAGAAAGAAAGAAAGAAAGAAAGACAAAACAGCATTGGCCCAAGGAAACTCCAATGGATCATCCCACAACGACCGCTTCCACAGCCTTTCCCCTTCCCACTCCCATCTCTACCTCTTCCACCCTTCCCCCCTACTTTATTGTCCTCGCCTCCTCCCGCGCCATAATCACCGGCCGCCTCACCGCCGCCACAATCGTCATCTCCCTCTCCACCGGCAAAGTAACCTCCGTCTTCCACTCCGTCCTCCCACCAAACGCTTTCCCCCCGGGAACACAATACACAGACCACTCCCCCCACATCCTCCTGCCAGGCCTCGTCGATGCACACGTCCATCTGAACGAACCGGGTCGTGCGGAGTGGGAAGGGTTTGAGACGGGGACGCAGGCGGCCGCCTTTGGAGGCGTCACGACTGTCATTGATATGCCGTTGAATGCTGTGCCACCTACGACGACGGTGGAGGGACTGCGGGAGAAGATTGGCGCGGCGAGCGGGAAGTGTTGGGTTGATGTGGGGTTTTATGGAGGGGTTGTGCCAGGGAATGTTGGGGAGTTGAAGGGGTTGGTTGAAGGAGGGGTGAGGGGGTTTAAAGGGTTTTTGATTGATAGTGGGGTATGTATATATGACGCTTTCCTCTTCTCTTTTTCGCCTACCTTGGCTCTTTGTTGCTGCGGTATATAAAGCATACAACACGCAATAAGTGCATCCGCTCTCTCCGTTCCACATTCCTAACTCCTTGTGATTCCAGGTTGAAGAATTCCCAGCCCTATCACCAGCGGATATCAAAGTCGCCATGCTCGAGCTGGCTTCTCTATCCTCCCCAACGACCTTGATGTTCCATGCCGAAATGCTCCCAGACAATATCACCGATGGCACCACCGACGACACCACCACAGACCCCCCAACCTCTTACTCCACTTTCTTAACTTCCCGCCCCCCAGCCTTCGAAACAACCGCAATCTCCACAATTCTCTCCCTGGCCCCGCTCGCTCCAAACCTCCCCTTACACATCGTCCATCTATCCGCCAAGGAAGCCATCCCGCTCCTAAAAGCCGCACGCGCACGCGGAGTAAACATCACAGCTGAAACATGCTTCCACTACCTCTCCCTAGCAGCCGAGGAGGTATCTGACGGCGACACACGTCACAAATGTTGCCCGCCCATCCGTAGTCGGGCAAACCAGGATGCGTTGTGGGAGGAGTTGGCTAATCATGCCAGTGACCAGGGGGTTATCAAGACTGTTGTATCGGATCATTCGCCCTGTACGCCGGCGCTGAAAGTGCTGCCGGCGCATATTCCCGGTAGTTGCAATAACAATGTTAAGAAGAGCAACAGGAAAATTAAATCCGAAGAAGCAAATGAGAAGGAGGAGGAAGGAAACTTCCTCAAAGCCTGGGGCGGAATTTCATCCGTCGGCCTCGGCCTGCCGATTCTCTGGACCGAATTGGAACGCCGTCGTGCCCTGATAGCCGGTGGCGGCATCGTAGCAACAGATAAAACATCGACGCCGACCTCTTCATCGACCTCTGCCCTAGAATCTATCGTCCAGTGGTGCTGCGCCAATACAGCCAAGCAGGTGGGTCTAGGGTCCCAGAAAGGTGATCTTTCTGTCGGATACGATGGGGATGTGTGCGTCTTTGATGAGACGGCAGAGTGGGTTGTGCAGCCTGACACCATGCTGTTTCGCAATAAGTGCTCGCCATATCAGGGGAAGAAGCTAACTGGGCTTGTGCTGGAGACGTGGCTGAGGGGGCAGAAGGTGTATTCGAGGGACGGTGGATTTGTAGAGGGTAAGCCGACGGGGACGTTGCTCTTGGAGACTATGACGGCGTAGGGGTTTTGGTTTGGGCTGTTGATGAAGGAATGATGTTTATGAATATTGTTATTTGCTTGCTTTTATCTTGTTTTTCTTTTTCTTTTTCTTTTTTTTTTCTGTGTGTGTGTGTGTGGGAGCGTGCATGCATGTAGATATATACCACACTGTCGATAGACGGGATGACATTATCACTCTGCTTGGGTGTTGGTTCCAGATTCCCTTCAAATGATTGGAATGATGAGATCTGAGGCTTTTCAGCAATCCTGACAGCGCGAATTAATGGCACAAATGAATGATAAATGGAGATATAAAATTATCAAAAAAAAAAACAAATCACCTCTGTTTTAGTATATTATTGAGAATTCCTACCTGTTACATGTAGCATTCAGTAACCAAGGAGCCTTGAACAGGATGAGGGAAGGGAATAACCAGCACTCACCTAGCTACTTACTACCCTTCCATATCCACATCCCTCCCTTTCCACCGCTCCTGAACCCTCCTCCTCACCCCACCATTCACTCCCCTACCCCAAATCTCCTCCTTCTCCCCTTTCCCATCAATCCTGACTCCACCGTCATCCCCGTTACCGCCCCTATTCCCATCACCATCACCAACCCCAACCTCCCCAACCACCACTTTCCTCTCAACAATCGCCCTCTCCTTCCTCCTGGCCAACTCCACCTTCTTTAGATAAAGCGCATAAACACCCACCTCCGCCACGCCCACCACCAGTGCAACAAGCAGTGAAATGAACACCCGTGCAGGCTGCGAGGATACAGCGCCAGGATTCGACGGTGACGGCGACGATGTAAATGTCAGGAAGGTCGGGATGCGGTAGTTGGATAGGCCCCAGTAGCTTGCGAAGCCCGTGAAGAGGATTGAGACGAGGATGTTGAGGACGAGAGAAGGGGTGAGGGGGTCGTTTTGGTTGTCGTTGAGGGCCCAAAGTCGAGAGGGGGAGGGGTGGGTAGAAGTTGAGTGGAGGAGGGCATTGTATCTGTTTGCTTCGGCTTCGGCGAGAAGGGAGGCTTTCAGGGCGAGGTATTCGGGTGTCTGTATGCGTTAGAAGGAGGTTAGAGATACACGTCCCATATATGTCTGTGCATGCGTGTTGTGTAACTGGGAATGATTTAACGTACAGGTTCTGGTTTCGGTGGAGGAGGGGGAACGTAAACTCTGGTGCCCTTCAGGAGGGAGTTGAGAGTGGACCCCCCATATCTATTGGCATCCCCTTCTCCTTTCTCTATGAATCTCGGATTGGACACAAGATGTCTGGATAGAGTAACAAGCTGCGTATGTGATATAGCAGAGCAGCTGGTGGGAGTGGGTAGGGATAGCTCGTCGCGAGTTGACGCTGGGATGCCATCGAGGGCGGAAGCTATCGCTGGAGTGATGACAAGAAGGACCATTTTGGATATAAACAGGTGTTAAGCACCATTTCTTACATCAGGACTAGCTATAATGTATGGATATTTGCTTTATTTGCATGGCGATGGTTGTACTCCGTAGTGGTTGGCATTGAATGTTGGTAGTTGAACTCGAAAAGAAAAAAGGTGTTGATGCTCAAAGACGTCATTTTGCTCTTCATCCGTGAACCTAACCACATAGTTAAATATTTATTCGGCGACGTATTTATTTACTTATTTCATATCAATCTCCACCAACCCCTATATCCCAACGTTGTAGCGCCTATACTTTCTCCTTCTTAATTTCCTTAAATAGCTAAATAGACGGGAGAGAGGGGCTGCCCCCTCTTAAACCAACCACAGCATCCCATCATGAGCGACAAACAGGCAGAGAAGTGCGTGCAACCGTTGTTCCCAGACACAATTAACATTTATCCCCAATTTAACAAGTGAACTTTCTCCAATGAAGAAAACCCCCCGTCGACCTGTCAACCACCAATCCGCGCGGTATTCCCGTTGCACCCTTCGTCGATAATGTCGCGGACTACGTCTCTTCCCGCGCGGACGTAGAGCCGACACTGCGCTCGTTCCAGGAGATGATATCGAAATACCAGTTCATGGAGCTGAATACACAACGGCGCGGCCAGGGGCTGAAGGATAAGATCCCCGATATTAAGAAGACGCTGGAGACGGTGAAGTTCTTGCGGGATAGGAGAAAGGTCCGCTATTACTATTTATTTTTCTCATACTACCTGTTTTTGAGCGCCCCCAGTGGGCCCAATGTTTGAATATCGTAGATGTACATACGAAATGTCATTTGCGTGCTTATTTTTCCTGCTTCCTCTATCACTTTCCAAATGCCCTTTACTTTGTCCCGCATCTAAAACTCACACCAATGCTCAGGCCGGCACCGACACTGCTCTCGAAACCACCTTCGAACTCAACGACACTCTCTACGCCCGTGCCCTGATAAAGCCAGAAGACACAGACGAAGTCTTCCTCTGGCTCGGCGCAAATGTCATGCTCGCATACCCCATCGAAGAAGCTGTTGATCTGCTAACAGAAAAGCTGCGTGCCGCAGAAGCCAGCTTTGCAAACTGCGAGGAGGACCTAGGGTTTTTGCGTGATCAGATTACAGTATGCCCCCTCCCTTTTTCTTCCCTTACTCTTTCTCTCTCTTACACCTACTCTTAATGGCGGTGTTCTTTTCCTCTGGGATTAGAGGAGATTTAACCGTTAGTAATAATAATAAAACAAATACACTAACTTTCATTCCCTTTCTTTTGCCATTTGTACCAGACTCTCGAAGTCGCTACGGCCAGAGTCTATAACTGGGACGTCGTGCAGAAGCGAAAGGGGAACGAAGGGAAGACAGGGCCGGATGGTTAGGGGAACTTACGGTCATTAATCAGAGAGGTTTAGTTCCTTGCTTCCTTTTCTTTTGATCATGTGTTGGGCTTCTTTAATGGGCAACTCTGGGGTAGCGTTTTTGAGAGTGAAATAGAGAAATATATCTTGCTGTAGTTTTTACCCATACCAGTAACTATATGGTTCAAAAAATAAATAAATGAAAATAATGAAAAAATGAAAAAATGAAAATGAAAATAAAAAAACCAGAACATCGGGCAAAGAAGCATTTATTTAACCTCTTCAAGTTAAGGAGCTCGATACATTCTACGTTCAGTAACCCTGTTTCAAGAACAGCAAATTGAATCCCAATACCATACCAGCGACGTTGTACGTAATATTATAGCCTACACCAACATAGAAGTAGATTTAAATACGTCATGCAGATTAGTTCTTGATATCTCGTTCCAATTTTTCGTATGTAGATAGAGTATTGGAGCAGGATGGGTAAATATTCATTACATGGCCTGTGAAAAAGGGCAGAATAAAGATGAGGAGAACACATGCAACGAATTAGATTATTAAAAGATAGAAAAATGGAAGAAAACTGTTAAAGCTGTCTATATAACACATATATCCCTCTATCCCATCTACCCTCGAACGTGGCGATGTGATGTCAACATGCAAATGCATTTACGAAAAGAGCCACCTCAGCTGCAGCCAAAATAACCAATGATCTATATTCTTAAATTCAATGCTGAAATCTGCCCTTCAACCAAGCAGACAAGACAATCCATTAATCAACTGAGCATGTTCAATGAGTTAATTCAATTCACCGAAGTAATCCATATACGCCTCTGCCCATCCATATTCCATATGCCACTTTCCAGTTGCAAGGGGAAGAAGAAACGAAAAACGCCCGTTCCCTGAAGATTATCACTAATATTATACCCAAAGGATCGTTTCCAGGCATTTCATGTTCATGGAAAGAAGTCGAGCCGAGACTAAAAGAAAACAAACAAACCAAAAATAAATAAATGAATAAATAAAAATAGAGAAAGAGTCATACTCATCATAAGCCCCCCCTGACAAAACACACGGGGGACCAAATTAAAAATCGGGAAAAGCAACTCCATCATCAAGAAAAGTATAGGGGTGAGGGGGGTTAATAATAATGAAAAAGTAAAACCAAAATAAAACGGGGATGTGCTCCAAGCAACCAACACCAAAACCCCCCAAAACCTCTATAATTATATTACTCTTCTAATCCATTTCATCTCACCCACGACCGCCACCACCACCACTATTAAAACCAACAACCATTACAATGACAGCTACACCCATCTCATTTGCGCACATGTCATAATTCCTCTCGATCTCCACTTCTCTTAGCACGATCACTATCCGTTTCATCGCCCACAAATGTCCACGAGTCCTCCATGGCGCCGTAGAAATCTGGATCACCGGAGCCGGAGCCTGAGCCATGGCCATCGTCATCGAGGCCCATGTCGGGTATGTCAATGCCGGGTTCATCCAGTGTCGATGTTGCGAGGGCACCGGTCTGGGAAGCTGATAAGGTATGGGAGCGCTGTCGAACAAGAGTCTTTGCGTATTCCAGATCCCGATATATTGCCTGGATAGCGGTTGCTACGCCGTCTTCCTGTTGTTTGATGAGAGAAATCAGTACATGGGAGTTCAGAGCTTATTATATTACAGCATGGTTGCCGTTTCAGAAACTTAAGAGAGTGATAAAAGACCACGTACCTTTCGAATCTGCTCCCCAAGCGCTTTCGCCTTAACAATAATCCGCTCGCTATGCGTAGCTTCCCACAAAGCTCTCGAAAAGGCACTCACGTTAAGCCTCTTCATACAAATCCCAACCCCAAGATCCTCAACCCTGGACCCGAAGAAAAACTGATCCCCAAAGAACGGCTTGATGATCGTCGGAATGCCAGCACGTAAACTTGCACCCGTCGTGCCTGCTCCACCGTGATGCGCGGCTGCATCAATCTGAGAGAACAGCCAGTCATGCGGCGCTGCCTTAATTTGATGAATCTCAGGCGGGAGGGTAATTTCCACTTTTCCGCTTGACGGGTCACCAAGCCGGTCAGACCAACCCTTCGATAAAATACACCGGACATCGGCTCGGAGTACGGAATCCACGATCGTCTTAGTGAGAGCGGCTGGATCGGAGACAACGATGGAGCCGAAACCGATGTAGACGATCTTCTTCTTGTCGGCTCGTGCCTGTTCGATGAAACTTGTTAGTTCAGCTGGCGGTGTCCAACTGGCGCCTTCATCCAAGAACCAATATCCCGTAACGCGAATCCAGTCGCTGTAATCAAGAGGCGGTGGTACAACGGAAGGCGAGAAGTTATATAGGAAAGGAACTTTGTTTGGCTGCATCTTATCGAGATTGGTACCGCGAAGACCAAGTTCTCGCTTGCGCCATCGGTTCACCTGTCCAGCTATAGCTTTCCAAAAAACATTGTCAAACATGACATAGGTAATGTAATTGTACGCCCCACCCATCTTATGTTCGGGAACAGCGAATGCATGTGGATATGCTCTAGTCCTAGTCCAAGGCATCGTGAAGGTGCGAAAGTAGGGTATCCCGAGGGCCTCCGCAATGTGTATGCCGGCCATGGCGCTCGGAGATTCAATCAGGATATCGCTATTTTGACAACTTTTCCATGCAGAAGAGAGAAGGTCATCAATCCAACCTCTGAACTTTGAGGATGCTTCTTTCAGGAAGGAGTATGTAAACATCCCGTTTTCCACACATATCCGCATGAGTTCCGCCGGATCCCCTTCAACTGGGGCAAACTCAATGCCATGGTGTCTTATCCAAGGTTCAAACTCCTTATGAGTCGCGATTTTCGGTCTGTGGCCTTCCGCTATCAACCCTTTGCACAGTGCAATGTATGGTTGTACATCCCCACGGGATCCAATGGTCAGACATGTAATCCTTAACGACTCATGAGGCTTGAAATTAACCATGGAAACACGTGGATCATCAAAGAGAATTGGAGATGTCGCGGGAGACAATGGCACGGACGAAGAGAGCGTTTGAGAACCCTGTTGCTCATCGAGGCCCCCGAGCCTTGCCTCCTGTAGCATTTGATGTTCAGCCATCGCAGCCTCAGCCTCCTCTTTTTCCTGCTGTGCAAACAAACCAGACTCAACTAGGTATCGAATTGACTCAAGATTTTGATGCAGGGTAACAGCACAGTCATCTCGGCCATCTGCGGTATTAAATTCGAAAAACAACTCTTCGTGACCACTAATAATCACAACAAGACCATGGTACCCAAACCGAAAACCCTTTTCTTTTTCGACATTTTCTATATCCTTTAATGGTAGGATCATCTTGGTCCGCGTCCCAGGAAGTAGGCTTCTGAAACACATTTTCCGATTGCTAATATATAGCTTGCCGTAAAGCGGGAGAACTCGATGAAGATAAGCAAAGTATGTAGCCACTAGCTTCTCGGAAGGAGGGAGCGCAAAATGAGCACGGAACCTCTGTCCGTGTCCACATCCTTGCTCTTCATCTTCCGGATCAACCATCCTATCATCGGATAGAACAGCTTGGCCCTCGCCATAGTGTTTCTTCCCACCTATCCACATGCCAGATACTTTTTCGAAATACCCCATCGATTCGGTTGCAAGAATGTTACTCATGCGCTTTGATCGACTTTTAAGGAATCCGGCAGCACGTTGCAACGGATAGCTGCCAGCCTTCATTAACTCTTGAAGAGTGGGTGATGAAGCAGAGCGGGCTGCACTTCTATGTTGAAGGTCGTGTTCAGAGTCACCACCACCATCCAGAGGCTCAACTGGCCCGGATCTCATAAGAGATTCGGTTATCTGCGTTCTTGTAGGAGGCTGGTTGAGAACTTCGACTTCTGCGCCTGATGGTACGAAGCGGGTAGTATCTTCTGAATGGCGCCGGGGTTCATCCCCAGATTCAGATGATGAGGGCCGTAGCCTATGAATGGTGGGCGACTGGAAAACGTCGCTCCTGTTCAAGATCTGGCTGGCGGACTCCGCTGTCCCGCATGCCGACTGTAAGATAGCGGACACCTCCGTTGCATGTTCTAAAGACTGAACAAACGAATCTGATGAGCTCTGAAATTTACTCTCAGGAGACCTTTCGGGTGGGTGGTCCCCAACATTGACTCTGCCGATGCTCTCGCTCCTCCTTCTTTGTCCAAGGCCAGCTACATTCGGTTCATAGATGTGGCCCTGCATTAAGCCGCGAAGTCCTGAAATCTTAGGACTTCGACTCCGGTCGCGAAGAGGCGACCAGGGCCGCAGGGTAGCTCTGACCGACTCAGGATGTAATGTTGTTCCACATGGAGGTGAATACGCTCCAGCGGATTGGGAGCGAGGTCTGGACGCTCGGCCATAATCAGGTGCAAGTGCGTTGTGTTGGATTTGCTGTTCTGCCGTTTGGTTGACTAATTTTTTTAAAACTTCTATGGCCTCTTTGCCACATTCAAAAAATGAAAAGAAGTACTAACAGACAAAAAGAGGCGTTAGCGGCAAATATATAAAAGTACTTTTTCTCATTTTTCTTTTAAAATTCCTTTCTTTCAGGAGGGACGGTATATTTACCTCATCAACCGCACAACTCTCACCGCTTTCAAAAACGCGGATTTTGAAAGTATCTGCAAGATCAATAACAGGGTTCTCCTCAATGTCAATAACATTCTCAATCGGTAAAGATATCTTGACGCTATCTCCCTCATTGTGGGATCTGAAAATAACCTTTTGCAAGGTTTTCACCCATTCCCTTGCATTCGTGGCACTGTCAGCCCGGAATCGATAGATTCGAGTGTCTGTCGTAATCGTAAAATCCCTCACGTCTTTGTCCTTGCCTTTATGTTCCATTAAACTGGCCGAAATCCCATTCCGCAGGTCAATTTGACCACTGGGGAAATAAAGGTTTGACGGATCGAGATAATACGACAATACGTCACCTTTGAGCGTGAACCAGTATCGACTATATTTCGGGTTTTGACGTCCTCGCTTCGAGAGATAACCCGACTTGACAATGGTATGGGACTTTTTGGGGAGATAGGCGTAGAAGCTAATATGTCTTTCGGTAATGTACATGTACCCCTGAAGCAATACACTTTGGAGAAGCCAACATTGGTACTCTGATATAACCTTTTCAGGCCTATCAAACCCAAATATATCCATAAGTCGTGCGGAGAGAAGTGACGAGGGTGATGACTCCTTTCGTTGACGGTCTTTTTCAGAAATCCCCGTCTGGTTTGGTGGAGATTCAGATTCGCCAAAGCGGGCCTGCGCTTCACGCATGAGACCTTGCACTGGAGCCTCCGTGGAAGCCACCAATTGAACAGCTTCCCCAGCTGACGGCTCGTTCGACGCTGTGACATCTGGTTCAGGAGTTGTCTCTTTCCCCGTACTACTCTTGCCCGGCAGTTTCGAAAGGGATTTCAGAAACTGGCCCTCTGACATCCTTAGCCGATGAAATGACCGACCGCGTTCGTTCAGAGTTTTGGAAGATGGGGAAGGCTTGTCTCCATGGGCGATTTGCGTAAGCTGGTCTTTGGAAGGGCTATCAACACCCCGACTATCGATGCCATCGTTTGATAGGAAACGGTTCTTGAGTGGCTGGTCTGTATCTTCATCCGCATCGCTGTACTCATCGAATCTGGTGTGGAAATCATTTTTAGAGCTTGCGGCGGCTATCATGGAGAAGACAGACTGATGCATGTGTGTCAACATCCCTGCACGACCAGCAGTGTCCGATGGTGGAGCCGCCATATCCTCTTGTTCGTCATCCCCAATCCTTAATCGTTCAGGAATGTGGCTCAAGGAGAGACGGTTGGAAGAGGTGCTATCAGTGTTGGGCCTACCAGCCCCCACTTTTGATCTAAATTCATCGTATGGAGGCATGGTTGCGTGATAAGGTGGAAAAGTGGTTGCTGTTGTGTATGGAGGCAATGAAGGGTTGAGGATTAGGGGTCGAGCAAGTGATCTATGGAGTAAACGTGTCGTCAGACTCAAGAGAAGCTAGATCATTATGCGGAACCTCCGTTCGCTAAATTTATATTGAGGTATATAAGGTTCTGGAGAAAAGCCTCTCCAAGAAAAAAAAAATAAAATATAATATAAAAAAAAAATTAAATTAAAATAAGATAAGATAGCCGAATGCAGAGTGCGATAAGTTGTAGCTAATATAATTTTGGGAAAATGCATACCAACAAAGGGTACGCGTAGCAAAAGAAGATAGGGATGAAAGCTTACCTGAGTCAGAGCACCATCAGCTTGAAAACTACCTCAGTGCAGCTATGGATAAGAAGGATACGGGAGCCAAACCGGTCAAAGTTAAAGAGCGTAACAAACAATCTACTGAATCTCCAAAGCTGAAGGGTAACACATAAAAACTAAATAAAATAAACACACAAAGGAAAAAGGGGAGGTGATGCGGGCGTGTTTTGTTGGCTGGAAAGACAAGAAATGCAGCTTATCCAACAGGGTGTAAGGGGGGGGGGGACTTCCAACTAAGGGGCCGAGTCCGGAGTAGTTGGGTTATCTACATCACCATCTCAGCAGTCCGCAACGTCATAGATTAGCGGTGTGGGTGGGGAGGAAAGGATAGAAAGGGGAATCCATCGCCAGATAGAGGGATGGGATGAGAAGATGAGCATAAGGTTGAGGATAAGGTTGAAGAGAAGAGAGAGAGAGAGAGAAGGGGAGAAAGTAGAAGGCGGCAGTTGACGGGATGTCAGCCGCGTCGTTTGCCCTAGAGTGAAAGGGGGCATGTGATGGCCTGAACATGGTGCACGAGCCACAAGCACCAGCCACAGACCGCATAAGGCTTTCAATGGCAAGTAGCCGTTTCGTAGATTACGTCATCGCCAGCACGCACTGGCGCCAATATATTATCAAAACGTTGGCGTGCAATTCGTGCAATTCGTGCAATTTGCATTCTTCCTTTCCAACAAGGATTTTCCTTCATAAGAATAAAATAAAATAAAAAAAGCTAAGGAAAAGAAGTTTCAAGAAATAGGATCTGTTTATATAGTGCTTTGAATCTAAGAATAATAACCAGTGATGAGTGAGTCAAAGCTATAATTAGCGTTTGACAGCTGATTCAAAAGAAACAAAGAAGCGCAAAGGTCAAGCCAGCCATTCCTTCAACCCAACACCCAATTCAACCAATTTAAACCTGATAGCCCTTCCCAAAAGGGATATAGCGGGTGGCAAAAAAAAAAAAGGGAACAAACAGTGTTGTTTTGATTAAACGGACGTCCCCATACACCAGCTGAGATCAATATCCAAACCTCATCCTCATACATCCTCAAATTTCTTCAACTTCGTCTCGAACTTCGAAACCCACTCAGACAGTATCAACGCCGCAACGTTCATCCCAGACAACGAACTGGTCTCCATCGTCGAGATAAAACTCTCCATCCCGCTCGTATACCACAGGTTTGGCGCCAGTTTGATATCCTCGAATGTAACCCGCGGATACAGATATGGATACGACTGCCACACCTTCTCATAAGACCAGCTAATATGTGACGGCGAGATATCAGCTATGCTCTGGTCGTCGCGGTAGGTGGCCTCACCGCCATCATCATCAGTGTTGGAAGTGGAATTATTATCCAGCAGGCGCACCCCGTCAATTCCAAGGATTTGGCTTAGGAAGCTTGCTTTCAACTGCTTTGGCGAAAATATCTTGTACACGTAGTGAGGCCCAGGGGGGAGGCCGTTGCGAGTGGTTTCTGGCGGCTGGACTTTTTGAAGGGTGCTGATGCACCAGAATTGAGCGGGACCAACACCATCAGTTCGAGCGCCTAGCTTGACATCGGGAGGGAGTGTGGTGAGGACAACCTCAGGAACAGACGAGTCGGCAGGCATTTTGAAATATGATGGTGACAGTTTATAAGGGGTGGCGAAAATTGTGACATGGAGGTTGACGTAATGTGGAGAGTCGATTGGGCGTTTCAGGCGTGGTGAAATAGAGATGTTGGAGAATTGAAATGGGTTGGCGATCACCACATGGTCAACAGTGTCTTCTGCAAGGGTGTTGTCTGGGTTGCGATGGGTGACTTTGTATGTCTTGTTCCCAGAGAGCTCAATACTAGTTACGGGGGAATTTAGATGCACCGTTGCCTTTGATGCGTTAAGCATGGACTGGAAGATTTGCCAATTGCCGCCCTCCACAGCGACTGCGCCATCTGTCGCCATGCATACCATCGTCTCAAGGCCGTGGATCAAGGGCAGATTTTGCCCGTAGTTCACCCGTGTGCTTGCCTGGATGATCTCCCTTGCGAACTGCTCGGATACGCCATTGTCTTTCAGGTACTCAGCGCCGGAAGTCCAAGTCGCTTCGGCTAGACCAGCACTCATAGCCGCGTCGGATAGAGATTGGAACGGGAAGTATGGAAATTTGTACAGCTTCAAAAACCTGTTCAATGTCGACTTCATAAGATTCTGCGTCTTCATGGGTGCCCAACCGTATCTATAGATTAGCTTGAAGATGCTCCACCAATACAAGCCCCCCCTCTCTTGGAGAAATTCAAACTCTCTGCCATCCCAGACACCCAAGCTATGAACGGATTCCTTTGGTTGCCCAAAGTCTGAATCTCTCAATTTCAGACCGAATTTCCTCGTAGCTCGGATCAGGTTCTTATTGACCTCGACAAATATAGAGGCACCCAGCTCGACTGGAAGACTGGGATCGTCGAACAGATTGACGGTGGTAGATCGACCACCAATGTAAGATGCCCGCTCGTAGACGGTGAGGTTGAGCGGGATTGAAAAGAAATCAGTAAATTGTCGCAGATAGTACGCAGCAGAAGCACCTGCAGATCCGGCACCTGGGTAAACCAATGTCAATATCCAACAAGAAAGCGGACGCAACAAATTTATTATTTATTATTATATATATATATATATATATATATATATATATGGTAATATAAATGACTCCACTTACCGATCACTGCTACTTTCTTAGCTGGGGCCGGATCCGGGGTTGGTGACAGGACCGTAGCTGGTGCTTGGGGTGGTTCAGGCTCCACCTGCAGCGGAACCTGTGCATCCTGGCAACTGGAATGGGAAGCTAACAAGAGCACACAGAAAACAACAATTGCCAGAGGAGAAAGAATGCTGCCTTTGATCAAAAGCATTTTTGCGAACTATCGCCTGTTCAATGAACGAATGGACGATATAGAGAATGCAGAGGGAGATCGGATCATCACGGACAAACCGCTCGCCCTCTATGTGCGGCGGGTGAACTAACTACCTACCTAGGTAGTTAGTGTGGGGAGATTGCAAAGAGTACGATGGTCCTCCCCGTTCAATAGGAGGATACAGAGCTCTCTCGGAGTGGTACGATAATCGTGGGAGGATAAGCTGATAGATATAAATAGGTTTGCTCTCTGGAAGACGACGTCGTTGGTTTCTGGTCGTGGTTACGGCTATCCACGACTGGGCTGGGGAGCTTCAACGGAGGCTCGTTGGGCGGTCAAGGAAGGCCCTTTAGTGATGATGCAGGCACGTCCAATGAGTTAGTTGAGTTGCCGCAGCTTGACACACCCAAATCTGCGGGTGATAACAAAATCCCCTCGACACGAACGGGCGAAGTATTTTACTGCAGTAAGAGTATCTAGATTGGACATGAAAGCTATATTTTTCTATATTTTCTATAGTTACAGAATATAGGAATGAAAATCTCTTATTGTGCTGGTTAAGGTTAAGGTTGTTGAAGCTTGCAAGAACCCCAAGTACAGGGTTCTAATTGGCTCAATTTTGAGAACCTCAGCGATGACATTCATCTGATTCAACTTCACATACTCCGTCCCTGATCATTACAAGAAATATACGGCAGATATAAGAGTGGCGCTATGACTATCTCCTGGACGCAATGCTCAAGAATGGGACGCTTTATAAATTGCAATTTGACAGGGCGACCAAATCTCAATTCCGTGCATATAAACAGAGTTGGCGTGCAGTTATCAGCAGGCAAGCAAGTGAATGAGGATGATGCTGCCTTCGAGCTCCTTGCGCCGTTGGCAAACAGAGATGGGGACATGGCAGCCACGGCAAAAGCTTGATAAATGTCCGCAACGCTATGCTGTTCGTCCAACGATGTGCCCCCTGATGTTATTGTGCTTGCCGTTGCGGCTGGGGGCTGGCTGGAGCGCTGCTGCCAACGTCTACGGCCTGTATCCGGATCCAGCTGCTTCTGTATTGCTGGCTTCCCCAAGTCTGCTCTTGCATTCTGATTCACTCTCGCAGTGCAAGTCGTGCATGCATCGTGTGTCCTGCTCAAGTCTGTGGAAAATATCTCTCTGTTTCTCCCCGGGCATCCTTATATGAACTCCCCTCAACCCAATCTGATATGCTCCCAAAAGACTGCCCTGCCCTGCCCGTATTCAGCATTTCAACACGTTGACTCTCTACGATGGCGCCTTTGACCTTTAGCGATATAACGACCGCTGTTGCTTTCATCTCTATCATCGGCCTCATTATGACCTACGACCACATTACCTTGATCAAACAGAGACTCGACGTTCTTAACAGCAGACTATCAAACGCCATACGGCAATCAGAGGCAGCAGAGAATGAAGCCCGCTCGGCAATCGAAAAATCCAACATCTGTCGCAAAAAGATGGCAATGCTCGAGGAGAAGCTAAATGACTACCAGACAGCTCTGATGGACGAGATCGCCGAAATCACCCAGCGCCAGGACCTGAACGCCGCCGTCAGCCATCGCGATAAAGACAAGAACCACCAGGGGAGCGTTAGCCGCCCGCTCCATGAGGTTCCTACCTCCTCCTCTCGCAAGACGGATCAATCGTACGTCAGCAGAAGACCGACTCGGGAAACTATCCTGTCCCGTGATACGTTTTCGCCGCACCGTTCCATCTCTGCTGGGTGTGTTGGTGTGGAATATGCTCGCGGTGACCAGACGCCCATACCACCAGTGCTGGTCAAGGGAAAATCGGATTCAGGGAAGAATTCCATGCGGTCGGTTATAGCCAACTTATCTTCCAAGGCGCCCTGGCGGCTGAAGACTAAAGAGAAGACGGCTGCTGTAAGGCAGAGGATTTCGAGCTTCCACCTTTAGCTGTGATTGTTATTAGAGATTGAGCTACGGGTTGTTCGGGTTGTACGGGTTGTACGGATTGTACGGATTGTTCAGTTTGTTCATTGTCAAAGTTTTCTGTGAGTGGACACTAATAGTGCGCTTTTGTTTGATTTCATACAAGTTTTACTTGCATCTGACCATGTTGGTTCCAGTTCATCCCTTGTAAAACATCCGTTTCCAGTCACTGTTCACTACAACTGCTGGGTCACTGGGACGAAAATATTGAGATCCGCAGCACTTTCCGAGCAGCAATGGGAGAATTGCATCCAATCTTCTTCTCGGCAGCCAAGATACCCGGAGGCATCCGTCTTTATCGATCGATTTATAATTTCCCATTGACTTTTGTTGTCATGATCGCGTGGTATGTTTTACTCCCATGTTAGCTGCCGTATCGTTTATCGGATGGCATGGTGTGAATGTGATACCCGAAACAACCCAGCTAACGTTTATGCCAGTACGACATATCGGCGGAGAGGATTGTACCCCAATGCATGGTATCTAGGCCATTGGATAGCCGGGCATGCTGCAAATACCCACGTGTTTGTTAAACAAGATATTGTCTTTTACCAATCCAGTAATGAAATAAAAAGAAACCAAGTTCGATCAATGCTACGTCTGTACGCAAAGAACATATCTATTCAAAACACAGTTCAGATGGAATGTATACACGTCACGAACCTCTCATCAAACAACACACACTTCTATATATAGTCCCTCAAACCTAAAAGCAATAGGTAAGGTCCTGCAAGCGAGACAACTCCCCTAGAGCTTGGACAGAATTCGCCCAGCATCTCCACTACCAAGAACCAACTCATCAGTCCGATAATCCGAGTTGGCAGTGACCTCGTTCAATGGGTTCTGCCTATGGGCCAACTCAAACAATTCTTCGTACACTTTACCGTCATAACGGCCCAGCGCACTGTAATTTTCCTTCGTCAGCTGATGCCCCAACATTCATTTTTATTTTCGCATCAGGCACACGGGAAATAATCAAATCTCACCTATTCAGCAGAAAGTCAGGAATCGCCCAGGAGTCCACCAGCCGCACCGCATGCGGCCGAACACGTTGCATCAGGTCGAATACACGAGTCGTAACCGCGTCGAGATCTTCGTTCGACACCGCGCCGCAGCTGTAGAATTCGCGCGATTCGGTTTCCATGGTGCTCAGGGCGAAAAGGCGGAAGAGATCCCAGAGAACCTCCCGGGTTTGTTCGGAGGGGATATTGGCGTCATTTTTGAGGGCGTTGTAGAAGTTTATGACGAGGATGGATTGGGAGTGTGCTGGTTTCTTTTGGTGAGTATTTAACACAATAACGCAACGGAAAAGGAGTATGCTGAAGGGAGGGGGATTTGTAAGGGGCTTTAGAGCATACTGCGGCTTAATCTGTAGAAATCTATTAGGAGGCTGTTCCAGGATTGTTTCTGGATCTCTCGCTTTTCGTATGCTTTGAAAGACTGGGTAGATAATTTGCGGTCAGCTTGGATATACATACATTTTTCAGGGTATTGGAAGGAAAACATTAGTGGACAATGAATCGTGGTCATCAAGATCTTACGAAATATGCTGCTCTCCATTCAAATGCGTGCACAATATCCTCATCATTCTTGAGCACGTTGAAATTGAGCTTCCTATCCTTCGAATTGAGATATCGCTTCAGACCCTCCTCCGTCCGTGTAGTTGTGGGGCCCCCGTTATTCTGCACCAGTTCGCCAACTTTTTTAATCAGATATCGGGCCACTTGCTGTGTGATCATGTAATTGTCTCCCTCGACAGTGGGTTTGGAGAGATAGTTATTGTTAAGTTGCACGAGGCCGCTGCCTCCCCCAAAGCCATGGCCGCCCATGGCTCTTCGACACGTCTCAATGCCGTTTGCGCTAAGATCCGTGCACAGACTCTTCAGACCCGAAGAGGTGCTGTGGAGTTCGGCAAGGGTGGCAAAATCTCCGGCTTTTTCGATATCCTGTCTTGTCCGGTCGTAAAGTTCGCTCATGGCTTTGCCGCTATAGTGGAGTGCGAATGTTGTGGCCAGGAGGGGAAGAATTCGGAATTGGACAGTGGGGTAATCTAGAACGTTTATTTCTAGAGCAGCATCATTGGGTGCATCTTTGTCTTTGAACTGGCGCCGTATAGAAAGATATCTCACTGCCACTGTTACAGCTCGGGCGAGTGCGAGTCTTGCTTCCATGACAAGTTTAGCACGGATCTGGGAAATTGGAATCAGCTCTGGATACTCCATTTCTTTCGGTTGGAATTGGGCATGGCATACATGGGTCAATGTTCCATATACAACCACTGGGTTTTTCGGCTTGGTATATTCGCCAGACTCAGGGTTCACACTTGAATACCCGGCTAGCATAGCATCATGTGGAACTCTGCGGATACTGCGCGTCAGTTTCGTAAAACAAAGATCTGCTGGGATTCAAAGCACCCTTACCTATGGTGATTGAATAACAAGTATCCGTTATCCATGCTATCATACCCGTACTTCGGACCAATATCGCCCACCACGATACTCTCGGGTGGCTGGTGCGTCTTCATATCCCGAATCTGCACAATGAACGGATGAGGTCCATAGTTTTTATACTTCGTATCTATTCCAGATCCTGAAACAGGAAGCAGCAGTTGCGCAATAGCAATGACATGGTTTGCAGTGCGGCCCATAGTGCCGTTCCACCACTTACTCGCAGTCAAATGCGGACTGTGAAGAACAAATTCTTTGGTTTTTGGATCCCACTTTGCTTCCAGCTCGAGTCCACGAACATTGCTTCCATGACCCAGTTCTGTTTGCGCGTAAGCCCCAATCACTTCCCATGCTTCAATCTTGGGCATCCAGTACGCCTTTTGTGCTTCACTTCCCTGTTGAGCAACCGTTGTGGTGAACATAGACGTGTGGAGGTGATAAGGGAGCACATCGTCGCATAGGCTGGCTGCCATGCTGTAGCCGTCTTTGTTCCATCTAAATTTGTCCTGGAACTGGCGGATTCTCTTGCTTCTGGCTAATGCTAGCAAATATCGGTCCGGGCGGGAAAGATTGGCCTGATTTGTCTTTTTGAAGAGGGGATCACTCTCGAGAACATTGAGGACACGATTTTGCTGTTCAAGGTATTCAGAGGTCAAAAGATGCTGTGAGAGCTCATGGACTGGAATTGACGATCGAGCCCTCTCATTTGCGAGAATCGTAGCTCCATCCGGGGCTGCTGGCTTCAGTGCTGCGCTGAAATCGGTCTTGTTCGCCATTTCATGCTCAGTTATTCTGTCAATCTCAAAATTTGGAATTCGGAAACATCAATTGACCGGTGAAAGTCAGGCTTTCTGGTGTTAAAGCGTGAGAACAACAGACTTATATTATCACAGTTTTCGGCAATCGTGTGCATCTTTTGAAGTCAATTCCAGCGCCTTTCGTCCGCGGCGGGAAGTTCACCGTCTCAGGGCGTCGATGTTTAACATCCTTTGGACCCAGCCAACCAGGGGCGGGCGTCTGGAGTCAGAATATTTCCCCGAGGTCCAGTATCAGAAACGCTGGTTCGAAAGTTGGTGTAATTTGGAGGTGGTGAATTTACCCCTCAGATGACGGCGCATTGCCGAACTCCCGTGTTTTAGCCTATTGCAACATATGAACCCCATTCGGCATATCTAGCAAAAATCTATACATCAGGCGAGTGAAGCCTTGCAAGCTCTCAGTAGCTACAGCAGAGTTCGCTACCGCTTCAAGGCGTGACGGACCTGGCGAAATCCAACACAACCTGTACCCGTTCGATATCAGGAAGGTTATGATTAATGATTGAGCATATAACTATGGCGGTGATACAAATTTTAGCAGGCTCATATAGTTACCGTGCTGATGTCGGTGAAGCCCACAAAGCATATTGAAAGTCAATCGAACACCGGGAATGTTTACCAAGATTCCAATTGAAAGCTGTCCAGTCAGTTTACGTAACCTTTCTTCTCTCGAAGTAAATTAACGGGCCGAAAGAGGAATGGTATTGGCCTATCACGGGAAATCTGTTTTATCCTTTTTTTTTTGTCCGTTGTCAAAATCGGTTGAAGTGTTTGAGCTAATTAAGCACCGAGAGCGTTGGAAAAGTTACCGAATCGCCGACCGGGTTTAGCCATTGCATCTAGATCCCACTCCCCATTCAATTCAGCGTATCAATCCCGAGGATCTAATAAAAAGCCGAAGTAGAGCTCTCAACTTTCCACTGGGGGAATTTGCAAGGCCAGTATAGCAAAAAGAAAAATGGCAAATCGGAGATTTGGGAGCTATGGCTTCGGCAGGATCTTGCATTGGGTGGTGCCTTGACCTCAATCTTCGTTTCAACCTAGTAACTATATCATAAACTGCTCTGCTGCAACGTTAGCAGATGTGCGCTTTTCAGCAAGAGGCATTTTCCAATAAATACGCTAAGTCATGATGTCGCGGAATATTAGCAATGATGTCCATGAGACTCCGTTTTCCGTCTTTTTATGGGGCGGGAAGGAGAAGTTCGAGGAGCGCAAAAAGCTGCTGAAGGCTCTTACATCGAACCCCGTTTTCTCCAAGACTGATGTGACAATTCCGTCGCTGTCTCGGAAAGACGCATGGAGGAGAGCTCTAAGTCAGGCTCGCGAGTTGATAACGCTGAAGCATAGGGAAAAATGGACAGGCAGCCAATTCCGCGATGCGGTACGGATGCTTGACTACTTCGTCCCAGTGCAACCTCAGTTCAGAAGTATGATCACCTCTGCTTATATCAATTCTCCTAACATCTAACAGCCGAGCAGTCTTTCTTTCGAATCTTGAACGCCAAATGACGGACGAGCAAAAGGCAATTTGGATCCCAAAGGCAGAAAGGTTCGAGATCTTGGGATCGTATGCCCAAACGGAACTTGGCCATGGCTCAAACCTAAGAGGGCTTGAAACAACTGCTACTTTTGATAAAGCAACGGACGAGTTCATAATAAACTCGCCGGCCGTGAGCAGCACCAAATATTGGATTGGAGCAACGGGAATCTGGGCTACTCATTCCATTGTTGTCGCCCGTCTCATCATTGATGGGAAGGAATACGGAAATCATCTTTTCCTCACTCAGCTTCGCGACCTGGAAACGCAGGAATTGATGCCAGGGGTAGAAATTTACGAACTGGGGCCTAAGGTATTCCAGGGCATGGTTGGGGTGGATAATGGTGCCATGCAGTTCCACAATGTCAGAATCCCTCGATCTCAAATGCTGGCGCGGAATGCTCAGGTTTTGCGAGATGGGACATACGTTCCACCAAAGAATACAAAACATTCATATGGCTCCATGATCACCGTGCGGGCTATTATGGCTGAGATTACCGGATACGATTTATTGAAGGCTGTCGCAGTAGCCTATCACTATACGACCTTCCGAAAGCAATTCTGGATCGAAGGGCAGAAAGAGGAGAATATGGTATTCAACTATGCCAGCGTCAAATATCGACTTCTTCCACTCCTTGCGAAGGTAAAAAGTTCCAGATTGCTTTGATCTGTTACCCATTACAAGTCAAGCTAACATTTTAAACACGTTTAGGGGACGGCGCTTGTCCTCGTTGGACAAAACATCAAACGTGCTTTCGATGAGTACTCGGAGGTCGTCATCAAAACGGGCAACACGTCCCAACTTGAAGATCTTCATCTGCAAACCGTAGGCGCAAAAGTTTACTCGACTGACATCACTGCGAATGGAGTTGAAATTTGTAGAATTGCATGCGGAGGCCACGGATATAGTGCTTTGTCTGGTTTTGGTCAGATGTATGCTCACACCGTCAATGCAGTTACATATGAAGGTGACAACTATGTAATTGCCCAGCAAGTTCCGCGAGCCATCAATAAACACTATAAAGCGTAAGGTGCTCCTGTCATAAAACTCTCGACACATCACCCCAGGATTGCTAACCTGGATTTGCCATCGTAGAAAAACCGAGCACACAGTTCCCAGCCTGTCCTATCTAAGCTTCCTCAGAAAGCCTGAGAGCGGCATCAAGCTCTCCGTATCTTCGGAGTCCGACTGGTTCAAGACTGAAGCCCAACAATGGGTTCTCGAGCGCCGCCTAGCAACCCTGGTAAAGACTCATATGGAAGCTAGCGAAGCAGGCAAAGACACCAGCTTCGCCGTTCACGAACTCACCATGGCCCATTGCGATTTCGTCTATTGGAGGGGATTCTGGGAGGTGATTAAAGAGGCTTCTGGCACCGAGTTTATTCAACAATTGGAGGCTCTTGCACAAGTGGTAAGAATATCTTCCCGCAACTCCTTTTCCAGGCACACAATATACTTGCGATAATTTCCGCTGATTGCCAAAACAAAACAGTTCTCTCTTTCAATCCTCCAATCGGCACACAAAGATATATACGCTCCTTACGCCCTGACAGAGTCTCAACGCAAAACTCTTTCGTCTGCTTATGACAGGGCAATCGACACCTTATCTGGGTATGCAAAGTCTATCATTGATGCGTACGGTTTTACGGAATTTGAAATGGATAGCGCATTGGCCAGAGCGGATATGGACCCGTATGAAGCGCTCTTTGCTGGAGCAAAAAATAGTGAAATGAATAACATGAGGGATATCTGGCCCACTATTGTGGATGCGAGGAGAATATGGGGGAGGTTGGACGCTCAAAAGAAGGAGAATGCAAAGTTGTAAATGGATAGATATGGGAATGAAAGGTGTAGAGAAGATTCATAGATGTCATGTACTTGTACATACACCCAAGCTCCAACTACCACCCCGTCTAGTAATGAAATATAATATTATGTCTGAAAAACACGAATTGCTGCTTAAAAACATAATTGGAGTCTCCCCTAGATTACACTTTGAGTGTATGTCCAACTTCAAAGTATCGATGAAACTGAAGTTCGATTAACTAGTTAACTAACTAAACTAACTTAGTCAGCAAGTCGTGAATAGTTTCCTCATTAGCCAGAACCCAGCTCGGCTGGACCTTCCCAACCACAAACCATTTTGCGAACTAAACATTGAATTGAAAATCTTCAACGTCAAATATCTTTATATTAACCACTGCAACACACTACCAAGACAGACTTCTCCTTTATCCTCGTCAACCGACTTCAACCGAAGTGTTTATGCAGACTCTTCAACTACTGAAATTCTTCGATTTCACTTTTGATACGTTGGAGTATCTCGCAAACAATTTGTGGCAAACACAGGGACGATAACGAGGGAGAACATTCAAGGTCGAAGTCGACGCATCATATCTCAAAGGACAGGGATCAGAGAAGATCAAAAAGGCACCAGAGAGTGAAAGGGCGCATCATGGCTGTGTTCGACAAGTGCAAAACGAGGCCGCAACATATTGAAGCCATTCTCAATGGTTTGGACAGATATAACCCAGAGACCACCACCATCTTCCAAGATTATGTCGTGCAGCAGTGCGAGGACAGGACATTCGACGCCTATGCCAACTTGGCACTGCTGAAACTGTGAGCGCTTTTATTTGGCTTCCTGTTTAGGGACTATTTTGAAATCCCTATTACTAGTGATCATACCACTCTTTTGATATCCTGTTCTCGTTCGTTCTATCTATTTATGCTCTTACTCTGATGAACTCCGTAATTTCTATTACATTCACGTTTCCTATTAGCCTAGACATTTTTACCTGATACAATATCTGGTAATTGACCTGCGGATACGAAATTATCTGAAACGATATTGGTCATCCCCAGATCTTTCTGTTTTCGTACCAATCTACGAAAGCACTGCTAATGTATGGATGCCTATCATCGGCCATCATCTCTGCAGCTACCAATTCAATCCTCATCTCCTCCATACCGAAACAACAACCAACATTCTCGCCAAAGCGTTAACCGTATTCCCCTCACCCGCCTTTTCTCTATCTCTCGCTCTCCTCCCAGCGCACACACAGCCATTTGCCTCATCAAAAACATCGTCCCTCCCCATGCAAACGTCTGATTTTGTCGAATCTGTCCAAAAGCTCTCCCGCCTCAACACCCTCCTTGAATCCGCACAATACCCCCACTTCTGGTCAACCCTCAATTCCGATGATCTGTATGCGGATTTAGTTGCCGATGTTTCAGGGTTTGAAGAGCTAGTGCGCGTTCGCATCGCTGTCGAAGTTGGCAAAGCATTCCGTGAAATAAGCGCTGACATTCTGGCTCAATGGCTTGACTTGCATGGATTGGAAAGTTTGGAGAAATTCGTCGTTGATGTTTGCGGGTGGGAATTGGACAAGAGCGCGGGACCAGATCTCAAGAGTATAGTCGCTAGAGTCCCCAGGAATAAGGAGAATGAAGCCAGAGGAGAGATTAAGGGAGAGAAAGTGGGTATAGAGATGTTTGGCCGAGTTCTTCGGAGAGGTTTCGAACAACCCGTATGATTTTTAATTCGCCTCTTTGTCTGTTTCTTTTTCCATTTGAGTCTACATGTTCATTTTTTTTTTTTTCGTTATCATGTCTTGAATATTTCTTGTCAGATTTCCTGTTTATGCGGGATCCGCATTTCCTTCTGATGCGGAAATGAAATATTGTCATGCCAGGGAATAGGGAAGCAAAAATATACTTAATTGAATCATTTGATCACAACGGGCTATCTTCCGTTAATCTCGCCATGTGGGCATCGAACTGCAGTGCGTATGCAGGTGCGGTATAACCAGCTACTAATGTACGCTCTAGGTATATTTTTCATAACAAGCAATAAGCCTGCTTTAGCCAATTTAATTTTGTATCTCGTAAATCACCGGCAACCTCGAATGTCGATGATCTTTTGACTCTTTCCCCATCCCCTTCCTCATGTCTATGAATTACCAACCATGCAAATGCATACTTCTGAAGTTGATGCCACCTCACTACCTCCCAGCAGCTAATTCCTCCCACTGGACGCCAACCCACTCCTCTCTCCACACCAACAATCCCTCATGCTCTAAGCCACAATTCGCAGCGCAAACACCTAATATCACAGTCCCCCACTCCATCCCCGAATCATCGTTCGGTCCAAGCCCAATTCCCTCGCGTCCGTCTTCAAGCACCGCAATCGCATGGGGGGTAAGCTGGACCTCGAAAACGCGTTCGCGCCCACAATACTCGCAGCGGGGAATTCTACTGTAATTTCCCCCCGTTCGGCTGCTGGCAACTTTGATATGGGATGATTTCTCAGAGGATGAAGTGTGGGAGAACAGTTTCCCCACAACATCACTGGTTGAGTAGAGAAGAGGTGTCCCGCAAAATTCATAGCGGAGGACTTGCTCCGGGTTATGACCTAGACGGGTAGAGAAGCGCAGGAAGGATTTGTCCATGGTGGATTCGAACGTATCTTTTGGCTCAACACCACCTGTTGTATCGTCTTCAATGGCCATTCTTTCAGCCGTGTTTGATACTGCGGGGGTTGAGGGGCGGGAGAGGGTTTCATATTCTGCATCGAGGTGGTAGTGAGGATAAGGCTTTGGGAATGAAGATTGGGGTGGCCATGGCAGCGGCGGACCGGCCATGCCCTTCGAGGGATTTGGTGGAGGTGGGGAGGAGACACGGAGTTTTTGGGCAAAGCTTTCGGGGAAGGAATCGGTGGTTGGAGGAGGGGAAGAAGGCTTTTGAGGGGGCTTTGCGGCGAGGATGGAGGGAGAGTCGAGAGAAGCAAAGGGGTTCGCTGGGCTGAGAGATGAGGTGGTTGAAAATGGATTTAAATTAGCTGACTGCCCTTGGTTGGACGGCGCTGCACCAAACAGACTGGCGCCCAGATCTTGCTTGAGCTTCTCCTGTTCTGCTGGCATAGGCTGTGGTGCATGATCCATCTTCTTCAGTTGGTTATTTTGCATTTGTTGCGAAGAATTGACAATTTTATGCTTCTTTACACTGCGCAAGCCTCTTATGCTTCCCGGTTTCCGGTTACAGGCTTTCTTAGGGCACCCAAAGATATACAGCCAGCGCTCATCGTGAGGGAAATGTTGCGGTAGATCTCCATTTAGTTGCAGGAGAAGCGGCATCGGGCTGTTGCAGACTTTACATTTGGCGAAGTCGCCTGGTGGTGGGGTCTTGGGGTCGAGCCATGTCTGTAAACTTCGTCCATTAGCATTGATAGAGGTGAACAAAAGTATATACACGCAAACAATAAATAAGCAAAAATAAATGAAGTGAGAAACCCCCGTACCGGCCAGCCGCCAAGGTGACTGATCGAATCGTCAGAAACCTCTTCATCTACATATCCAAGAAGTACGTTGGTTTCGGTGTAGGCTCCGACATCATCTATGCCAGATGAATCACTATCATACGAATCCATTTTCGCAAAAATCGGGTAGATACTATTCTCGCCGTTTGCAAAAAACGAATTGATCCATACTACGCTGCAGAGAACAGTATGTGATTAAACTTTCGCTGTTGATAGTTTCAACTTCAAATCGGCAAAAAAAAAAAAAGAAAAAGAAAAAGAAACGAAGACTATTGCTTCACGTGATAAGATGCGGTCCGATTGATAAGATAAGAATACAAGGGGGTTTGCCTTTTACAATGACATAACTATACAACTGACGAAGCTGCCCAAGGTGGAAAGCAGTATTTTACGTTCGGGACATTAAGATCATCTTAAACCCAAGCAGCATAGTGATCGGTTTTATTTATTTATTTATTTATTTATTTATTTTAAATATCCATGTAGGCTTGGAACCGGTATTGTCGACTTCTTTCTTCACAATGAATGTTTACTCCTGCTATTGACTGGGAAACGTTCAAAAGTAACCTGCATCCCCGGGGACAGAAAAGCCCACACCGCTTCTTTGGTGGGTGGAAGGAGGATGCCAGGTCACAAACAGCAGATGGATTATTTAATGGAGGTAGTGAGGCTACAGAGTGAAACAGAGAGCAGAAACCCGTATTTTCTGGCTGCAGACACACTACCAATATCCACTACCAAGGTGTCAGGTCCATGTAGTTAAGTATTCGCTTGGTCACTTAGCCAGCCGCGCACATTCTCTTTCTGCTGTTTACTGCCTATTTTACTAGCAGTTAGCAGACAGATGCAAGGAACATACAGCTCAGTTTGATACAACATTGGCTATTTGGGTATCCTGACACAAGGTACCTGGTTGCACCACCTCCAGCCACCCCAACCACCAGCGCAGCGCTGCTATGTCTCGGTCTTCCCCCCCATAGAGGAACCGTTTTCTGGATCCAGAGGTCAGAATCACCTGCAGGTCCCAGCCCTTGGTGTTACCTATTCGTGAACTATGCTCTTAGTTTGTCTTCTCAACTAGACGAATCCAGGCGGCCGCGGGTTCATCAAGAGGGATCCAAAAAATGGTTCCGAACCCGACATTGTTGATATTCAAAGCCTTCTGATGGTGTTACTCCCAGGTGGTCGAATTCCCACAGGCAGAGGAATAGCTCTAGGATGCAGCAGTTCTGATATGCAAGTATAGTCATTTCGCATTAGCATTCCGTGGAAACCTGTCTGCTGTCAACTTTTCTCTGCCTTTCAACCAAAAAGGAGAGCCTACAGATGCAAGTGTCTTTTTATTGCTTTATCGCACGCTCTTGCGGCCAAATCTAGCTATTTCCCCTGCAGCTGCTCCTCTCTCTTCCTGTCCGATTGGTTCATCTCTTGAAACAGGTCACCCATAAATACAGCGAAGATCTCGAACAAGACCGTAGTTTTCAGGGCCTGGCATTTCCTAACTAGCGACGCTTCACACTGGGTTTTGTGAGCTCTGGATTCTATTTGATTGCGAGCAATTTAGGTGGTATGAAAACAGGGACGCGATCTATATACTCGATGGACAGGGGGTGTCCCAAATACCCCGAAAACCATATTTCTACTCGGCTATGTTCGACCTTTTGCAGCTGAATAGTTATTTAGACCCGGGGACTCTCAATTCAATGCACGGGTTTTCACCATAATGGCTAAAATTTCTTGAAGCTCCAATGGAAGTTATCCCAAAATCTAGGTACCTAGTCTCACACTCCGCTTCTTTGTCGGTCCAACAACAAATACACATTATACACCATTTAAGACTCCTTCCTTTTAACTCGGTTATCACCGCCCAGGTGCTCATGGGTGGATTTCAAACGTGCTTCCAGATGTTATCAAGGTTGGCTTCTACAATATTCAATGGGTTAAACACTCAATGTTGTCCGCTTCATGCTCATCTCTCCTAATCCACAAAACCGATGTTTACATCGTCAGTCACATTCCCCATGTTGAGCTTATGATCTCACATTTGCAGCACTTTTACCAGGCGTGAGACCCAATTATATACCTCCTCTTTCTCTTTTTGGTCACATTGCAGTCGTCTCTTAGGCTCTTGGGGGGGGGAGGCCAGAATGCTGGACGTGTTCTGTACCTGTGCTGTACCTGTGCCATCTTAACAATATATAACTACTGCAACATGTGATCGCGCTAAAAATTCGCATAGAGTCAAGCAGTTTTCTGGAATCGAGTTGAGCTGAATCATTCCTTACTGAAGTGCAACTAGAAGATGATCCAGTGAGGCTTAATGGATTGAGTACTGAGCAAGGAATACTCCCGAACAATGAATATGAGTGTGAAGCTTGGAAGGGAGCTTACAGAATGCTCATGACAATTATCCAGAACAAGAATAGCACAGCAATATATTCTATAATGTAACAAAGTCAAATCAGAATGATAGATAACAAAACCTAAACCGCCGAATTTCGCCAGATCACCCATTTCCTCCCATTTACTCCGAAGAATAAAGGCACGATTAGAAATGAAAAAGAAGAAAACCATATTAACCCCCCAACCATCCCTTGTGCCTCTATTCATTTCCTGGGTAACGTTGGAAAGAAGTGTAAAAAAAGGAAAGCGGGGGAAAGGGGGGACTAAATAACTCAGAACTGAGAAAAGGTACCCCTGAAAATAAAATATACAGAGCACGAAGAGAAACCACAGAAAGCTTGTGATGAAAAAGGCGAAGAAATTCACCTCATCCTTTAAAGTGGTAGCTTGTGATGTCTGATGTGTACCCTACATACACATGCCTTCGCAATTGCACAAGAACAGAACACAACAAACAGCATTTGGAAAAATGCGATACAAAATCAAATTGCTCGTTTGTTTGTTTGTCAGACCGTTAAGATGGTGGTGACGTGGGTGACGTGTGAGAGGGTGAAATAGTGGAGGGGTCGGGAAGGGGTCGAAAAGACGAAGAAAACGAGGTGATAATTAAAATAAAATTTAGTAGAAAGTGAAACAAAGGCGTGGAATATCCGCTCTTCTCTTCTCCATCCATTCGGAGGCAAATTCGATTCGATGTGATTTTGATACATGTGCGTATGTACAGTACGTACGTAGAAAAAATAAGCCGTAACAGCGTCAAAGGGTGGAATAGATAGATAAGATGTCGAAAAGGGTATATGATTCGAAGGTATATGATTAAAAAAGGGCCCATAGAGGGGAAAAAGCCGTGTGAAATGTAAGCTGCAAAATATGTAAAGATGAAAACGATGGGCGCTTGAACGCTGCAATGTCAAGAGGAAAAGGGATCCCTAAAAGTAGGATGGAATTGCGGATTCGGGTTTGTGCCAAGGATGTTTGCGTAGAGAGTTAAAAATGAAGTCGTGTCGATCGATTGGGTTAAAGAGTTATGATATAATAATCCACCCTAGGCTACTACCTGTCGTCCACGATGGGAAATAGGGATCGGTTTCGGTGCAGGCGCTAATAGCACGGCAGCTGAATCACCAGCTCTGTAATCACGTTGCATCCTAGAAGCTGCACCGGCTCTGGCACCAGCAGCACCACCCCTCTTCATCGACTCCCCTGACAACGACGCCCTCCTTGAAAACGTATTATCACTCTCCTCCTCGAATGAACTCGATACGGACCGATGATCATCCTGCAGGCCACAACGGGACCCGCCGCCAAACATCGCACAGAGCTGCTGTAATAACGCGACAAATTGCGCATGCAGCTCCGGAAATACATACTCATTCCCGACTATTTCCGCCAGGTTGCGTGCGCGGATCTGTCCCGCACGCCTTGGCTGGCCGTCCGGATCCAGCGTTCGGCCCGTTAGAAAGGAGGAGATTGGTGTGTATTTTCGACCGTTGGCCATACTGTTGGTATTATTATTGTTCGTATTGTTGTTTTTAGCATTGCTGGTCCCTTCCTCCCATCGTTTCTCCGTATCCTGGAACCGTTCCGCGGCATTAATGATACTTGCTGCGATACGACCAAAGACACGCCATATAACCGGGGACGCACGGAAAGCTCTCCCGGCATCTTTTCCCGCCAGCGCAATTAGGGCATAACTGCGCCGTTTACCACGGGCCATGGGATCGGGTAGGCGGAAGACGTAGGCTATGGTATAGCCAGAGGCGGAGTCGCCGAATGATAAGGGTCCAGATGACAGTCCACGCGGTAGGAGTTCGCAGCTTAATGTTCGGATGGAAGCGTTGCGCAGCAGCGCGTAATCATCGGGATTTGGAGGGCCGCGCAGGGATAGATAGTTCACGATGTGTGTGTGACATGACGTTTCTGACGATGAAGAGGAGTGAAGAGAGGCTGGCGATGAATGGGGTGGGTGGTGTGGATCGTCGTCATATTCGGAGTGGGATCCGGCACAGGCGTATACGACTTCCCGAGAGCGAAGGACTGGGCTTCCATTTCTGGTTTTGCCATCTTCTTTGAGGGTTCCCGGGCCACCTGGCGGGAGTTGATTGCTCACACCTTTTGGAACGGTGAGGCTGCAGCTTGCGCAGGTTTCGCTATCAGTACCACCATTACGAATAAGTCTGTCCGGATCAGTGCGCCCAGATGATCGATTCAGGAACCAGGGGTGGTTTTCTAATCGTTGACTGGAAGCCGGGGCAGAGGAGAGCGGAGAGGGCAAGGGGTCGAGGTTGGCGGAGGTGCAACCGGTGAGAGACGTGCTAACTCCGATTTCTGGAGGTGTTGTAGATTGCTGGTCTGGCTTTCCAGCTCGTCCAACGGTACGGGACTGTAAGGAAGGAGAGGCGGTATGAGAAGACAAGGGAGTATCGGTAGGGGAAATGTCGTAGGCATCGGAGTAACATCGGTTGCAGGATGAGGGCATGACTTGGGAACAGAGAACGGATGTCGGGCCATGCACTTCGCAGAAGTGCGTCAGGGAGACCTGGTTCAAAGGACGCCAAGAGCAAGTCAGTATACAACTTTTACACGGTGTTCCGAATGTTTAAAAAAACAAACAGTTGACACGAATCATGGAGTCCAAAATGTGTAGTATGTGTGCAACAAAAGATATTATGATGCATATCGTGATGCAGTGTATCGTTATATATGCTGGAGCATAGGTATAGAAGTAATAAATCCTTTAACAGAACGGTCCAGCATGTATTGAACGATAGATCTCAATGAGCAACGTCGCAAAACGCAAAATGCAAAAGCACAAGAGGATAATGTGATGTCGAGACCAAAGCGCGAGACGACGCAGTTGAATGAAAGTGTCATTCTTTAACCGATGCTGGCCGTGTGGTCACCATGGGCGTCATTCCTGAAGCGAGGTAGCTTGCCTGGGCAGGGAGATAGTTCATCTCTTTCAAACAAGCCGCCACTTCCAATCCATTGGGGGGGGGGATGATGGCCAAAGCAATAGTATAGAAGCAAGAAAGAGGATTTGAAACACGATTCCTGGAATTTGATGCGAAATCCATGGGGAGGAGACTTACAATAAAATCCATGACAGGCTGTATGTGAGGATTAAAAGCCCGGGTAAGAATCACACCGCCATCCTGTACATTGAGACATAGTTTCAATCAGAGGATGCGACAGGAGATGCGACAGGAGATGCGATGGGGCGGTGGATGGTTGGGTGGCGGGTGGTTTAGCTGAAGTCGCCTCCGCAACAGCTGGGTGAAGACAGCCCAAGAGACTGGAAATGGGGAGCGAACGGGTGAAGTCAACAGTGGAGAGGGAATTGGGAGATGATATAAGAATGCAGCAGTGATTATTGTTGGATGGCGCAGTCGGGTTGTCGGGTTACTCTTGTAGGTTGTTAGGGCTGTTTAAGTCGGGTGGATAGCGTGGGAGAAGAGAGTGGATATTGAGGGAGAGACAAGGAGAAAACAGGGAGTCCAGGCAAGTTATATATACATGTACGAACCATACACACTCAAATAGGTCTCAAATAGGATTCTAATCCCGAGAGATTATAAAAGGGAAAAATAAAAGAAGAAAAAGAAGACGAAATGAAGAAAATAAATAGATAGTTTATTCAAGTAGCAAGAGGGAATTAACCACCTAATACAAGGAAGCACTTTGCGGCTCTCTTCCTTTCTCGTAGTACATACGTGCTACATCTCTTTAACATAACAACATAAAATAGTCAGACATATGTCATTCTTCCCCGAGCCCCTCACTCCTTCAAAACCCCAATGCAAACCCCGGTAGTAGTGTTATTATGATAAACGCTGAGACGACGAGAAGGAAAGCAACTACTCTCGGTAAACAGGGGCTCTACGAGTGGGAGCAAATCGGAGCAGCGGAATTTCACATCCCCCCCCAAAGCCCTATAGCCTCCTTGGATCCGGAGAGATGGAAAACCGCCGCGACTCGAAACCAGGGATCCAGCATTGTGACAAGACCAAGGCTTGCATTCCAAAGGATGAATACCGCACTCTCTTTTCCCTAGATGCTCCGTGCTCCCTTATTATTAAATTGTAACAGTTAACTACTCCGTAACTAGTTATTATTTCCAGAGAGAACAAACAGCCCTTTCAACTTTCCGCCGCATTCCTGCAGCGCTTCATTCGCCCTGTTTGTTGACTCGAATTGGACCTTGGTTCAGCTGGTGGCTCTGGTGGCTGTGGTGGCTGTGGAAAGACACGATTGAATAACCAGCCCGTTCTTCCGCCTGGACTCGTAGACACAGATTATTGTCTGACTTGCTTAGAATATGTGTGACAGGCCTGACGGGGAGAGCTTGGCCAGGTTCCTCTCAATATTCGATGCTCGAAATCAATTTCCATGGTCTGGCCCTCGGTGGTCAGAGAGTCTGTCGCAGACACTTTCTTAGCTCCATGGCTAGCCTGTTACTTAGCTTCCATCGGAAATACCCAGTTTCAAGATACGAAGGCATGGAGCGATGATGGAACCACCTCCCGTACTGAAAGATTGGGCAATCTGGAGGAGAAGAGATAAGGGATCATCCATCCGATCCGTCGTTTGCATTTGGAATAGTTGATTGCTTTGTGCTATCGGGACTTGTTGTTCCGCACCCAGGTAAGGTTATGTTTTGGGGAGTTGTTTTTTGCTCTACCTTGAGAATCCTTGTTTAACTAACTTTTAAGTATATACCAATTCCACCCCATCCTTCCCAGCCACCCCCATACCCCCTCCGTAGTGTGGGTGATTAGGAATCAGCAGAAATGACAGGAAAAAGCAAATCTCTATATCACAAACCTAAAAAGAGCTAAAAAGCGGAATTGGAAGTGAAAATATTAAACATGATAAATTTGAGAGCTGCCTTATCATCTTTAAAATTCAGCTTCATCTTACCTTTTTTTTAACTCATAACGGTCCTACAGAGGGAATGCACTCAGAACACTCCTCTTGACTAACTTTCATCCTCTCAATGTAACACGAGACAAGAGAGACAGGTACCTGATGCCCAACATCATTTTACCCTGTTTCCTTCATGCCATACGCCATATAACCCCTAGGAACCTAAATATGTAGGTACTCTCTGATAGTTACACGATATCAAGAAAATTTTAGTCTAGCTAAAAGTAGGGCTTTCTATGACCTCTGCCTGGCAAGCTAAGAGGGTGATCTTTATACGATCTACGAAGCGTTGTGTGTCTAAGTCGGTCGGCACCCGTGCTATGCGGGTGACGACCATTCCGTCTGTCGCCTCATCTAGCGGAAAGAGGTGAGAGATTGAAAGAAGAGGAGTTGGAGGGGGAGGAAAGAAGGGGGAGAACAGGTTTCTATTCTATTGCATCTTGAAGAGTAAAAACATTGGTCGATCTGATTGCGCTCTTATATCTATATCCAAGAGAAACTGGATTACTGATAAGAAATAGTTAATAGGTGCCAAACCTTGATTTTTACTTACTTTGATTTCTGAAGTGTCGCTTTTACTGGATATAGGATTTTAATTTTTATTCAGGGTTCTGCATAAGGGTTTAAACTTGACAAATTTATTGTACCCTTTTTTTGCGATGTTCTCTCTGCAGAGTCCTGAATTGCGTTCATTGCTCGGTGCCCATGGGATGGGATAGCAGCTTAAAGGAACAAGATCAAAGCATCATCATTGCAAACAACCATCCAGATACTCAGTATAGCTTTTAACTAACCACCCTTTGAGATATAACAGCAACTGGGCATTGACAAACCGAGTGTCACATGGGATTGCAGGGAATCTCAACATCATCATTGTAATGCCCAATCTTCACGCTCAATCTCTGTAGTTAACGTATCGTAGACAATTACTTACGCAATGAACCAATGTTTTACCCTTCACATTGGGCATCAGATAGTTAATTTGTCAAACCTCCATCCCCATCGCATGTCGCTGTCAATACACTCTTCAACTGCCGTTTACTACTATACGACCTAGTTAACGAGAAGTATTGTTCGATACCCCAGAACCCTGGGTCCTCTTTCGCCCCTCCAGATATTACCCCATTCACATCCGCCGCTGACGGTCTACCGAGCCCAGAACTGCAGGTAGTTACCAGATAACTATTCCAGAAGAAGTGGATCCCCGTTCTCCACTTCGTTGCAGCCTCCGCTTACCTCGTTTTCCATCTAATAATATTAACTAACTAATTAATCTTCTTACTTACTACATACATGTACATGTACATCTACTACTTCGACTACTACCCTCCTCTACTACGCCTCCTCACTCACTTCTGTCGAAGAATATCGATTACTCTGCTATGTGTCCTTTTCCAGGAGACTGCCGATCTTTTCTGTGTCAATCCTGTCTCCCTTGATTTACATTCTGGCGACCAGAAATTGTTAAGCTGCTCTTTTTTGCCAGGACGCAGTTAAATGCGGGCGGTGAGGATGCAACCTTTAAGTGGCCCCGGCAGCCATCAACCTTTGAAAACTTCTTCAAACATAGGAACCTCCTTAGGGAACAGCACAACAAACGTTTCAGCGCTGATGAGATTGGAATCTACAGTCATCTCAACTCTCTTCAGTCTCTATCTAGCCATCTTGGCAGAAAGCTCTTTCGACAACTATACAACCCATTTGGAGTGATTGGCCCACATGACACTCACGTATGCCTTCTGTTCAACATCCATTGGGATTGAGTTTGGAACAGGTTCTTGACATTCGGCCTCCTAAAACTCCGACTTTAGAACTTTTAAAGCTTCTGTTACGATACATCTTGGCTGGGCTGTTCTCGGTATTTGAAGAGGCTGAATTAAAAGAACCCGCGCCGAGAAAGGTTCTCATCAATCGTGTCATTTACAAGAGCTGGCGTATTCCATGTACGCCTCCTCGCCTACCACTTATAGCTGATTTTGGCGAGGCCAGACTCGCAGATGAAAATCACAGAGGACAAGATATTATTATGCCAGATGTCTACAGGGCACAAGAGGATATCCTCAACATAAATTGGGACATTAAAGTTGATATTTGGAGCATTGCTATGGTGGTTTAGTGGGATTTACCCTTTTGTTACTTTTTGACAGGTTTAATTAACATGCTTTCGATTTTGATAACTATCTGGTTAGATTGGCACCTCCGTAGCTGGGCGTACATTCTTCAAAGCCAGGAATGATCAACGACTTTTGGACGATACGCACCACCGTGCGGAGATGGCTGCTATCATGGGACCTTCCTCCTGAGCAGCTTCTAGAACGAAGTGAGGTGAGTTGTCTACGGTGGGAACAACACGGGTATGTGAATACATGTTCAATCTTCGGAGTGTTCTCCCTTGAACGGCTGGCGGAAGACATCGAGGAAGAGAACAAAAAGAAAAAAGGAAAGAAAAGGGAAAGAAAAGGGATGTTTGGAGTTTCTCCGAAGGAATCTACGTTCGTTGCCTGAGAAAACCCAATTGAGAATCTCAACTGGTACCGGGCAATGATGTAATAAGCAGGTTAAGGTTGTAACATAAAGGCGTAGCACTAGAGGGGTGTTGAAAGCTATTGAGATCTAGCCTTAGAAGTTAGAAAGAGCACGATACATGATATTCAACTATGACCGACAAGGAGCAGTTGGGTGCTGGTGACTGCAAAGATTCCTCATGTACATTTAATTGGACGTTTCCTTTTAGAAAAATCTCAACGATACAGAAGTATAATCGCAAATCCACGGTTGTTTAGAGTATGTAAACTGGTACTTGTGGCCTCGCTTCCACTGCACGAGTTCTGGGTTTCACAAGCTTTGGGTACCAATGCCGGATATCCCGCCCTTTCCGTCAGTATGTTATTGCTGAGGAACAACATTTGGTTAACTAAAAGTATTTCTGCCCCTCATGGCATTGCAAGCTAGGAAACCCTATTATCGTTCATTCTATTCTCTGTTGGAGAGGGACTTTGCAAGATGGCGGGCGGGGTGACGGGGAAGTCTCCATGAAATATAGCCTGTAGTTATTTGTAGAGTTTTACAAACTAAAAATATAACTAGTCCAATATATATGAAGTACTGTTATGTTCATAGGGAGACATTTTTTTAGTTAATCATATATTTATGTCGAACGGCACTGAGGGAACAAAAGGGGAAATGCGACAAGATCCGCTCGAGCCAGCAGAAATGGTTAACGAGAGCTGTGTTTTGCCTCTATCCATTTGGCATCTCCCTTAAAAAAAAGTAGAGATTAGCCTATGAATCTAGTTATATTTTTCCACAAAGATATTCCCTATAGTTTACCGAATAATAATAAAAGCTTTGACCAACGGTACTGACAATGGTTGTGTCTCAGAGTTGTATTCAGTTAACGGCAGATGGATCATCCACAGGATTTTTAGATTGCCAGTGATAGTTAAGGTTTGTCTGGATTTTAACTGGCTCAACAGTCGTAAGTTGAGTTATGTCTGGAAACTATCAAACAAGAATGTCCGACCAGACCTGTCAAGAATGCCACGGGATTTGCAGGTTCGACAGGTTCGACTTCGGGTTTTGTATGATTGGGAATGTCTTGAACGAACCAAACGAGATCTTCCCTACTGCTGTCCACAAGCTTCCCATAAACCACCGAACCCTTGAAACGGCGGAGATAGGAAAATCCAACAACCCCACCCCTACCCCTCTCCTGCCGTGGTTGGTGTCTAGTGTTTTCGTTGCGCTGTGTTTCCATCCATTATTGTGCGGGGGCTGGAGACCTCTGGATTGAATGTTTGAGTCCACCCCAGCATTCTCCACGTGTGGAAGGGATTGAAGGCATGAGAGAATGGCATGGGTGGATCTAGTTCCGATGGGATAAACCAGTCGTTTCAGTTGACAGGAGGCCGAAAAGTTTCAAGTTGATCGGAATGAACCACCTCCCCTCCCCGACGACGTTCCCTCGTGAGAACTTATAGAACCGTGTGTTTGTTTGTTAATTAACGTATTATACATAACTAGTTACCTACAGAGTAGTTACATAATTTGTCATGAAGTCTAGTCGGGGAAGGGCAGTGAGATGTTGCAATTATAAGCTCTCATCTAACTACCGTCCATAAACGGTAGTTACAAACTGGAGTTAAATATGCTCTTAGAGCGGAAGCATCTTCGATGGCCAATGGTCCAAGTTGCGCACGAGGGGTGTTGGGCACCGAGCCACACCTCAACAGAAAGCGTTGTTTGGCCCGTCGATGCAAATTCCGCTAAGATATGTATGTCATCTCAAGTAAGGACCCAGCACTAAAACTTGTCTAATCCACTGCCGACGCTATAAGTTATCCTTTCGTCCATTGCGGCCATTCCCGGCTACCCAGTCTTGGTATAACGGCGAGAGTTCAATCAACACCTCGTGGCCCATGATCCTTGTGTTACGGTTTGGATATCATTGGATTTTGACAGACTCGTGACAAAATCATCCATGTCGTGTAAGAGGGGTTCGTTGGTTAAGCAATAGCTGCTGCCTCGCAACCTTCCTGCTGGCGCTTGATATGGTGGGGAGACAAATTCTTCCTGACATCGGGACATCCCCGTTTCTGGATAGATGTGATACATCGATTGAACTCGCGACAATTCTCGTGGCATATTTATCCTTGCAAGCTCAAAGCCTTGCTTTTGCTCTGCTGTTCTGTTAACAGGTGGGATTATGTGGCAGATATTGATATCATCTTGACCGCCGTTGCCCCCACTGCATAAAAATGCATATGGCCTGTTGCAGGATAAAGGATGGATTGCGCGCAGAGAAATCAAAACGGGACGACGAACATAAATACTCAAACGCGTAAGGGTAACTATACGACCTAATGCATCGAGTCAGTCTGGCGACATGCATTGCTGCCAGGCTATATGCAGAACGAGACTTCATAATTCCAGATTTTTAATACAGATGTGATGAAGCAGGATGCTTGATCATGGATCTCAATGGAATCTCTGCCTCTTTTCCGTCGTGTTTCTTTGTTTTAAGTCCGTGGTATCCCATTTGAACGAGACGGATGTTCTGATATACTGAATCTGGCGGTCAAATCTCCACTCCTTCCAATCACCAATCACTTAGTTAATGAGTTTCCCAATCTGTCGATATCCCGCTTGGAATCCTGAATCTGTCCTATTTTATTGCCGACCTTTGGAGCAGTTCAGTGGCAAGGTGGAAGCTGAGATAACGGACTCCCTCCAAAATTAGGTGTTGGTTTTTGCGGATAGAATATCTTATCCGCCAAGTTAAATGATTCGGGATCCCCATGATGATCGGATCCTGGCTTTGGATGGACACCGCTCAATGATGGCTGAGACAACATCAAATTCAAGTTCTCAGTCAACACCCAAAAGGCTTTTCTGCATGATGCAGGGTCTGAAAGAGAGAAAAAGCAACGGACAGCGCGGATCAGATACAGTAAAACAGTAAGGGCTTTCACAGCCTGGGAAACCTGATAACTAACGGTTCGCCTGGCTACGTCAACTTTTTAACTCTGCCTACGGGTAACTACACAGATAACTACGAGATGAAACTTTTAACTTCATCGACGGTATGACAGCCTCTGACAAAGTCCGCCATGACTGTTCCCAGATCCGATCTTGAAGTTGGTCACGCGCAAATAAATAATTTGAATGCTCAGGATTGGTGCGAAGTCTCTAACTGACCACTTTCATCGAGAATGCTACCCCAGTGCCTTGCTAATCCTAGCTGCGTGTGCCGTACAAATGTACCGTTTTCCCGCCATCAATCACCAACAGGCTCAGCAAGATCTATCTCTCATTTGTTGATGTGGTATGACTCCGGAATCAAGATTTCCCTGGTGCTGATGGGTGATCGAGATATCAGTTTAAGCTTTGAGATCCCGATGCCGGCGATCACCATATGAATGTGATGGGCGGGTGGGGGAAATAGGATGTGTCGTATACTCACTCTCCTTTGTTGTCTCCTGAGTGCGGCATGAGCCTGAAGGTAACTATTGGAGACGCAACTGAAATCCACTGAATATGCACAGTGTGCAAGGAGAGAGGATCAATTCATTTCAAGGGCAAGAGTTTGTACGGAGTTTGATGTTTGCGATAAGAGTTCCGATATTGCAACTCAGCACCCCACGCCCTTTAATACGCCATCAAGAACTCCTCATATCTCATCCTTCCACTCAGTCATGTAAATTGCCCGGTGCGCAAAGCCGTCTACTGTGGTGCCCCACCCCAGGACTAGTCATCCCCTAGCTCCTAAATGTATTTCGTTCTAATTAATGAAGATGAAAGCTACAGTTCCCTCTAGCATTTGTTTCAAAGCTTCCATCTTTTCCTGCCGTGAATGAGGATTGCCGATCCGAAGCTAGTTGATTTGTTGGTCATGAGTGTTTATATTCGATAACTACTAGTTAGTGATACATGTGTGGCCGCTTCTAATTTATCCCGCCGGATGGCCAGGTACTGCTTGATAACTTGGTCAAATTGTTCTGTTCTACAACCCCATTCATTACTAGCTTTAGCGTATTATGCGCATGTTGGGTTTCCCATGGGAATGAGTTCTACATCTGGTCCTGGCAGGGCTTTGAGTAGATGCCTGAGGGACTTGTGCCAGCATTGTTCCTCCCTACAAGGTGGATGGTTGAGGGGGCCGCTTGAATATTTGGCATTCATGTTTCAGCGCTGCAATTCCACCCGTGGTTGCTCATCCGCTTTTAACCTTCATTCCAATCGCTATTTCGTCCCTCTCGTGCTTTTGGTTCCTTTAAAGTCACGCGAGAGGGAGTGGACGTCAGGAGAGTTTCAGTTTCGAATCGCGGGCGCTAAACACAGCGAAGACTTCGATTTCGGCGCTACAAGAATCGCACCAAGAGATCCAGCTTAAACACTAATTACTTCTGTATACCGTCTTGCGAAGCCCACTGATACGGAATGCAACATTATTATTATCGGTACTCAGTACATAGTTGCAACACAGCAGCGCCAGGACCAGGGGATGCAGGCTCGATAGCGGCCAGAGTTACTCTTACACAGCCCTATAAGGAAGAACTGGAAGCCATTACACACTGCGAAGGACAGGCTGAGGGATAACTGAAAATCTGGTAGATGTAAGAAGTTCTCGAATATCACGGTTTACTCAAGTTCAGCGTCCTAAGGCCTGTCAGTGTTTCTCTGCTAGTACACACCTAAACATCAGCCTCAACAAAGAAGCCGTAAAGGGCGTGGAAACTGTGTCTCTGATAGTTGGCATTGCGACCACTGAAAATTTCGGTTCTGGTGACATATTCATTAATTCTTTGTTAGGCAAATATTATAAGACTTGGAAGAGATAGGAGAATGTTTCCGTGTGTCAGAGTTCAGGTCCTCTTTCATCCTGGAGTTGCACAGCTCGATTGTGGTCTCCAATTACAATAAAAATTCAAATCATACGCTTTCCAGTTAAGTAACATCGATGCGCTAAATGATGTATGTATGTGAGTACTGTGCATATATCCATCGATACAGCACGTTGAACTGCGGGAAAGGACACACACAGGTGCGTGCCTCTGGTATAAATTTAGACGACGCAATGCAAATGCAGTGTAAATCACCATTCCTTATCGCTCCCACTGCGCGAATCTGAAGGATATGCCATCTTCCATAGTCTCCACATATTCTTGACGCTGTTCTCCTTTGCATCCCTGGCACGTTCATTCAAACTCATCCAGGGTACGTTACCCGCTCTCCGCACCCGCTCCCGCAACCGCTCTGACACAGCATCTCGTTTTTCCCGCTCTGCTGTATCAAGTTTTATTCCCTCCGCCTTCTCTTTCGCGATCATTCTTCGGTACCGACGTTGTGCAGCACGTGCGGAAAAGTACTCCTCGGAAATGGCCCAGTTGGGATTGTCCACCTGGCCTCGAACTAGGATTATATGGTGTCCTTGCTCCAACGCATCGCGGATTTTATGGGGTGGGATGGGGGTGTAAAGGTCGAGAGTCTGTGTTTGAGGGTTTACGGACCGGATAATTGCCTGGCCTAGACAGTAAGATAGGCTGGGGTCGAGCGGTGTACAGGCACCATTGCCAACGAATAAGTGCGGGAGGTTGTCGTGTGGGGTGCGGGTGATACTAGGATGCGGTGGATCGATTGGCGACGATGGCGATTGGCTTTTGTTTAATGTGACATCTGTGTCTATTGGCAAATCGCCGTCGGGATCCAAATTGGACTCATTAATTTGGCCGTTGTGGTCAGTGACAACATTGTCATCTGATGCATCTCGCTCTTTTCCAGTCGCGATTGCATTAAGGCTTTCGATTGCCACAATTCCTACAACGGCTCCATCCAACAAATCGCTCAGCATGTCCAGGTCATGGTGTGAACCCGTCACCATTATTCCAAAAATCCCCGGTGAGGTTCCGGCATAGTTAACAGTCACTGGTCGTGTTAAACATAGCGGGATATCGGACCAGGTTCTTTCACTAGTCTTTAGCTGTGTCGAATGGAAGTAAGAAATCATTTGCATGGACCTCAGCTGTGCGCTGGATCTGGTCACAAAGTCTGTGGGCTGAGATGGAAGTATGGTCATGAGAACCCCAGCCTCCGAGGCTGTCGCGGTAAGCGGTTCTACGACTTCAGCTGGGCCTTTATTGCTCATATATACTACATCAGAAAGCCCCAATGAAGTAAGGAATGAAAGGACAATCTCCAAGCCAAGGCCAAAAATCCACCCAGGGTAGTTTATGACAAGGGGACATTGAGGGTAACTTTGGAGCAACTTATGATAGCGGTTCATCAGATCCATTGTTGCCACAATGTAGTGGTCTGGGTTGTCCTTTGGCGAGGAGGCTCCAATATAATGAGATCTTATAATATAGCCATCGGACGGAGAATCAATGGTAGGATGCGAGAACGGCGGTCCAAGGATTGGTGTATGTAGACAGGCAAGGTAGACCTGGCCCATTGGGGACAGCTCAGGCTGACCAGGGTCTAAATCTAGAAAAGCGACTCCACGTTTGCCCTGTTGTAAACTACCATCCGATGGGGGTAGGGTCAGTAGGTGATTAAGAAGATATTTATTGAAAGTTGATTTTCCAGACCCCTTGGGACCACAGGTTAGTACTCGAAGAGCCGCTCCTCGTTGAGAGAGGGTCTGTATGGACGTGCTCCATTTTCTGTCAAGATGCAGGGGCCGCAGATGTCTTTTCAGGGGGTCATCCGAAGATGAATGAAGCTATTGGATCGTTAGAATCCTATGAAGAAAAGAAGATGTAACCCTTTAAAGATGGCTTACAATAGAGAATGAGAACGATCCATCCGTCTGCAGAACCGAACCAGGGACTGGCTTTTTGCTATTGCATATCCGATGATACAGGTCTGAGAGATTCTTCAAACGGTACAGCCCATTGTTGCAAGATCTGATCTCAACCTCTGCATAGCCGTCTACTCCAGAAACACATCTTATCACTGGAAGAGAGTGCGTGGACGGTGCATAGACTCTATATAGACGAGGGCTTGGATGTAATTTTGCTCCCATTATGCTAACCACACCTCGCTTAACCCATAGGTCGTACTGGCCTATGAGTGCCAAATTCTTCCCATTGTTAGCCACTGTTTTGTAGACGTCAAGAAGAGGAAACCTACCATTTTTAGCTTCAAACGAATACATATCGCCTTTTCCGTACGATATATAACACTGCTCTTACAGAGGCGACTTTTAGATAAAAGGAAGTTCTGAAAGTCTGCCGGAGCATTTGTTAAATGTGCATCACTATAATCCGTTAAATATCTTTTTACGATTTTGAAGGATCTGGAGTGGCGTCGCATACCTCTCTTGGTCATCACTGCTAACCTCTGTTTCGACATCGTCATCCTCGTCGCTACTGTCACTCTGATATCCAGCCGTTTCCGTAGCGCATATTTTGTCTGAGCTTTCCGCCCTGAATAATGCCGGTGTAGCGGAGTTGGATTTCCCTTTTGTGATGTTTTCACTCTGCGATACGGGTCTTTTATCGGAATTATCTCTCGAAGAACGTCTCGAAGAGGAAGTTTTTGTCCTTTTCAATGGGGGTTCTTCACTTAAAATAGATTCAGGAACCGTAGCTGTAGTTTGCCGAACTGCCACTGAGTTTTGCCGCGACCTTCGGGCTGCAAATGCGCTGACAGGAGCTAAATACAGAACTGTTAATATGTATTCGCTTCAGGTAGAATGGGAAACAAATGGCACAGAATACCTGATTGAGATCGCATATCTCCTTTTCTTTTCATAATTAAACCAAATGCTGGTTTTCCAGTGCCGCTGCTGAGCCTGGAGGTTTCTTCTTCAAAACCTCTTCCAAACCGCTTGATGTTTAAAGTTGCGGCGGAGAGAACTTTCAAGGTGGTCCGTGCACAGCGTCCAACGTCCAACGAGATCCATTTAAAAAAAAAAAGCTTGGACAAACAAAAGTCATCGCAAGTTGCAGGAACAGGCAGATGAAAGGCTGTCGAACATCACTGCTACGGTTGCAGACTTTATTTCTGGATAAGGCGATCATTGTTGAGTTTTATATATTCAGTTTTATCGATGGTTAGATATTAAGTTAAGAGGTTCTTCCCCTCCGCTTGCCCTCGATCTACTCTCTCCCCTCACCCACGCATAGCTCCGTTGTACCCCGTCGAATACACAAATATGGCTCCTCCACTGAGTAAAGAGATTATTACGGACAGCGATAGCAGTAGCGAAGAGTCCTCTGAGTCAGAACTGCAAACGAAACCTTCAGCGCAGAAACCAATTGAGAAGACAAAGCCGAAGAAACAGTTGACAATTGAAGCCAAAGAGAAGGCAAATCCGGAATCAAGTTCTCCAAGTTCAGAGTCGGAGCCCGGAGAAGAAAGTGAAAGCTCAGATGGAGAAGAACCTAGCGCGCTTGAAATGTGAGTATTTTGTGGTATCTAATCACTGTGGCTCCGTTAACGAATAGTTGTTGAAGGGTTTCTACTCTAGCCATTGCGGTACCAGCACAGGAGTTCAAAGCCCCCGATGGGTTTAAAGTAATACCGACAATGGCACCACGATCGTCAGACGTTTCGAAAGCATTCTCAGATCTACGAGAGAAACAACTATGGCACATTACCGCTCCTGCGTCCGTTCCGATGAACTCGATACAGGAGTTTGCGTTTGATGCCGTGGCTCAGGGACAATCGATATTCAATCATAAGGGGATTAATTATAAATTACACGAAGGCCAAATGGGAGCGGATAAAAACAAAGCACTTCTCCTACCAGACAAGGAGGGCAATACCTACCACAGAAGCCACGTTAACATCGCGCAAACTTTCCACTTGGAGCGCATAGTTGACCTGGCAAATGGCGTTACGTATTCAGAACAATCTGTTCAAATAAGTGAACTAACAAAGCCCGTCCGGAAACAGCCAAAGCATCTAAAAATGCGGTATAAACCCTTTGGTGCTTCAGTAGAAGACGAACCGGAAACATCTGGGTTTGGCTCGGAGGAGTCAGAGGGAGAGGGAGCTTCGTTCCGCATGCCTCCAACGTTATCACTGGACGGAGAAGGCAAAAAGAGGAGGAAGTCGTCCATGGAGGTGGAACCGGATAATGAGCAAAGGGAGCGGCGCAAGAAACACAAGAGGATACATTCGCATTCCGCAGCCGGTGGCCCGGAGGACATCTCGCTAACCGAAGATGTGGCTCCGTCTCCCAGATCCAAAAATGCTGTGGATGCAGGAATAGCGCGAGGGAGGACAGGAGAGCAACTCAGGGAGAAGGGCAACAAGAAGCATAGGAATGAGACCAGCCAGGAACGGAGGGCACGGAAGGAAGAGAGAAAGCGAAGAAAACAGGCATTGACGTCGTAACAGTGTATTTTTATTTGAATACCAGCATTTTTAATAACGAGTTATATTCGTTTTCATTCTAGGGAGAGCTGCCCATTTTGTGATTGTCATTAAAAATTTCATAACATCCAGTCGATGAGATAAGCCAATGGCAGTGCATAGCTGCAGGTTCTCCTGCCCTATTCCACGGAACTCCTACTCATAGTCTCCTCCAAGGTGATTATCTCATGTCATGTCAATAAAATATCTTCCCCGATGCGGTTCAATAAATCGACCTGAAGTGAACCACATCACATGACAAACCCTAACTGCCCCTCCCAAAAAAAAAATAAAAGCTCCAAGCTCGCCAAACCCCTAGTATCCAACAATCCAAATATCCAAACAACACTCAATTCCTGGTTATCAAAGAGAAACGAGAAAAACATTAGTCTCTTCATTACACATTGCATACCATACTCCTATTAATTGATAATACAGCATCACCTTGTCATACACACATCATGGCGACATACGCTCTCTCCCTGGCTCACCGAGAGGTAAGTAATTGTTCTGACTCTCAATTGCAAGAGCGCGGGCTAACCTGATGTTTAACAGCAACTCGAGAAATCCCTGGTCGAGTCTGACCCAGAGGTTGCCGAGATCATGGTATGTAGCAATCAAATTTTTTGTTTTACACTCCAAAAGTCATGGCCATTCTTCACCTTCATTTTCTACCTCATTGGCTGATCTTTTATAAATTCCCCTCGATTTAGAGAAAAGAAATACAACGTCAACGAGAATCAGTCGTCCTGATCGCTTCTGAGAACTTTACCTCCCGTGCTGTCTTCGATGCCCTGGGATCACCCATGTCAAATAAGTACTCCGAGGGCTATCCAGGTGCTAGATATTACGGCGGAAACCAACATATTGATGCCATTGAGCTCACCTGTCAGAGAAGAGCCCTAGAGGCATTCAAGCTCGACTCCTCCAAATGGGGTGTTAACGTTCAGTGCTTGAGCGGCAGTCCTGCCAACCTGGAAGTTTACCAGGCCTTGATGAGACCGCATGAGAGACTGATGGGCTTGGATCTGCCCCACGGTGGACATCTGAGTCACGGATATCAAACCCCACAAAAGAAGTATGTATACATTGGCAGAAGTATTCAAACAGTGTAATGCTAACATGAGTCGCTTGAAAAGAATTTCTGCAGTTTCAACATATTTTGAAACCTTCCCATATCAGGTCGACCTCCAGACTGGAATCATTGACTATGATACCCTGGCTAAAAATGCCAAACTTTACCGCCCAAAATGTCTGGTTGCTGGTACTTCAGCATACTGCCGCCTCATTGATTACAAGAGGATGCGCGAGATCGCTGATTCCGTTGGTGCTTACTTGATCGTCGATATGGCACATATTTCCGGCTTGATTGCTGCTGGAGTCATCCCATCGCCATTCGAATATGCTGACGTTGTCACTACTACTACCCACAAATCCCTCCGTGGCCCAAGAGGAGCCATGATCTTCTTCCGCAAGGGAGTAAGAAGCGTGGAGCCCAAGACCGGCAAGGAAATCATGTACGACCTGGAAGGGCCCATCAACTTCTCTGTCTTTCCCGGCCACCAGGGTGGCCCCCACAACCACACCATCACCGCCTTAGCTGTAGCCTTAAAACAAGCTAATACCCCAGAGTTCAAGCAATATCAAGAACAAGTTCTGAAGAATGCCAAGGCCCTCGAGCACGAGTTCAAGAAGTTAGGTTACAAGCTTGTCTCTGACGGAACAGATAGCCACATGGTTCTTCTAGATCTGACTCCGAAGGCCCTTGACGGCGCCCGTGTCGAAGCCGTTCTCGAACAGATTAACATTGCATGCAACAAGAACTCTATCCCAGGTGACAAGTCCGCATTGAGCCCTGGCGGCATCCGAATTGGTGCCCCAGCCATGACTAGCCGTGGTATGGGCGAGGAGGACTTCAAGCGTATCGCCAACTTCATTGATAAGGCCATCAATATCTGCAAGAGTGTTCAGTCTGAGCTACCAAAGAATGCCAACAAACTGAAGGATTTCAAAGCGAAGGTTGCTAGTGAAACTGTACCGGAAATCTTAACCCTGCGCAAGGATATCGCTGAGTGGGCAAGCACTTTCCCCCTGCCAGTCTAAGGTTATTCATGATTCAGTTCTGCCTGGGATCTTTCTTTATCCTGGTTCAGATGCATGATGGTGGTTGAAATTGCAATTTGAAAAAAGAAGAGGAAGTGTGGGTGTAAAATGGAAGAAAAAATTATCAGGAAACGGTTAAGGCAATCGAAGGTGGTGGTTGAAACATTGTTACTTTTCAACCTGACATGAGAGTTACGGCATTGCTTGCATTATTTGGACAATGGGCATGAATTCAATGGATTTTCAACAAGTGATCCATGGCGCAGGGGGCGGGGTTTCTGTATTTTCTCTATTGTTATCCGCTTTATATGCTCTTTGAGTAAGCGTCTGTGTTTCATCACCAGAATGCCTACAGACATCCCTCCGGAAATTAATTCAACTATCTACGGGGATGATCTTACCTACATCTCTTTGCATCCAATTCCGTAAAACACTTGTCATCCATATGACGGAGTACAGATATCAATAAAAGCCATTAAACAATGAATTATGAGGTTTAATATCTAGTCCACCCTAAATAAACACCCGATCAACCGCCCCGTGAATTCCCAACGCCCAAACCAAGCCGTTAAACCTTTTCTAGTAGAAGATAAGACGCCATGCTCAAAACGCACTTTAAGAAGTAGTTAAAGAAAAAAAATTAAAAAAAAAAGACCAAATGCTTATAGAAACAGATTCCATCGAGATGGTCCGCCCAAATGCCTCACCGGCTCCCACCGATCCCCACATCCTTCATAACCCCCCTACTCCTCCTCCCAAACTCCCCAATAACCTCCTGAAGCCTCTCAATGCTCTCCTCCAACTCGGCAATCTCCTCTTCCTGCTCCTCCACCCCCCGCTGCATATCGGGCAACCCCTCCAGCGCCGCCTTAGCCTTCTGAATCCGAATCTTGACCCCGCTAGCCTCCGACAACAGAACCTTGGGATCCAGGAACGCCACTGCGGTCGTGTCTATGGCCGTTGAGCGTGTTGGTGTTGCATTTGCGGACTGTGGTGGTGCTGGAGGAGGTGGCGGGCCGACTCCGGAGCCTCCGCCTGCCTCGCCTTGTTGTTGTTGGTGTTGGTTTGATGGGTTGGAGGCTAGGCGCAGGAGGAGGTCGTGAAGTGGGGGGATGATGTCGAAGATTTGGGGAGGGAGGAAGGGAGAGGTTTGTGCGGGGGTTGTGCTATCTTGCTGTTGTTGTTGTTGTTGGAGTTGTTGGTGGAGGGTTGGGGTTGCGGGGGAGGAAGTGCTGGTGGAGGATTGGAGGGAGGGAATTTTGAGGGAGGGGATGGAGGCGGAGGTTGGGGTACGCGAGGAGGTCATTGTCGTCCGCCGCCGTTGATAATGATATTCCGTCTTATATTATTGTTGTGGCGGAGTTTTGTTCTCCGGATAATGCGATGTGTGATTTGCGTGGTTGTTGCTTGTTGTGTGTGGGTGAAAGAGCAGGTATAAGTTAATCTCATTAATTTCGACAATTGGAATATCTTCTTTCCCCCCCCCCCACTAATGTGTCCTCTCTCTGGTTCTGGAGATTCTGGGACGCATCCTTTGAGAGTAAACTCCAGAGCAAACCGTGTTGAATTGTTTGGTTGTCGTTTGAAGGTTGGTCGGTGACGTTGACAAGGACACGCACGCAGAATAAACAACTATTAACCATTAACTAACCAATTAACTAATATTTAAATGTTTATTTTGGTCAACGCTCGAAAACATCCGCCAGCACCAACCCATCCCTCCATAGACCTCCATTTCTGCTTCAGTTTATGCTGACTGCAACTGTTCACTATCTTTTGATTGTTCAATTCGTAGCGTCTGCCTTTTAACCCTCGAAATATCTATCACCACCGCAAAAATGGTAAAGGTCGACCACAAGGCAGTTTTGAGTATGCTTCCTCAGATTTCCTGCTTTCTCTCCGAACTCGACATATTCAAAACATGATTTATTGGCTATGAGCCCCCGTTGACTCTTTGCAGTTGTTATTGACGGCTGGGGTATTCCTGGCCCCGACTCCCCTCCCGATGGAGATTCTATCGCAGCCGCCGATACCCCTACTATGTCTGGATTCAAGGAGCCGAATTCTAAGACTGCACAAGGCTATACCGAGCTCGATGCCTCATCCCTTGCTGTCGGTCTACCCGAGGGACTCATGGGAAACAGTGAAGTGGGCCATTTGAACATTGGAGCTGGCCGCGTGGTCTGGCAAGATGTCGTCCGCATCGACCAAGCCTTGAAAAAGGGGGAGATGAACAAAACCGAGAACATTGTCAAATCATTCAGGAGGGCCAAAGATGGTAATGGACGATTGCATCTTCTTGGTCTCGTATCTGATGGCGGTGTCCATTCGCACATCAACCATCTGTTCGGTCTGCTTCAGGTGGCTAAGGAATTGCAGGTTCCTAAGGTTTATATACACTTCTTTGGCGATGGACGGGATACGGATCCCAAGAGTGCGGCTGGATATATGCAACAATTGCTTGATAAGACGAAGGAATTGGGAGTGGGTGAGGTGGCGACGGTCGTGGGGAGATACTATGCTATGGATCGAGATAAGAGGTGGGATCGTATCGAGGTTGCTATGGAGGGTCTAGTCACGGGTAAAGAGGGTGAGGAGTCCACGGATCCCGTTAACACGATTGAGAAAAGATATGAGAAAGGGGAGAATGATGAGTTCTTGAAACCAATTATTGTAGGTGGCCAGGAGAGGAGGATCCAAGGTATGTCTTTTTCTTTTCTTTTCTTTCAGTGTCTTTCATAATTGTTCCATATCGAATCCTTACCTGAATAAAAGACAACGACACGCTCTTCTTCTTCAACTACCGCTCCGACCGTGTACGAGAAATAACGCAGCTATTGGGAAACGTCGACCGTTCACCCAAACCCAACTTCCCTTACCCGAAGAACATCTCCATTACCACCATGACCATGTACAAAACAGAATATAACTTCCCCACCGCTTTCCCTCCACAGCACATGGGCAATGTTCTCGCGGAGTGGCTGTCCAAGAAGGGCCTCAAGCAATGCCACGTTGCTGAGACGGAGAAATACGCCCATGTCACCTTCTTCTTTAATGGGGGTGTTGAGAAACAGTTCCATGGCGAGGAGCGGGATATGATACCATCCCCCAAAGTAGCTACCTATGATCTTGATCCTAAGATGAGTGCCGCTCCCGTGGCAGAGAAATTGGCCGAGCGAATCTCGGATAATAAGTTTGAGTTCCTGATGAACAACTTCGCGCCGCCGGACATGGTCGGCCATACTGGGGTGTATGAAGCTGCCATTCAGGCCGTAACTGCGACGGATAAAGCTATTGAGAGAGTTTACCAGGCTTGCAAGGAAAATGGATATGTCCTCTTTGTCACAGCTGACCATGGGTATGTATTTTTCCCCTATTATTAACACACCATCTCTGTTCACTTTTCACAACGTGGCACGGCTAGATATAAGAAATATATATTAGAAACTAATAAAACTTGCATAGAAATGCCGAAGAAATGAAGAACGCCGAAGGGACACCCAAGACATCGCATACAACCAACAAAGTCCCCTTTGTCATGGCCAATGCCCCCGAGGGATGGAGCCTCAAGAAGTCCGGTGGTGTGTTAGGTGATGTTGCGCCTACCATCCTTGCGGCAATGGGAATCGAACAACCTGAAGAAATGAGCGGAACTAGTCTGCTGATCAAAGGATAGAATTCTCGCTTGTAGGGTATGCTACAAGAATATGGATAGGCGGTCTTGCGTTTCCTTTTAGGATGTGTGGTCTTCTAGTGTAATGGGCTGTATAGGGTTGAATATGGGACAAGGGCACAGGTGGTATAAAGCAGCGGGAAGCGAATCGGAGATTTGAATATAATATGTAATATCTGAGGATTTCTTTGTTCAGTATCTAGGCATGTAAAAGAAAAGTTGATGAATCTATGTCCATTTTTTGCAGATAATCCTTCTTGTGATAGAGAAGATGTGTTAACATTTACATGAAGTGGAGGAGTTCCAAAACTATCGAACTCTGCAATGACACATCCCTGCATAATGGAAAGCGCTATATATTGGTCTCATCGACATGTGATGATGTTTTTGCATGTCAAATGGTCACCTTATAGAACGTGTGATGCCGCCCGAAACACTTGGAACGCTGCAAATCCTTGCTTCTTATCGAATCGCCTCTCCCATCTTCTGAATCTGGTAAGTGCAAGAGTATCTGGTGTATCTATCCCTAATAAAAAGTTCCCAGTTTCTTAACCAAAGCCATGCGGGATATATATCTATTCTGCCCCAGAGTGCCCCAGATTTACTTCAGAATGTTGTATGTCAAGGGGAAATCGTAGTCGCCAACTCGGAGTAGTTTCGATATCGTCCAGGCCAAAGGCGAGAGGAAATGAAGCTCCCATAGGAGGGGACTGGAGATGAAGTTATTATAGTACATCGGATGGCTATTCGTTCGATTACAATCAAGCTGCAGGCACACCTGCTTGTTGCTGTTGCTGCTGTAATTTTGTTTGTAGTTGGATAATCTAGGCGAGGGTGGCTAAGCGAAATTGGTCGCAAATGGAATACAACCGCTTCAATGACATACCTCTATCTTCATTTTCTCACTCTGTTCTTGGATATCATTGATCTGCTTCTCGATTCGACTTCTGTTTATTGTGCATCTAAAGTTAGTGATCTATGCCCCGCCTTTGGGGAAAAAAAGAGTATAGTACCCACATACATCTCCTTTTCAATAAAATCAAGACGACCATCCACAGCCATCACTGCATCGCGCTTGTCTTGCTTGAGCAAAATGGGACCCACAAGCTTGTATATATTTGCATCGTCTTCGAGGGTGTTGAATTCCTGTTTGGAGAGCATTCAGACGGCCCGTTAACTCCATAGCCCATTATTCTTGACATGTAGCCCTTCCGTACCTTCTGCACACTTTTGTTTTCCTGCTGCTGGGACTCTAGTTTCTCACGAGCTTGTACAATCTCTTGGAGTTCTGCGGTATAGAGCACGGGTACAATTAGCGGGATGTGTCTGTTGAGATGCGAAATTATGGCTGAAATACAGACCTGTTTCGAGTTTCTGATGCTCGTCACTAAGGGCCTGGAGTTGTCTCTGCAGATCTGCCATGGCATCGATATAAAGAGAGTGAGTTGCTGTTTTAGGATTACTGATTTAACCATAGCTGTTGTTGTTGTTGTTGTTGTTGTTGTCTAGGTACAACTTCTTATGTAACTTAGTGGTTTGCGCACATGTTCCGTAGTCGCAGAGTCGCTTCGCGCCCTGCAACGGCACTAGCGCGGAGTCAGCTACGTAGCTAAGACTCTACACCTAACCCTGTTGTTACCCATGCCTGTAACTAACTATAAATTACTTGACCAGGCAGACCAGAGAACACTTCTACGTCCCATCAGACGACAATCCTCATTCTGTCACCCCTTTATTTCGACACTGGCAGTTGGGAAACATCGCCCCAGCGTATACTTAAATTGCCTTCTGACTTGCTGCCTGCCATTATTTCGCCCGTGCGGGGTTGTTTTTCCCCAACTGCGAGCCACAACTGGAGGGTCGGTCCACCAACATCCCAGATAGTATACCCCATCCACAACCCCATATCGAATCCGGTCGATTCACATTATAGGATACCCGTCGCGATGAGCAATACGGATTTCCTCGGACGGGCTATAGATACCGTGAAAAAGGCCATCGAACATGACAACGCCGGCGAATATGAGAAAGCTTACCAGACCTACTACTCCGCCCTCGAGCTCTTTATGCTCGCCTTGAAATGGGAAAAGAACCCGAAGTCGAAGGAGATGATCCGTGCAAAGACAGGGGAATATATGGAAAGAGCTGAAAAACTGAAAAATCATCTCGCGGGGAATGGTAATCGTAAAAAACCCAGTGCTGTTGGGGCGAATGGTAAAGTCGCGCATGGCAGTGGGAGGGGAGCGTTAGTTTATTCCCGTCCTTTCTGTTAACGATACTTTTCAGAATCGTTTTATTTACGGGGATATGTGAAGCTGACACGTGGTGGCTAATATAGGAAAGACGACGACGACGACGAAGACGCTGATGCGAAAAAACTACGAGGTGCCCTAGCGGGATCTATATTATCTGATAAACCCAACGTGAAATGGGATGATGTTGCTGGACTCGACGGAGCTAAGGAAGCGCTCAAAGAGGCTGTTATTTTGCCCATGAAGTTCCCCCATCTTTTCACAGGTCAACGACAGCCCTGGAAGGCTATATTACTCTATGGACCACCGGGCACTGGCAAGTCATATCTAGCCAAGGCAGTGGCTACAGAAGCCAACAGCACTTTTTTCAGCGTGAGCAGTAGTGACTTAGTGTCCAAGTGGATGGGTGAGAGTGAAAGGTAGGAGGAACGCTTTACCGATTGTATCCTAATATTGATTTTGATCGTGTCTAACTTCAACAAAACAAAAATAAAGGCTCGTTAAACAACTATTTAACATGGCACGGGAAAACAGACCAGCAATCATCTTCATAGATGAGGTAGATGCTCTCTGTGGTCCCCGTGGTGAAGGAGAGTCAGAAGCCTCTCGTCGAATAAAAACCGAATTGCTCGTGCAAATGCAAGGTGTTGGCAAAGATTCCGACGGAATACTAGTTCTCGGAGCCACGAATATTCCATGGCAACTAGATATGGCCATCAGGCGAAGATTCCAACGAAGAGTCCACATCGGTCTGCCAGACCTGGCTGCGAGGATGAAGATGTTCATGCTAAATGTCGGAAGCACCCCGTGCCAATTGACGAATGCCGATTATCGACAACTCGCCGAGATGAGTGAGGGATATTCTGGTAGCGATATCAGTGTCGTTGTCCAAGATGCGCTCATGCAACCTATCCGCAAAATTCAAACAGCAACCCACTACAAAAAGGTATGCTCTTTCTAATAGTTAATCCCGTTCTTAATCCCTACATGCACGAAAATCCACTACCAGATTCTAATCACTTTCTTACACAGGTTATTGCCGACGGCCAAGAGAAGCTTACTCCATGTTCACCGGGCGACAATGGGGCAATGGAAATGACATGGGTGGACATCGAATCCGACAAACTCCTGGAACCACCGCTTTTGCTGAGAGATTTCGTCAAAGCCCTGAAATCTTCGCGGCCCACAGTAAGTGAAGAAGACTTGAAGAAGAATAACGAATGGACGGCGGAGTTTGGCAGTGAAGGATCATGATTTACCAGTGTGTTTTGTTATTTACCTTCACGATAGAGAATACACGTTTACTTTGATGTTATCAGATGGTTTACTTTACTTTTCTTTTCTTTCCTGTCTTTTTTTATCTGAGAGTTACGGGGCATTGATATATTACTCTTTTATCTTATTCTTATCGTGATAAATTTAGCATATCTCGCCGGATTATCCATGTTGATTGATTAATGAACGTCGGGCTAGGCGATCCTTCTAAGATGCCGTTGTTAGCGTGCACGTCTTTTTTGTTTCATTTGATCATAACTTATTTCCAGCGTTGAAAAGGAAAGGGGGAAAGCCCAGGAGGCTTCCACGCCTAGTAATATTACTGCTCTGCCATAGAGTAAAAAATTCATCAGGAAACGCCAATGTATTTCATATAACGGACCGCCTACCAAACAACCATTTTACCAAAAGAAGAACGCAGTGACATCAAGATGCCATGGAGATTGATGAAGGGGGAAAGAAAAAAAAATCCCGCCTCATGGAGCAACAAGCAAATTGAAAAGAACCCTCTTAGCGCCGGGCCGAATATCACCGAGAAAAGAAAAGACAAAGAAGTCAATATAAAAAAAGAACGGAAGATCTCCAACAGACCCCGATCGAATTGCATGGTAGAAAGTTTCGCAAGGGGGAGGGATATTTAACAAGAAACTAATAATTAAATCAACCAGGTACTCTAATCTAACCGCGATTTCCTCCTCGTAAGCTCTCTCTTTTTCAATATCTCCGTTTTTGCTTTCCGAAGGTCCTCACCAAGGCTTTTCATCTTGCTCCATTCTGCACTCATCTTTCGCATGCGGCAGACAGCCAGGACGGTGCTTGCGATAGCTTTGAGCTTATGGCGGGGGTTAAATTTCCTTCCCGGGCTGTGAGGCTTCACTCCCATCTCAGCGATCATCTTGAGATCAGTTTCGTTACTGTTAGGGAAAGGGGAGAACAGAACAATGTTAGCAGTGTCCAGATCAACAGCATCAGTGAAATCGGAGGTGTTTGAGGATGGAAGGGAAAAGGAGCACGAAATATAAATGCACAAAATATAAATGCTTTTAACATACCAAGCAATCCGAACCCGTTCACCCAGTTCCATCAACCCTTTACTCCACGCCAGGTCCCTGCGGAACTTCTCCTCCCTGACCAGTCGGGACCTTAACCACATAATCTCTTTACCCAAGCCTTTGATTTCCTTTGCATGCCGTCCTTTGCGTTCTGAGTGTTGTGTCAACTCGTCCAGGAGAGTATCATATCGGTCCTGTAACGACTCGAGCTCCCGATGCGCTGCGTCTGCTTTCTTGAGAGAGAGAGAGCGTTCATCACGGACTCGACGAAGGTGACTTCTTAATTCATTTACACGGGAGTCACGCTCGGAGAGCTGTACTGCCAGGGCCTCGGCTTTAAGGGTAGAAGACTTGAGCAATTCGTGGAGATCTTTGCGTTCTTCTTCATTAACTGTAGCATTTTGCAATTTGTAGTTCTGTGTTTTCAAATCCTTCATGGATTTGTGCATATCAAGAAGTTGATTGCGGAGGCTTCGCAGCTCGTCTTGGACCTTAACTGAGGTTGAGGGAGATGATTTCGGCGACCTCGAACTTAGCTCCTTCGCCTTGAGTTCATGATTATCTCGTTCCAAATCAACGATGCAAGCTCTGAGATCACGGATAGAGGCCTTCAGGGACAATTCGCGTTGAAGCGAATCCCTCTCTTTACTTCTCGCATCCTCCAAGCTTCGACGTAGCATTGAAAAGTCAGGAGATAAAGACGGTTCCAAACGAGGAGAGGAGCGATTATTCAATAGAGTTTCAAGTTCTTGAACTCGTAGTTCAAGCCGCTCAGCTTTGCTTTTTGCGGAAATGAGTTCGCGATTACGACTTTCTGATGTAATGAAGAGTTTGTCTTGCAGTTGGTCAATTTCTGCAGAAAGACGATTCTCCTCTACTGCCGCCCGGTCGATTTCAGAATCGAGATCGGCTTGCAATTTATCCTTAGTTTCCAACAGAGCTTTCTTTTCATCTTTTAGGCGGCTCAACTCGTTCTCAAATCTCAACAAAGATTTTCGGAGATCAATCTTTTCTTGATCGAGACGGTAAGTATCATCGACCTGGTTCTGAATTCTATTAATTTGGCTTTGCAATTCATCCCGTTCCGCTTCTAGTTCAGCGGATGACGTGCGCAGGTTATGAATCTCAATATTGGCGTTGGCCAACTTGTCTCGAATAGTCTGTCTCTCCTTATTAGCTGATTGCAGCTGTTTTTCCAATTCCGAAGTACTCGATTTGTGTTGGTTCCCGGCATAAGCTCGCTCTTCCTCCAAGGTAGCTTGCAAGACAACAATTTCATCTTCCAGCCCCTGCAATTTTTCCTTCAAGCTGCTTTCCTCCCGTTTAGCAACTCTTAACTCCTCTTTCGCACTCATGAGTTCTTGCCTCTGGCTTTCGGCGCTCTGGCGCCTAGATGCAATATCATCATTAAGCTCTTTGATTTGACGGTTCAGGAGCTGTTCCTCTCGCAGATGTCGTTCCTTTTCGGTGTCGACGATATTTTGCAGCTTTTCTTCCCTCCCGGAAAGAGTCGTCTCGACTCCCTGCAACTTGTCTATTGTCCGCTTATATCCAAAAACTTGCTGCTCGACCTTTTCCCTCTGCAGCTCTAAATTCCGTTTCATGCTATCCCACCTATCCCTGTCAGCTGCATGTTGGCCCTCTTGATCCTCAATATCGTGTTTGAGGGAGTCTATCTCGTCGTGTAGCTGATCAATCTCATTTCTATGCTGTAGTAGGAGTTCATCCTTATCGTTCATGGACAGTTCCCTTTCCACTTCGATTTGTTTTTCTAGATTTGATATCTTCTCCTTTGCCTGAGCCAAATCTCGCTGAAGACTAGCGGATTCACTTGTGAGGGCATCGTGACGAGTTTGAAGGACATCTTTTGCATTCTCACCACTTTGAATCTCGTCGTTGGCCTGAAGTAAGCGGGCAGAAACGTCATCTCGTTCCCGCCTGGCAATATCTCGTTCATGGTGAGCCAAATCGAGATCGTCCTGCATTCTTGCTTTCTCGGCAGATAGCTCTTCGTTGAGTTCCTGAATTTTCTCTTTGAATTTGGCGGCCTGTCGAGTCTTATCCTGGAAATTTTCGTGTAGGATGCTGTGATCTTTTCGAAGTTTGTTTAGCTCTTCCTCCACCTTATGAGCTTTTTCTTCTAGTTGGCGGCTAAGTCCTTTGGTGTAAAAAGATTTGTCGGCCATTTCATCCTGAAGCTCCTTTAAATCATCCACGGCTTGTGCCTTTGCTTCAACCGCTTCATCGCATGCTGCTTTTGCCTGTCTAGCATCCGATTTAGCTTGTTCAAGGCTGTTTTGTAGCTCTTCCAACTGTTGTTTGGCCCGTTGGAGTTCAGCCTCAAGCTCACTAACCGAGTTCTTCTCATTGTGTTGGTTTCCTTTTAGATTTCCAATTTCGTCTCGTTGGTTATCGATAAGTTCATTCTTTTGCCTAAGTTCATATTGCAGATCCTGTATTTCATCACGAAGTTGTTGTGCCTGTTCCGACTTGGTCTCCTTCAGAGTATCCAACTCTTCTTGGAGCTCATGTAGTTCGTTTTCCTTACTCTCCAACTCTTCGCGCACCTGTTCCAATTCTTTTAGTGTATCTTCATCGACATGCTTTCGATTTGCGTTTGCCTGAAGTTGTTGCATTTCAAGTTGGCAGTCTGCAAGATCCTGCTGTGCACGACGAAGACTTTTCTTGCATTGATGTAAATCCCTCTCCATCGTAAGCTTCGTGACTTTAAGTTCAGTATTCTCTTGTATCGCAGCTTGCGCAAATTCAGGCTTTGCCAACTTGAAGTTCTGTTCCAAAAAATGTATCTTCAACTTCAGACCGAAATTTTCCTTATCAAGTTTATTAATAACCTGCAGCACAATCGCAAATGTCAGTGATCTATAATGAATGCCCGACTGTGCGGAAAAAAGAAGGACTAAAACCATTACATTTTCCTGCTCTCTTAGAGTCATCATATTGTGCCCGTCCCCCACGACGTTACCATTTCGCCCCGGCAGAGCAGGCAAGGGCGTACTTTGAACGCTGCTGCTGGCCATCTGTGGAACGGGTGTAGGATCATCGTCAATGTTTGTCGACTCATCTCCATATCCGGTAACATCTATATTTGGCAATCCAGGAGTATTCCCACTACTTCCATTTCCATCTCTCAGAGCAGCTGGAGTTTCTGGGCCAGAGTGCCTGAGCGTCGAATTGCGATTACGACGCAAGTTTTTCTTTGTGATGCTATTCAGCATAGGGGTAAACTCTCCCTTTGGAGGTGGCGCCATGGGGAGATTGCGCCGGTCGATGAGAACATTTCTTGTTGGATTCGGTTTCGAGCCGGCCCTAGGCGTTTTCAGACTAAGCTCCAAGCGTTTGCGACTCCGTCCAGTTTTCGAATCTTTGATCAGATCATGGTCTTTCGAAGGTGACTGAAACGAGTTTTCTACGGAGTCCAAAGCCGACAGATTATGTCGTGCGGCACTGCGGAGGCCATTTGTCAAGTATGTCGCGTTCGCATCAACTTCAGTGCGCGGGGTATCGATGTACGGGAATGGCATGGTAATCTATCGATGTTGGTTAACCTGATTCCAGCTGGACGGGTCGTATATTCATTATAGAAATCAGGAGCTGTCATTAAATGGCACAGAACACGTCATGCAACTCCACAGTTTAAAACCAAAAAAAAAAAAAAGAAAAGAAAAAAAACCAAAAAGAAAAAGAAAAATGGACGCGGTTGAACGGTGGACGAAGACGTGTATTTGGATTATCTGATGCTTCGATGTTTATACTTAGCCTAATCTGGCATAGCGCAGTTCTCTAGGGCTTTGTGCCGACATATCTCGGGAAAAACATTGACCCGAGAATTATGCAAACTCGAGTGAAGTCATCGCAACCGTCAAATATATTCAAGGAGCTCGCGTAGCCATTGGATAGAAACGACAGACCAAACCATCAACATGGCACCGCCTACAGACGAGGATATTGAGTGGTTTAAATCCACATTTCACCCTATTCCTAAACCTCAGCTCCCAGATGATTGCATCGAATATTCGTTATACTGCATTTCTCCCTCCGGAGAGATTGACAGCACAGCCGATGCTGACGTAGCTCGCTTGCGTCTCAACGATGTCCAAAAAGCTGCTGCAGATCTTGTGAAGAGACTGTTGAAGGACTATATATGGCAACGCGAGCCTTTTAAACTGGAGAAGTTTCGCGAAGACGGTGAGCAGGTTTGTTTGTTCGCCCCGGATACCATGTATTTCGAGGGCGTGTGGATATCAGAGAGCTAACAAATCTCATTCTCTCCACCATCGCGACAGGATTGAATTTGCTCCGTGGGCGAACTGAATACGGCGACTCAATCGAAGACGAATGGGTTATTGTTTATATATTGCGCGAGTTAACAAGACAGTTTGAAGATTTATGGGTGAAAGTATCCGACAGTGATGGAGAATTTTTACTCGTGGAGGCTGCTGCAACCCTACCGTCCTGGCTTGAACCTGAGGTTGCTAATCACAGGGTAGGTCATGAATACCTCCAGAAAACGATTTTGATATTCTAACCCTTCACAGGTTTGGGTTCACAAGGAACAACTGATCATCATCAAGCCTGATAGGAGAGAAGGATCAACTCTCAAACCATTAACATTTCGACAAGCCAGGAAAATAATTCTTGAAGATCCTAAACGATTAATGCATTCTCCGATAATAGAAGCAGAGGCATTTTATCGACTTCGCAATTATCCGAAGCAGATCGCTGACAACCTTCACACGACTCGCATTACTATTCCCCGAAAACTCGCGCATATACTACACATGAAGCCGGCTTATATCTCTCCCATAGTGGATGCGTTTTATGTCAGGGATCCGATATCTTTACGACCACTAAAAACAAAGGATACCAGTACGCTAAGATTCAAACCTGAGGATTTGGTAACCGTAAGTGTTCGATTCACGAGAGTTGGGTATGCGCAGTTAAAAAGTCAGGATTTTGAGTTGCCGCTGGTGTGGAAAGGCAAGATGCCCCATAAAACCGCGAAAGAGGATTATGCTCGCGCAGAAATGGGGATGAAAGTCACCAGCGGAATTGAAATGCTGTTATCAGATCCCCACAACCAGGATAAGATGGCAGTGAGGGAAATTAACCTCACTTTAAAAGATATCGATACTGGAGACGAAAAGCTTCCTACAGATGATGAACTTGAATCCACATGGGAAAAACGCGAAGACGATGAAAAGTGGTTGGATATCAGCTTCGAGGACCTTGAAGAAGAATTAAAAGGCCGGCATGGTTCCAATCGGAATGCAAAAGCAGCAGGCGGATTTGGCGACCAAGCTGCTCAAGAGAATCTCCAAAGAATAGTGAAGCAGTTCGAGGAGTTTTTGAATGACGACCGCGCCGGCTGTGATGGGGCTGATCTTATTGACGAAGTCGATTCTGATGACTTTGATATGGATAGTGAAGATTTGAGTAGCGATGGAGAGGACAAAGAAGTATCGTTTGACGAGGATGAATTCTCTCGAATGATGCATGAAATGATGGGACTACCGTCGAAGCATGAAGGTAGTGCCCGCCCCATCACATCGAAGCGGATCAAAGAGCTGAACTCAGATGATGATGAAAGTCAAGATGACAGCAAGGAGATAGAAGAACTGTCTAAGCAGATGGAGGCTGAACTTCTAGAAACTGGAGTTCTTGATTTGGATCCGAAAGGAAAAGGAAAACAAGACATTAAAGGGAAGGCATCTTCTCGGTCCAAGAGCGGGTCAGACGAAAGCCATGACGAGGACGAAAAGGTGGGCAATGGCGAGGAGTATGACGTTGACAATGTGGACTACAACCTTGCAAAAAACTTGCTTGAGAGCTTTAGTAGCCAGGCTGGCTCAGCGGGACCCGCAAGCAATTTGTTAGGCTTGATGGGTATGAAAATGCCAAAGGATGACCGTGAATCGAAATAGATGATTTAATGATTGCGATAGAATGCATATAACGAATTGTATTCCGTTGGTCAGCAGAAAAACTCGGGGCAACATTGATATCCACCGAGTGTTACATATTTTGCTAATGTCAAGGGCTATATAAAGCCAAATTGGGAACCAGGAAGGATACAACTCAGAATCTGTACATCAGAATCTGTACAAGAACGCAATGATCAATCAAACGATTATAAACTGCTTGTGAGCTCCAAAAGCCAAGCTGCTCCCACCAATAACTAGGAATGTCCGGATACAACCGTTATTGAATATGTTCGATGTAGCTACCGAGAACACGCATCTACACCAACGTCGATAACATCCTCCTCAGTTCTTAAATCATCAACGATTTCCACTCCATACCAATTTAACCATTTGAACCGTTTTCACAAATTTACTTCTTCACAACAACTCCGGCAGGGTCAAAGGGGACGACTTCGCCGGCTGCATCTACCATTGCAGGTTCAGTGTCACTGCGGGCTGTAATATAGTTAGCAAATCTTCCTTTCAGCTCCGAATAATCAAAGTTCAACATACGGTCCATGGTAGAAGGGGCGGCAATGGCAACAGCCAGAATGGAGAAGAGAGCAAAGATGAGCTTCATCTTGGAGAAGTGGATTATTGAAAACCTTTCTTTTGTGACCTTCTTAATAGTAGAGAAGGGAGATTCAATAGGGATTGAAGAGTCGATTCATTCAAGGGGAGAAGTCGACCAGCAACAAAAAGGAATGATTTTTGGCCGCAACAAAGTGGTCTTCAAAAGAAAACGAGAGGATGGAACAGAAGGAGAAACCAAAAATAATGGTATAATTGCAACTTTCTGATAGATGCAGAAAGAATGACAACACGGAAGGACGCAAACGAAAGCGATATATGGATTTGGAACATCGATTCTAATGGGGTCCGCCAGTGTATATACATACTGCCAAGGAAATGAGTTGAAGAGGGTAGATTCCAATTTATGGAGTAAGACGACAAGTGTGCCATGTGTGTTATGGATAACAGCTTCTTCTCACATTTGAAATTTCGGATGCCCAAGAAGCATAATATAGCATAAGATTAAAGACTTCACTAAGGGGTTGTGAGACGGTTGGCGGCTGGTCGAGCCCTGAGTCCGAATCTTACATATTTATTTTCAATGCTGAGTGGTGGGTGTTGGAGAATGTCAGCGCTAATTTCTCAATTTTCTATGAGAATTGTGATTTCAACTGGTGTCAAGGTTGAGACATAGCTGAGACAAATGGCTGCTTTCGAATGAACCACTGAGCTGTCAGTGCCATGAGGTTGTGCCAAGTTTATTTTTTTTGTGATGCTGGGTATCGTGGACACCAGAGAGCAGCTAAATAGGCAACATGGAGCTTAAATTCCCTTTGATTTGTCGCCTTGGAAATTTTGTCCCATCGTTGAATATCTTCTCGAAAGTTAGGGTTGAGAATATGGGGAGATAAACTTTTAGGCCACGAGTTAGAGCTTAGTTAACTTAAACCTCAAAATCCACTAACTAAACGCGGGAGCCCCACTTAGTCTTCGATCAACCTTCCAGGGCTTTGTCTTACCAAGCCCCAGACCCCAAGGACTCAAACGTCAAAGCAACATGAGGCGTTGTACTTATTTCACATTTAAAACGAATAATAATATAATGGTAAAGAAAATATGATCCCACAGCATATGGAAAAATGTTTAATTACAGGGACAATTTTGTGACAAGCGGTGGGATATGGAATCAACAAACAATAATCCCTCTCATGAATTTTCGATGAAGTAAACTTGCTGGGCCCCTTGCCTTCTTAATTCTGATTTCTCGTATATCGCATCCAGAGTTTGCATCTACGCGATGTTATTATCATGAGAGATCCAATGAACCGGTTCTTGGCCAGTAACGCTTCCAGTTGATATCAGCAATAACAATAATAATTGTCAACTCAAAAATGATCTTCGCAAGGGCTTTAAGTAGTGCGGCCTCAGGGGCTATACCGGTATGTGCTCCCCCACTGTTCCGAGCGCGGTCCCCATTTGGGACCAAAATTGTAGTGCTTCTGGGTACGTCCGGAGCGTTTGTCAGTGATTTCGATGTGGTGGAAGAGGTGCGGTATCACGAAGCTGGAGAGCAGGTGGATCAATTAGGCTAAGAAGCCTCTAGGACGAAATTGCGTTAACCTGCAGTAAGGGCAACACGCTTCTAAAAGGAGATTGTGGCATACTCCAGCTTAATCGAAATCAATGGCGCTTCCTTGAGCTTGGGAATGATGTAGCCAAGGTATGGCTGGTTCATATCGGTCAAAATGCCGCGCTTCACAAAACCCGAATCCGCAGAAACATTCGATTCAAATACATAATTGCATCCAGAGAGTCGTCTCAAAGTCGTCTACTCGCCTCTCATCTTGGAGAGATCCTTGCCTTTTCAGGATTGTTTTCATCCGAGTAGAGGTAGAAATGGACCATTCCATATCTGCCAGACGTAAAGAACAACATGTGCAGCGGGATGGAAATGTCAGCGGAAGGCTTCGACAGCCACACGATTGGTTTTTCTTTGCTGTTTAAAAGATGGAGTTTGCATATTCCGCGTTTGAAGCAACAGGTTTTTCGATCAAAACATTATTTCCGGCATTTATTGCCTTTGAGCTCATTCATTGATGACAACGCGGTCTTACCCCAACTCTAGTGATAAATGCAGCAACAACAAATTTAATCAGAGACAAAAAAGAAATGATGGTGAGTCCCACCAGCATGCATCTCGTTTGGCAGACTGATATAAACTGCATCAATCTCCGGGTCCTTCCAGAGAACTTCATACGATCCATTCGCCCGATCGATAGAATGTCTCCGCTGCTTTTTTGGCAGAGTTAATATCTCGTGATGCAATGGCATTTAAGACAGATATTGGATGTGGCTCGACTCTATTGGGTGAATGATCCCTATCGGATTAATCATGGCGGTGGAAATAATACCCAGGTAGAAGTAATCTTAGATACTTAGTAAGAATGTTCCCTCCACACCCTCATATCGAGGTTTCAAGTTGTTGCATACCTCGTGTGACGTCATAAGGGGCGTCTTCCTAAGATTCATAGGAAGTTCGAACCTCGTCTTCTATACAGCATATAAATACGTACAATATTGACTTGCCTCATGACGAAGGTGGATTCCCTAAGAGAGTGACTGCGACTGAATATCAGTTGATAGTGTTGATACACAAAGGACAAGACGCATATGGGGTCATGCCAGCATCAACCCCCACGCCCATAAAATTTCCGTGAATCCTCTTGAAAAAGAAAAGAAAAAGAAAACGAAACATGCATTCCATTGCTCAACGAGGAAAGAAGCTCTCGTTTACTGGGCTGTGCTAACCCGAGCTTGTATATACGTTGCTTCACTCCCTAGCGGTCGTAGAATCGGGTTAGCCACAATGGTAGCAGCGGGTTTCGGGTACTACTTGTACACGAAATCCCGGACAAAACATGGACGGCTTATACAACCTGAGGAACGAGAGCGGTACCATGCCAAAGGACAACCACAAACAACAGAGGGCAGCGGAAAAATTGCTAGGGCAAAGGATATTCCGCGAAGCGGTGAGTGATCTGGATGCATGGGTTCGCACACATATACCAAATGGGCAAAGCACATAAGAATTGAGGGTTGGGCTGATAAAATTTCCGGTACGCAGGAGGAAGATGAAGGCCACGACCATTTGAAGGACGATTGGGGTCAACATAGGGATAGTCAACCTGCATATAATAAAATATGGGCATATATTGCAAACCTGGTGGAGCTGTAAATCGGAAAAGAGTGGTGGCATTTTCATAGTTCATGTTCATTACGTATCATGATTAGTTGCGAGGGAGTATTTGTAATAGCAAGGGTTATGAATCAAGAATCTCTCGGTGTGTTCAATCCCTTCACAATGAGTTGCCCGAGAAGGCTGGAAGAGTTGGCCCGGAATGCTGGGAATCTAGTGGGGAGTGGGGGTAACTATTTAGCTGAAAATCAATGCGGGGAAACTTCTTAGTGCTGTGGTTTAGCACCTGCAACTTTTTGTCAGAAGCAGAACCCATGTCAAAATTCCGCGGAGAATCTTCATTATCCAGATACTGGTTGGAGCTGTGAAACAAATGCTTTCTCAATAGCCAGTGGCACATAGCCCGAGGAGGACAGTGGCACGGTTCACCTGACCAATATGACGTTGTCCAACATCTCCGGGGTTGGATATGTATTGAATCTCAAGTCGATTACATATGAGCAGTTGGAATATCATAACAGGGCCCCTTAGTCAAGAAGAAACGGATGATTGTCGATATTTTGAACAATCATGGCAATGTTAGAAAATCTATCCACAGAAACAGTTCTAGAAATACTCCAGCATGTGGAGTCGGCCCGCGATCTTGCTGCGCTCTCGATGCAAAATCGACGCTTTCGTGCTATTATTGATATGCCAACCCGTCGCCGGTTTCACTGCATCCGCGTGCGCGACAAAAATCTGGACGAATGTTATAAGTTGCTCCTAGAGATCCTGCAAAAACCTTCCCTTGGCTCCCTGGTTCGCGAGGTGGAGGTGAATAGGGTGGGTCGTTGGACTTTCACAAACGGCGACCCGTGTGAAAGAGGTAGCCAAGTCGAAGGAGGTGATGTCTCGCTCCTTAGGAAGAAAATTAGAATGGCAGGATTCAGCTGCCAAAGGGAGGAGAATATCATGATCGGGATCTTAAAGGAGAGAATGTCAGGATGGAAATTAAGTGAATCAACGTAGGCAACGAACTCCTTTGGCGTATTTATTCAGTCGTCCAGTCTATGCTTCGTCTAATATTTTTCGAAATGGCAGACATCTCTTCCCTACAGATTTCGGGGCCATCGTAGGCATGCTGCTACTCGCCTCGTGTCCAAGCATCGCGAAGCTGGAACTGGGCGACATTGCATTCCCAATAGAGGGATTTCTGACTCGCGCGAATGCGAAGAAAACGACAGCTAAAGCTCTCCGGAATCTGCGCGAGGTTAGGCTAATAGGCTTAAACAACACCATGGACGATGATGATGCATTTTACCACGATTACGATTTGACCAAGATGTTGAAGTTTTTCCACAGATTACCGGCGATAGAGAAGATAAGTGTCGAAACAATCAAGATCGGGGCGAATGGACTGTTTAAACTCAGCCCTGGAAGGTCCAATCTCCGCAAGATCCACATCTGCCATTCGAACTTGAATTCGCGATACCTTGCAAGAGTCATTGGACATTGCAAGGAGCTTGAAGAGTTTAAGTACACGATCGGGCAGCGGTGCACCCTCTACCCGGCCTCTATAAAACCCAAAACACTTGGGAAAGCGCTGTGGAGCCATAGGAGCACTCTGCAAGTTCTTGACCTGGATCTGGACAATCATATCAGCTATGGCTACGGGCCTTGCGACGAGTTTGAAAATGAACGTTACGATTTTTCTGATGCTCTCTTGACCCCCCAACCATCTGATGATGAGCTCAATAAGAATCTCGACCTTGATTGTATTGCCCAGAACACCTTTCGAATTCCAGGACAGGATAAATACGGTAAAACCATAGGGACCTTTGAAGGGTTTACCGTACTCACTCGGCTCAGCATTGGCGTAAAGTTGTTATTAGGTCCGGTAGAATATAACCGACGGTCATCATATAGGAAAACGCCATTGCCATTTCGGCTTATCGATAGTCTGCCGCGGAAGATAGAATATCTCCGGCTTCGCGGTTACAGGGCGAAAGAGAATGAGATGTACACCAGCTATGTGGAAGAGCTCATGAATTGTCAAGAAGAATGTTTTCCATTGTTGAAGGAAATCCATGGTGTCGAGAGGTACATACTAGGTGTGAAAACACCAGAAAGCTTGGAATTCTACGACACATCGTATCAGCCAAGGGACTCCTGAATGCTTGAAATTAGTACGAGGGCTGATGAAGACAACTTCTTAAGCAGAAGGGGTTGTGCATACATAAAGGAGGAGGTGATTGCGGGAAAGTCAGCTTTTGGGCTTGGTGTTTGGTCTCCTAAAGGATGAAGCAGATTCTACCTAGGAGTACGGAGTAGATATTGCTTCATCCCCTTTGAGTAAAGGGACGTTTAAATTCTGGCCACTTTGAATTGTCAACACTGGTAAAATCAGCCCCGACACCCCTTGAGTGAGAGAAAACAGATGCTCAGACAAAGGCATTTCGGTTATGTGTAAACTTGGTTCGCACGTTCAGGATCCCTCATATCTACGCTATATAGAACATATGACAGCAAAGGCTATGTTGCTGAATTTGATCGGTTTCTGGCAAATATGTTCAGTCGCTCAAAACCGTGTACTCATTGCTGCTGCCTACTCACTCACCTCCAGTTAGTGAGTGCGTCAAACTGGAATGATAAAACAGCAGAATAATAAAAATCGAGAATCACATTAATTAAATAGCTTCATTCATCCACAATGAGTGCTAATCTATAATAAAGAGATGATCTAACTACATCATTTGTGTATGTGTGCCAGCATTTATTCACTTTCTTAGAGCTTCAAGGGGTGGTAAGAGGAGGAGCATCATCGTTAATCTTTCATTTACTCACTTCTCATGCATCTTCTTGTTTTACTTTCCTTTTTTCAGCATTTCAGCATTTCTCTTTCCAAGCTCTTGATACGCGGAGGATTCAATCTCGCAACGTTGGGTTGCGTTGTTGGGTTGTTGGGCATATGTTGCCCGGGCAGCCGCCCCACCGCACGTGATTCGTGTAGAGATAGTCGAGCTAAGCCTTTCATCCGAAGAGGAGATTAAACCAATCCCAACATCTTCTTCCAAACCCTCGAGTCAAACGGTGAGGCTTGGGCTGTATTGCATGCAACCCGCCAGCCCCCAATGTCCTAGCAACGAAGAAAGCGGATTTGTGAAGCTGGGAGAGAATTCAACTCCCAAAGCCCCAGCCTCCCGCTTCCAGTCACACTCCCAAGTTTACTCCTCTGCTGCGTTGGCACCGCAAAAGCTCCGCTTTATAACTCTTGGAGATATCGCGTGCGCGACGGTCATTGCATTTCCACAGCTTTTCCACAGCTTTTAACATTCATCTTTTTGAGATCGAAGTTCGCATCCTGTCTTTCCAGCTTCTTCGTTTTCTCATGGCTTCTACTGCCCACTGCTTCTACTGCTTTGAATGTCTATATTCTTCTTTTAAAGGCACAGACCCTCCCAGTCTTTCAGTAGTCAAAGAACTATGGGAAGCTTTTGAATCTTCCAAGGAACTTCTTGCAAGTGCAGACTACGAGGATTCCACAGATTATTTTGAAAATGACCAAAACAAAGGCATCCGACCAAGTGCAGCGGTCAATGGGCCGGATTACACCAGCGAGGAGTCTGATGATGGAGTCATGACTGGACTTGCTCCGCAGAAAGCACAGTTACGAAGCATTAGTCGTCTTCAGGGAAATTCGTCATCCAACTCGCCCCACTCATCCAACTTATCTACCCCTTCCGCCTTGTCTAACAGCTCCTCCCGCTCTGTGCTGACAAGCGCGTCTTCTATGACTTCTATTAGCGAAAGGACGTCATCCTCGTTTTCGGAAACCAAAGGAGTTGCCGCGGGACTTCAAACTGATAATGCTGTCATTGCCTACCCGTTATTTGTCACCTGGAACACTCTTTCCAGCAGCGGCCACAAATCACTGCGGGGATGCATAGGCACATTTGAGCCACAGGAACTAGAGGCTGGCTTGAAATCATACGCGCTCACATCGTATGTCTGATACTTTTACACTTGAGCCTCCCCCCCCCCCCCCCCCCCCTCCTGATCACCGCGCCCGTGGGAACCCTTAGCTTGATGTTTATAACACAGGTGTCTAACAACCCCATGCTCCAGCGCCTTTGGAGATACTCGATTTACCCCGATCCCAGCATCTTTACTTCCCTCCCTCTCCTGTTCCTTAACCCTCCTCTCATCATTTGAAACCTGCAGCGACACCCTCGACTGGACTCTAGGCAAGCACGGGATTCGCATATCATTTACCCACCGCGGGAGACGACTCGGGGCCACGTATCTCCCTGACGTAGCAGTGGAGCAAGGATGGACCAAGGAAGAAACTATGGAAAGTCTCATGAGAAAAGCTGGCTGGGAAGGCTGCAGCAGTAGTAGTGGCGGCAAAGCGAGCCGTGCATTCCTTCGAGGAGGGCTAAGTTCTGCTAGCAAGGCAAACAATGCGGTGAAGAAGCCGTGGGAGGAAGTTTCAGAGTTTAAAACGGTCAGGTATCAGGGCCTGAAAGCGAGTGCAAGTTATGCAGAGTGGCAGAAGTGGAGGAAATGGGTTGGGTCATCGAGTGATCGTCAGGGACTATTAGAGTCGGGGATGTGACTTATTCGGGGACGTATACTTTTCTCCCCCTTTCTTATATTCTTTCACTTTCATCTCCTTTTCCCTACTTCTCGTCCCCCCTGAACAATGATTTATTTGCTCAACTCATCTTAGACAAGATGCACTGGAAAGTTGATAATAGAAGGCCGATGTGGAGTCGACTTAGTTTTCCCTGCTGGATGTGGCAACTTTCAATAGAGGTGCAAGCAGGCCCAAGTTTTGATAAACGAATATCCTCAACGTCTTTTTATCTCTGCGACGTTTTCTTAATAGAACTCCTTGTAACTTTTCTAGCAACCTTTTCATACAATAGTGGTAATAGTAATTGTCACAATCATAATTCTATCCCGTCTTGGTAACTGAACTACCAATGCTTATGGAGTTGTGTTACAAGTCAACACACAAAATTTACCCTGACGACATCAATGGTTTATGACTCTAGCTATAATCGCCAGGAACTTGAACAGGCCTCCTAACGTCACCACAGCCATTCCATGTTTGCTCCGCCGTTCCAAGATATACATGATATTTTCGTTTCGAATAGCCCAATAGACACACACATTTCATAAAATAGAATATTAACTGGAGGGTAACCAAGTCATAAACAAGAGGGGTGGGTGATTGGTATATTGTTCATCATCATTGGGAAAGAAAATTGACATATAACCAAAATCATCAAGCCAGTGATGGTATCAGAGATAAAAGATAAAAGGAAAACATAAACATTTGTGTGCACCTCCCCTAATAGCCAGTCCAGAAGCATATATAATTAGAGCAAAGATTCTTTGCTAAAATTTCAGATCAGAGTCAAAATATTAAAAGAAAGAAAAAATCGTTGAAAATCGTCCAAAAAGAGATAAATTATGTCAGGAATGGAATGGACGGAGGAAAAGGAAATAAAAAAGAAGTCAAAGGGTGAAAGAGGATCTTGTCACAAGTTGTTAAAAAAAAAAATCATCGTCGATGCGAGGTCGACTGCCACAACCCAGTAACCATCTCTTTCACTTTACGCTCCTGCTCCCAAATCTGCTCCTCAGTCTGACCCCTTGCGTTGCCCCGACTGTCAATTTCCATGTGGTCATCGTCTGCAGCCTGGCCCGACGTTGCCCCATCCGGCAGCTGTCGTCCACTGTCATCAAGAACATTGCTTCCATTAACATGTTCCGGCCTCGGATCTACGCTCAGAGCGCCATCCATCATCAGACCACCGCCTTCGCGAAGTTTATTGATTGCCCGCACGGTATCGATGGCTTTATGAAGTGTGCGCCTTGCATTGAAGTTCTTCTTGACGACAGGTAGAAGATCTTCTCCAGAACCCATACGCATGGGCGACATGGGGTCCATGGGATCGGTGGGTGGGTTGATCCACGGGTGCTGCAGGGCTTCGTGGGCTGTCAACCTCGCTTTGGGATCGATGGTGAGGCAGCGTTTGATAAATTCACGGGCGGTTACGGAAACGCCCCGCCAATATTCGAGGGGTGTAAATGAGTAATCGGCGTCAAGGATGGCCTGCATTTCTTCAAGGTTGGAATCTCGATCAAAGGGGGTGTAACCGCAGAGGAGGAAATATGTTATTACACCAATGGCCCAAATATCTCTGTCCAAAGAGAAGATTGAACGTCAGAATTAGCTATGTTAGACTTGGCAAATGATAAACTACTCAGGGGATTAGAACATACACAGGCTTTCCGTGGCCGGTCTTTTTAAAGATTTCTGGAGCCATGTATCCTGGTGTTCCGCAGGTGGTGGTGAGGACATGAAATTGTTCCTCATCCATGATCCTCGACAGACCAAAATCTGCAATTAGTAGATCTGCATTGTCTTCTGGCGTGCGAAACAGAAGATTCTCTGGTTTGAGGTCTCGATGCACGATTCCATGGTCATGAAGATATGCGACGGCGGAGAGAGTTGCGCGGATCAAATCTGCCGCATCGGACTCATAGTAGCTTCCCTTACGGCAGATTCGATCAAACAGTTCTCCTCCAAGGGCAAGATCGGTGACAAGATACACTGTCAATAGGAAACCGAAATTCATAAGCGCGTGTGCTGGAGGGTTATTTGAACCGCAGATAGTAGGAGATAGAGAAGCAACGTACAGTTGTTCATTGTCTCGAAGTAATCTACCAAAGTCAGGATGTTCCGATGACCCATTGACACCCTTTTGAGCACAGCAATTTCATTACGAACCTGACGCCGAATTTGTATCAGCCCCACGCCGTGCTTTCTGATATTTCCAAAGGTGGGATTGGTATGAGATTCACCATGTGTTCCCTCCCCGCCATCAATCGCTTGTTAATAACCTTCGCAGCATAATACCGGCCAGTGTCAATATGAACGCATTCCTTCACCACAGAATACGATCCTGCCCCTAATGTTTTACCAGTTTTATATCTACAGGGCTGTATCTGTGGGCGTTGGTTACTCGGTGGTTGGGATGCCATTATGCAGGTGGCTGCGGGCGGCTGCGGTCAGAATCTCCAGGAAGTAAGTAATAAGGGATCGTGGAGGGTTGTATTTGGGTATATCTAGGGCAGGAATTAAACACAGTTAGCAGGTTATAATTACCCATTTGTCCTATGGTGAAGTAGTTGTTATACTTACTCTGAGCTTGCTGAGCAAAAGGCGGGGGGGATAGTGATCAAATAACTACCAGGGAGAATTACAGCTCGCAGTTGTCGTAGTCAGCTATCTTAGTTATGGAGAGGGCAACAGGTGGAATCGCACAGTTAGTTGTTGCAACCTCTTCACAAGCCTCAATGGCCAAACAGGCAGCCTTTGCAACTGTTGTCGGCTAAAGTGTTTCAAGTTGCCTGCTAAATTTGTTCCTCGCTCCACGGTGAACACAACCTAACTTTCCGCACGGCAATCCGATGACGCCTTGTTGATCACGACACCTATATTTGATCAATCTTTCATCCCAGCCCTGTAAATTATTCGATATGGCAACCATCCTCGGCAGAGAAGCTTCTAACCAAGAAGCTAAACTTTCATTAGCTATTAAAGCCTATAAAAGGAATCAAATTTCAACTCTTAGAGCTGCTGCTAAGTCATTTTGCATCCCTACTCCTCACTATGTTATGGACTATACAGAGGCACTCCGTGTTCAAATTCTCAACTTAACAATCGAAAGCTGACCTCTACAGAAGAAGAATCTCTAGTTCAATTGACAATATCCATGGATGAGAGAAGATAGCCTCCCCGAATCATGATCATACAAGATATGGCTAATCTACTACTTTCAGCGTGAGAGGAAGATGGGTGGAAAAATTTACCAAACAGCACTCTGAACTGGAGACTAGATTCTCATGCAAGTATAACTATGAGTGAGCTTTTTGCGAGGATTTAAAGCTTTTACACAAATGGTTTACATTGGTGGATAATACCATAAAGAAGCATGGAATTGTGCCGGAGGATACCTACAACTTTGATGAGATTGACTTTCTAATGGCAGTTATTACAATGCCTGGGTGATTACTAGAGCTCAGAAAGAAGGCAAGCCATCTCTCGTATAGCCAGGAAATAGAAACTGAGCAACTGTGATTGAGGCAGTCAATGCTCCAGGCTGGAGTCTACCTCCTATGATCATACTGAAGGGCAAGTTTCATCAATCCTCATAGTACAAGCAGCTACCAGTGGATTGGACAATTGGACTTAGTGAGAAGGGTTGGACTACAGATGAGCTTGGCTTAATATGCCTGCAAGAGGTATTCAACAGACATACTGAGGCTCATACAGCTGGCAGATATAGACTGTTGATTATGAATGAACATGACAGCCATGCTACAGCTGGATTTGACAAGTTCTGCCTGAATCATCATATTATAGCTTTTCATATACCTCCTTATTCCTCTCATCTACTGCAGTTACTAGATGTGAGCTGTTTTTCACCACTAAAGAGAGTGTATGACAAGATGATTGAGCAGAACATGAGATTGAGAATCAATCATATTAACAAGGATGTGTTCCTAATCAGCTACACAACAGCTAGGTAGGAGACTATGAAGAATACTACTATAAGAAACAGATCCAAAGCCATGGACTTGAATTTCATTCAATCCAGATGAGGTTCTTACTCAGCTACATACTCAATTCCATACTCCTACCCCGCCAGGATCAGCTCATGCATCTTACGGATTCCAATCCTCCTGGACCCTCAAGACCCCCTGCAATATTACCCAATGGGAACAGCAGAGCAGCAAGATTAAATGTTGTACAGATGTTCTAATCAAGCTCCAATCAGCTAGTTAAAGAATGTCAGCCAGCCATGTGTAAGGTTGCTCTTTTAACAGAGGAAGTCAAGCAGCTGCCAGCTGCCAATACTAGACAGAAACAAAAAAGAGAGAAGCCATGTACATATATATCTGAGGAAGGGATTCTAATAGCTCAAGAAGGACAGGCTAGGATTGCTCAGGCTCAGAAGCCTAATCAGGCCGCTGAGAGGAGAATTGAAGAATTTAGATCTGAGAACTAAAGAGCGAGCACCACGACACTGTAGTAAATTTGGCAGCATGAAACACAAAGCTCCTAGCTGCTCACAGACCTAAGGATATATTCTATATAACTTCTATATATAATTCCTAGTGGATATTGCTTAAGTTAAAATTTTGTCAAATAATATGGCGGGGGTTGATCAAATAGGTGTCGTGATGCCCCTGTACAAAACAAAGAAGCAGTGCATTGATAAAATTTAGTGATATTAATTCTATTAGCTGTTCAATTCAACCTCATTTGTACAATATTATGAGATGGAGAGTTGCATACAATCAGCACAGAGGCCGCTGCACCAGAGGTCGTCTACGACGCCCACTCACCCGGTCCATGTGTGTGCGTGCGCGCGCCCGAAATCTTAAACTGCGATCCAGCATGAGCAAACCGGGAGCCCAGAAATACAGCGTTTGCACAAAATCTCTTTGTATGACCTCTCCATTAGTTAGTTACCTAAACCCTTAACTGAACAATTGGACCGAAGAACCCAAATTTCTTGCAATATTGCACACCATGCATGCCATGCAGAATAACCAAGGAAAAAGGCAACAAAAAGGGCATAATTCAGAAGAAAAGAGAGAAATAGAAAGAAAACGAGAAAAGAAACAATATCTACATCCTTTCCAAAACGCCATTCGTAATAGTCATCAGCATTTTTAACCCGTAAAACTCAGAAACACTCTTGAAAAGCTTCAGCTTCTTCTCAATCGCCCTCAGATCCACCGTCTCAATCCAATTTCCGCTACAAGAACAATGTTCCATGAACTCGCTGACCCGAAGGTTATTGCATTTTGAGCATTTCAAGTCCTGTGTCTGCCATTCCACAACAAGGCCCTGTGCTTGCCCGATCAACTGCTCTTCCAAGGCAAGCCTGTCATATTCAGTGCCGCAGAAGAGACAACACCAGGGTTTCGTTGCGGCGTTGTTACTTTCAGCGTCGTTCTCGGGGAGTATGTCACCGTCCCGACAAATATCCAGATCTCTCGCCATGGTACAGTGACTACATATCAACAGTGGAAACTTAAGACTTCCGCTTGGATTCTCGAATCTTCCCTCATCACTGAATTCCTTAACCTCGAAAAGGGCAAGGAGGTCGCGGCGTAGGACTCGAGTTTCTAAAGTAGTGGTTTTGCACAGACTTAGAACTTGCATAAGGGACTTGACCAACTCCAATGTTGGGTTGCGTTCGTGCTTTGTTGGGCGCCATGACGCACCCGGTAGTGTCGGGAAAACATAGTCCGAAGCGAGTTCGGGGTGCAAGAGCTCATCCCGTTGCCGCCGTATCAGTCCCGCAATTTGTCGTTTCAGGGGTTTGGAAAACGATTCGGTAAGGATTGATGTCATCTCCTCATTATCGATGTTGGTAATCGATTGGAATGACAATTGTGTAACCCGGGGAGTGCTTGTGTTCCCGTTCTCAACAGTGGGCCTCTTCAACCCATGCATGAGCTCAATATACTCAACTACCCAGTCGAGGAAAACAGACTGCAAAGGCCTTGGGAGGAACTGGCTTAGCTGCCAATGCATGACCGTCTCAAGTTCTTGGTTCTCAGCCTCCACAACTTCATGGCAGCCTTTACCACCGAAATTGAATTCATCATACCAAACGAGATAATCCCAGTACTCTTTGATTTCCAAATCCAAGAAATGGAAAAGTGGCTTCTCCTTGATCGACTTTAGGATATATTGGCTGTAAGCGTAGGCGTTGCCCACTTCGCCCTTGTTAGTCTGAAGCAATAAACGACTTGGACTGGCGAAGATGATCTGAGATCCCACTCGTCGGAAATCGGTCATTAATTGCTGAAATGCCTTCTTTGACATCATTTGGACATGGTGATGCAGTGACCGGTCATAGAGGAAGGAGTCCGAGCTTTCAACCCATCGAATCAAATGTTGGACCATGATATCTGCCATTCCTTTTCCTTGGCACGCCTCTGCCCACCAGGACCTTACCAAGTCACGTAAGACAAGAATGCCAGCAGAAGCGAAAGCTGTATCAGAATATAACACGCCTGTTCCGTCAGACGCCCCTGAATCGTTTGGTGCAACAGGGTTCAGCAAAGTAGATTCACTCCCTTCAAGTTCGTTGACGAGGGATGACGTGAGAATAGTATTAATCGCGAGGTTCCGGACTTCGACTTCAATACAGACGGAGGAGTAGGCCCCTGGATTGTTCCTTGAGGGCATGTCCACTTTATGTATCGGTCCAAGGATATCGTCCTTTTCATAACCAGCATGGTCCGGAAGTGGAGACGGAGACCACCACAGAACTATATTGTTTTGTTCCAGTCGTCTGGCATACGCGATATCGATCAAATATTTGGGATCATCCTTTTCTAAGTTACAGATTGGAACGTCCCCATATCGGGCGAGCTCGCCAAGATGGTATAGCCATGAACCCAGAGCTAAATAGTGCATGACTATTTGCTTCACAACAAAGGATTGCCAACCAAGAGGAGGGAGATCATTGTCTGATGCCTCAGCCTTTAATGGTAAAACAGGATGTTCCTTGAGTATGGGTATCTCTTGGGACAATTGGCGCCTTTGGGGTGATTGAATGACAAGCATGATTGCCTGGTTGCTCTCATTTCGGAATTTTTTGATTATATCGCCAACCTCAAGGAGCGCTTTTCTTTTTGTTGTTACCTGCGTTGTCTTAAAATGGATACTTTCTTGGTAGTCAAATATCTGCTGCCATGATTCTCCAGCTTGGTCCTGGACTTTCTTTTGGAGAGCTTCCCTGTATATCTTATCGGCATTCGGAAACCCTTGCACATCCCTTAATCGCGAGAATATCACAATATGGGCTTCTTCTTTCCTGCTGGAGCAGAGGTTGAAAATCTGCCGATCACCGGAAATCACGTGGTAGAGGAAGATGTACTCCATAGAGGTATCTACTAGGTACTGTTGCGTTGGTTGTTCCGCCCGCAGGAGTGTCGAAAGTTCGAAGCCGTTTTCGAGACCTTCTCCCAAAACTCCCCGTTGGCTTTCATCGAATGTACAAAGCGTACCAAGCTTTAGCACAGCTCGGACACTGAGAGGAATTTTCTTCTCATAGACCCCTTCGACACTGGGATGGTTTAGGAGGAGGGAGATCTTGTCCGCTTCTTTCAAATAGGTATCCTCGGGCATCGTCATTTTGAAGAGATGAACAGATGGGTGACCGTTGGGCAATGAGTGATTAACCTTTTGCACAGAACACCCAGCCAAATCAACATCAGGAAGGTCCTCACATTTTAGATTAATGAAGATTTGCCGCGGAACTTTGATTGTAAGCGCATGTATCTTGTGGTCAATGAGTACAAACATCCGGACTTCACCCGGAATATCCGTTTCCTTGAGTTGTAATATTTGCCATGTTTTAACATAGATGAGTTCTGCCTGGTTCCGGAAGAAGTTACCGATTGCATTTGACGTCGTGCTTGTCCTCTCACCGAAGAGCTTCCGCCGGCGGATTCGAGCCTGTTTTTGGATTTTCCATTTTTGTTTCTGATACTTCAGCCAGTCTTCATAGTCTTCAGTCATGGGTGGCATTGTCGCTGGGAGGCTTGCGAATGGGTCCAACTGGCTTGTAGAGTTATCAGGCCCTTTTCGTTTCTGTGAGCTCTTATTTACTGAATTGAGCTTTTGTTTATGCACTGATTGCGATACCATATCTTCCATATCTCCGCTAGACGGTAAGCGATGGTCCATAATATTTGTCGGTAGATCTGATAAGGGTATTTTCTCAAACAGGTCAGTCAATTTCTTTTGCTTAAATTTGTCGTCTTTAATATTGATTCGCTGCTGGAGCCAGTCTGGGTGAGGAACTCGTGGGACTGGATTTCGGACTTTTTGAAGAGCGGCCGGAATGGTGATAAGCTTCTGAATTACAGATCCCAACCGTTCAAGATAGTAGTCCCAGTCAATGAGTGTCCGGGGGTCCATATCTCCAGGGTCGTCTTTTAGCCATTTCCTTAAGAAGAACCGTTTGACGTTGTATTCAGCGGAAAAGATAGCGACAGGAATTGCTCGCTCGGTAATTGGGAAGTTCCTTGGCTTAGCAGATATAATATATTTGCAGTTCAGACCTTTGTCTTTCACCATCTGGTCCCCCAAGAATTCTGCTAGTCGTTTTGCGGTTGTGATGGAAGTTGACTTCTGATTTCCATATTCCTCCAGAGTTTTGGACATACTTCTGTTCTCACAAATTAAGTCGATGAGTTCCTCGTCCGCCAATGTAGTTCCGTGTAGGTGTAGGACATCAAGCCATCTATTAGCAACTTCAGCTACAGCTGCGTATGTTTCAGCGAGTGTTGTGCCTTCTAGGAAGAACTTGAAGATTTGTGTTTGGAATATCTTAATCAACTTCAACTCGCCCCTTCGCTTCACCTCGAAACCCTTGAGCTCAGCAAGAGAGCCATCATGATTGAAAACAGCATATCTTTTCTTAAGATTCTTGTCTTCTTCTTTTGATGTTGGGAGGATCATAGCCCTGTAAGGACCATCTACCTCGAAAAATATGGTGTTGTCGCTATGGGTCTCGTATCTGAAGGTTTTCGGATCGACAAGCGTTTGATACTGGTGATTGGTAAATCGTGCATGAACCAGATGGTTGAGCATGACACAAGGGTATGATATCGGCAGCTTCTTCCCATTTTTTAGGTTGAAGGCGAAATTTTCAGGAAATGTTGCTGGAAGCATGCACCAAATACCATCGGTATCGAGTTCCAACGGACGGCCAATCCGTTCTACCAGCTCCCGCGCCATTTGAATGATATGAGCTCCAGTAAGACATGTCACACCAGCCATTTCCATTGAGTACCAACGTGACCCCTTTCGCATGACATATCCGTAAAAGCTGTTCAAAATAACTTTATGAGCCAGCTGGAGGGAATCAAAAAGGATGATCATTTTTTTGGCCTCGTCAACTTCCACTGACGGAGCTCCAGCAGCTTTTAGCGCATCAGCTTTGCCTTTCCAGACCTTTTGCTGGCCCTTGAAGTCATATCTCCGATCTCTAAAGTTCCGCACTGTATCAACGTAAAACGGATTCTCTCGCTGGCAGATAATGGCTTCCCGCTGTATTGTTTTGCTATCGTGGATTTTGTGATATATCTTTTTACTGTAATCTTGCAATCGCTTTTTCACAATTGCGGCCTGCTCGCTTGTGCTCAATTCGTCAAACATCCTCATGGGGCTCTTTGGTGTCTTGCCAGGGAATTTCTCGTTGGCCACCGCACGTCGAATCATGTTGTATTCATCTCGTTTTGCGGGCAGAAATTCACCTCTCCAAGACCATGGTAGACGTCTATCACACGTTTTCCCTGGTCTATTAAAATCACACACCGCACAGTCAGATTCCTGGATCATAGAATCGGGTTGAAGTCGGTTGGTAGTCATGATGTTAGGATACATAGAAGCGACATCCAAATGGTATATCGTTGGTCTCTCGTTCCTATTGGGAGTCTCCTTCAAATTGAGTAGTTTGGCTGCTATCTGAGCTTTAATTTTGTCATAATTGGTAACATCCTCCAGAGACTTCTTCTCCTCCACAGTAATACTAAATTTAAGAGCAGAGTCAAGATCGCTAAGCAACTCATCAATTGCGGCAGTCTCAATGGTGAAATTGACTGGAATATCGTTCCTGAAAACGCCAGCCTCGATACTTTCCACGTGTCCACCAACATAGGTTTGAGAATCCAAGAGGTGGCCATTCCAGAACGATTCTGATGGGTCTGTATGTTTGTTTGGCAGGATAATATTTCCCCGGTATGCCTCAACCATGAGTAACATTTCACACAATGTTCCGGTGCCCTTACGGAGAACGTCGTTGGGATTTAGAGGGATAATCGTACAAAGGGAGAAAATAAAGGGGTGGATGTATTTCATGTATAGGTAATACGTGGCCACTGCATCGGAAACTGAGTATTCTGCTAAAGTCTGAGGGCGTTCACTTGCGTATCTCGTCATGACTTCTGGATCAAGCTCGTCTGGGTCATAGCCCAGTTTGGCCACAGTAACGGCTTTCAGACCTCGACTTCCTTGGGGCAGGTAACTGTCCCGATTAACCCATGAGAAGCAATCCATATGAACGCAATAGTTGCTCTCATAAATATCGTCACTGTTTTTCCGAAAGCCAATTTCAGAATACATGTCAATTCCCTGGATGCTTGCTCTAGCTTCGACAAATGGCCAGTCGAAGAAGTCACCGTTGTAGGTCGCAATAACGGTAGGCTTTACTTCTTTAATATGAGCAAAGAAGCGCTCGATGGTACTTTTTTCATCTGGCTCATTAAAGATGGTGAATGGACCTTCGTACTCCGGTTTTGGCGTGTACTCGAAATCAGCAATATCTTCAGACACAATTTCTCGATTCGTTATGAGATACCCTTGGCCATCAATCATGTACGATATCATCATTATTTGGTCAATAACCGCGTCGGGGAACTTAAGTGGAAGCTTGGTTGTCTCAATATCGTAAGCCAGAACGACTGGATCCGCTCGTTTGAGTCGGTCTTCAATACAACTTAAGGAAATAATTCCGTTCTTCGACTGTACCGTATACCATTTCCCAATACGAATATCTAACGATTCATGTAAGATAAATTCAATGAAGCAAAATGAGAAAGGAGAACGCCCAATATATATACCTTTATCAATAGAAACCCGCACATGATAAGGAACATCATATTCTCGAATATCAACGATAAACTCGCCAGCATCCATAAATGCATTATGGGGTCTATCATTAACTTCTTCGTCAAAAAGATCGAATCCAACATTTGCGCTACAAGCATCCAGTTAGCGAAATGGACAGACACTCGGAGTTGGACGTGGAATAACGAACCTAGCCATCTCCGTATATGTGTCCATCGCATTCACATTCTTCTTATTTTTCTGCGCAATTGGCAATATCGATCTTCGAACCTCAAGCAAGTGGCCAACGTTGGCAAAACTTAGCTTTAGAAACATCCTTTTGTAGCCCAGGAGATGATTCGGCATCTGTAGGTCTTCCTTCTCAACCTGCTTCACACTTTTCACCAGACCTTCAAACATTCTTTTGCACCACTCTTCTACTTCCCCTTCATGCCCTCTCTTTGTCGCAATGAGGAAATACGGATCGTATTCTACTGTAGCCTTGAAACTGGTGCCATTGTCCTCCAAAAAATAATACTCCACACCAGCCCGTCCTCCAGGGACCTTAGGGTCCTCTAATATAGTGCTGTGCATGTTGATAAGCCACCCGACCCTTGACTTTCCGGATTCAAATCGCGGGAAACCCATTGCCTCGTCGATGCTGTTCGCCAGCCTAACCGCCTTGAATTTCTCATCTTGTGACGTCGCTTCAGTAGATCTGAGATTAGAGGACTCGACTGTTTTCGTATGCTTGGGGTTGAACAATACTGAGTTTGATCTAAATTTAGTACCATACTTGCTGGGTTTTCGTAAAGGCATTTCTGTAATGTTCAATCGCTCGTCTATCGTTGGAAAAGTGGTAATGAAACGATCCTGTACTCCAAGTGCCTAAATTCGGAGGCAGAAAACGACACATTTATAACGCCATTAAAAATGATGGAAAAAATGGACAGTCGTAATATGATAACGAAAGAAAAGGCATTAGGATTCCGTGGTATTAGTCGTGTGATTGCCAGGGAGGATGCGTTGGGCCTTCTCAGTGGCTTTGTTTGATATTAGATATGAAAATGATGCAAGCAACTTAATCCTCGAAAGTCGCGTTTTCGCGTAGTTTATTCTTCTTTCCAACCGCGCCAAAGATTCGCAGTACCTGGCACCGGATAAACTATCTCCTTTGGGACTAATTAATAGCCTATGCCAAGACCGTAGGAACTAATCGCCGTGCCGAGGAACGTCCAGAACATTGGCAAGCAATTTTGCTGGAGGAACTTACGGGCAACGATCGATCGAATGTACATGGCAGGTCGCCATGGCGGAAGACTCGCGGGATACACAGTCTCGGACAGGGGAAGCAGCCTCCAAAATCCCTCAAGAATATGCCCCTAACAAGAAACCAAAACATGAATTTCCCAAGTCGCAGGTGGGAAAGCTTTGGGAGGAGTTTGGAAACCCTAAAGAGCCAATCAATCTAATTCCTGGAGCCTACAATTCTGGAGGGAAGCCGAAAGACGTGTCATTTACAGATACCTTCAAGTCACTATCTCTAGATAATATACTATCGTTTTATAAGGTGCCGTGTGCACGCGACTCCCTCCTCGTTGGAATTGGTGCCGGTTTTGGTGCAGGGAGTCTCAAGGCAGTCTATGGTGGTAGGTGACCCATAATCCCGTCAATAGAATAAAAATGGGGTTAGACATACGAACATCCGCTAACTGGAGGTATGATGTAGGGTTCCGTGCGATATGGCCTGCCTGCAATTGGGCTGTGGGAACGTTCGCTATCGCCTCCATAGGAATGTTCGAATTTTGCCAGCGCCGCAGAGTTCAGGAACGAAATGGGATGAAAGAGGCAGTGGAACTCATGCGGGAACTTAAGATTAAGAAACAACAGGAACGGGAGCGCGCAAAGGCAGAGACAGAGGCGGTTGCGGCTGCGGAAGAAGCACGACGGCGGAAAAGTTGGACAAACTGGTTGAACTATAAGTTCTGGTAGTCATCATGGCGCTGGCTGGACAAGTGGATGCACCCCGATTGTTGCGAATGTCGAAGTGAATGATAACTGTTTATCTTGTTTTGTATAAACCATAGCATATGGCCCTCATATTGTAGAATAGAACACGTATATATGACCCTCGTAACAAAGGAATAACGAATTTAAAATTCTCCTTCTTCTCGTTTCCAAAGCCGCTTGCGGTTGACGTTGTATTGTTGCAACACTCCATGTCATCCATATCTCAAGCCTTAATCCTCCGTAGCTATGTCAAATCTGACCCTTTTGCAGCTATGAGCAGAACTCTTCGCATGCTGATCAACGGTAATCCCATCCCGTCTTGATTTCCGCCTCTCCCTCGCTTCCCTTGCCTCACGGCTTTTCCATTCTGCCACTTGTTTCTCCCTTCTTTGCGACCTCTCCCAGGCGACCGCTGCCGTGGGCTTGAAACCGATTCCATTGATCCCGTACCCATCGTCATTCGGATCCGTTGGCGCATATCCTGTGATTTCCGAGTCATGCCAGGTAAGCGGATTCTCCTCCACATTGCTGGAGAGAGGAGGGGATTTTCGGCGAGACTTGTGTTTTGAATGTGGGATAGTTTTAGGGTTGCACTTTGAATCCAAAGCTGGGCTTGTAGAGGTCGAGCCTCTTCCTACGAATGCACGGGTTTTGGTCCCTCCGTCGTTATTAATAATCGAGGCTACAAGACTTGACGACTCTAGATTTATTTCGCCTGGTGCAAATGGGCCTTCATCCACCCTATCTGCCACCTTCTTGTCCTGTGTTAAATCTAGGATTGTGTGTTCAAGACCATGACTAGAAGTCAAATGTAAGTCAAGCTCGTCCAGCTCTGCAGCTACAGAGATCGGGGGACTGTTCCCGATGTCGGGGCTATGATCATCAGCAAGGTCCCTCACACTGGTGGCTGTTGTTTTAGACGAAGAAGGAAACGTCGAAACAGTCCTTCGTTGGTAGTCTGTCTCATCGCATTTGCGCTTGGGTGACTTGTGGAGAGTCAGCTTTCCGGTCATTATTGTCGTGGGGCATTGGATACGATGAAGCAGTATCATGAACTTCGCGGTCAACAAGTAGTGCGGTTCACAGGGAGTAAAAGCATGGTGAACAACCACCAGATTAAAAGAGGTTATAAATATAATCAGCTATTGCAGTTGAAGGTTAGGAAATTTGGAGATGATGCGGTGAGGGGGTAAGAAGCGATGTCTGTCAGTTGTGATAGACCAAAATATACGAAGGAAAATCGCGTTTAGCTGTAACCCTCATTGCATCACTATCGTCCTCATATTTTTATACGAACAAAACTCATAAAATGGGAAATTATTTGAGACAAAAACTAGCCACCAAAATCAAGAAAATCGAGTGAGTACAATAGAGGAAATCAAAGAAAGAAGAAAAAAAAATAGAATATATCGAACATATTAAGCATCCATACAACGCCCCCCAAAGATATGACCCAGACCAAAATGGAATACAAAGATCACGCTTTCGACTTTTTCTTGGAGGATCCCGCTTCACTATCCCGCTTTCTCTTCTTCTTTGGAGTCTCCACCTCTGCCGCAGAATCAGATTTTCTAGACTTCTTATACTTTTTGTCTTTCATGTCCTTCTTCGCTTTTTTCCCCTCCTTCTCCTTCTTTTCCTTCTTCTCCTTTTTGCTCTTCTTTTCCTTCTTTTCCGCCGCTTCACCCGCGTCTTGCATCTCCACGTCACTATCCGCTCCATCAACCTCAATGTCTGCCAAGACAGAGTCCATCGCATTTTTCTGCAAGTAAAATATTAGCATACGCAACGGTTAACATCAGAAACGTACATACCATTGCAACCTCATTCTTCGTTGGCGCAGCTCCAGTAGCGTAAAATTCAAGCCGTTCCTCAACTTGCTGTTTCAGCGCATTACCAAACTTGGTGGATGGAGTTTCAGAGAAGTTATCAATTCTGGATGCGATTGAACACTTGTTTGCTAAGAATCGGGAGATTCTGCCCTTGTTCTTGGGTCCGGCCCGACCGATGAAAGATGAATGGTAAAGCAATCCATACTTGGGTGTGTTTCCTTTGGTCTTTAAAGCTCTGAAAAGAGCCTTTTCCGCACCGAGAATCTGGACAGTGGAAGCAGGGTATTTGGAGAGATTGGTCAAGCTTCCCGCATGCGAAATCAACCGCGCACCAACAATTTCGCCAATTAGTGCTGCCAAATTGGGCGCCACTACGCTCATCTTCGAGACCAAGTAAGCGTGGAGGTTTTTGCGGTAAGTCGATAAGCTCACAACGCGCTCCGCAAAAGCAAGCACATTCTCCATGTCGGTGGGGGAGATATCTTGACCCATACTGTGCTTGGCTGCATCAATAATGCTCCTGGCGATACCCTCATCATCGTCAACAATCGCCGCCAGATCATGCAGTTTATCGTCCGTCAGATCCTTCCTACTCTTAACAAACAGTAATACGCGGGCGTAGCGCTGGTTGTCAGACACAATTCTGATAAGTTCGGGGAAATGCCATGAGTACCACTCTCTTGCTCTCATCGAAAAGGTGTTGATTGCCTTATCTAGTTGGTCGAGGATAGCGATGGCCTGAATGATGTGGTTGTCATCGCGCTGCACTGAGAACTTGACCTTGGCTCGTGAGTACGCATGACCAAGACCTAGCTGGGCAGTATTGAGATCGCCTTCACGAAGTTGTTTAAGAAGTTTGCCTGCATGCGTTCGAATGCCTCGTAGCATATCCTGAACAACGTCACTTGTATCTCCGGTTTCGCAGTCCACGAACGGGAATGCCGCCTTGATGCTTCCAGCGAGCGCTTTATCCGAGACACCCAACACGACCTTTTTCTTCTTGTTGGGCTTTGGCAAGTTCAGATCCAAAAATGAGACAAGGGTCTCCGAGGCAACTCCTTCAGAAATGTCATTGATTTCTCCAAGAGCCTGCTTGTTGTTTCTTTAGAGAAGTGTAAGCGCAAGTTTTCAAAAATGACCCAAAGATCCTCCAAAAGGCACTAGAAGACATACTCAAAAGGTAGGAAACTTGTCAACTCAACCATCTTTCCGAATTTTGAAAGGTCCTTCAAATTCTCCTGTACTTCCTTCAATCTGTTCCCGACTGTATCGGCTTGATGAACAACTTTAAAAAGCGAGTAGCCCATTGGGCCCTCGAAAAGGAGGTAATCGGCCATCGAAACGGAATAATCGCAAACGTAGTTAGCAGATGAAGTTAACTTCTACCCATTAAAGTAATATAGATGTGAGAAGCGATAGAGGCCGATGGGGCCCAATGCGATGAATGTTGCGGATGGTGTTGGTAATGGAAGGTGATAAATTTTTGGGTACAGCTCGATTATTTTTTTCGTCGGTGGTCGCACTAGCGCGGAACTTCAATGTGGGATTTCCTAAAAGCTGGACTGGCCAAAGCAGCATTTTGCTGGTAGAATACCCCTATCTAACATCTCCAACATCAAAACACTATCAACATTACCGCATTGCTATTAGTTCTTGTCGTTTTCAAGGGATACCACTCCTCATAATTCCCCTTCTTTAGGCACTATGTCTGCGGCACAGCTGCTAAATCCAAAGGCGGAATCACGAGTAAGACACCCGTGAACTTCCATGTCCCACACAATGAGATATAGCTGGCTGACTCATTTTAGCGGAGAGGGGAAGCTCTAAGAGTCAATATCAGCGCCGGTGAGGGTCTCCAAGACGTGCTCAAATCGAACCTGGGTCCATCAGGGACTTTAAAAATGTATGTTGTGTTTCCTGAGCTCTGTTGATATCCCACTAACAGGTGGATATAGGCTGGTTGATGGCGCGGGTGCGGTACGTATGCTTGGGGTTTGGCGTTTGTTCTCCCAGTGCTCGTACATAGCTCATAAATTGGTGGAATAGATCAAACTTACGAAGGATGGGAATGTACTTCTTCGAGAGATGGTTAGTATCTGCGCCCCTTGTTTGTGCATCGTTTGGCTAACTGACGAAATACAGCAAATTCAAAATCCCACTGCCGTAAGACATAAAAACCCCGCAGGCCATCTCTTCTATTACTTATACGGCTTTTTTGATAGGTTATGATTGCGCGTGCGGCTACGGCACAAGACGATATTACTGGAGATGGAACAACATCAGTGGTTCTTCTAGTTGGCGAGTTGCTTAAACAGGCGGACCGACATTTATCTGAAGGACTACACCCTCGAGTGTTGACTGACGGGTACGAAATCGCTAAAACTGAGGCGCTCAAGGTATGGCCCTTTCTTATGCGCACACATTCCTACGAATTCTGACATCTACTGTAGTTTCTTGACTCGTTCAAACTTCATAGAGACATCGATAGAGAACTTCTTCTCTCAGTTGCGCGAACTTCGCTTTCCACGAAATTGAACAGTGCTCTGGCTGAGAAGTTAACCCCTGATATTGTCGATGCGGTTCTTGCCATTCACAGACCTCTCAACAAGCCTGATCTTCATATGGTTGAAATCATGAAAATGCAACATCGAACCGCCTCTGATACTCAGCTTATTCGCGGTCTAGCCTTGGATCATGGGGCGCGTCATCCGGATATGCCGAAACGTGTCGAGAATGCCTATATTTTGACATTAAACGTCAGTCTGGAATATGAAAAGTCTGAGATCAACTCTGGTTTCTACTACTCCAGTGCTGAGCAGAGAGATAAGTTGGTTGAAAGTGAACGGAAATTTGTGGATGCGAAGCTGCGCAAGATTGTCCAGCTGAAGAAGCAAGTTTGCGGTGATGATCCAAAGAAAGGATTCGTCGTTATCAACCAGAAAGGTATCGATCCTTTGAGTTTGGATGTACTTGTCAAGAACGGAATACTTGCATTACGCAGAGCAAAGCGTCGAAATATGGAACGCCTGCAGTTGGTATGTGGCGGTACCGCACAGAACAGCGTCGACGATCTGAAGCCAGAAGATCTGGGATGGGCAGGTCTAGTGTACGAACAGCAACTTGGCGAAGAAAAGTTCACATTTATCGAGGAGGTTAAGGACCCAAAATCCGTTACTATTCTCATCAAAGGACCGAACCAACACACCATTACGCAGATTACTGAAGCCGTTCGTGACGGCCTTCGTTCAGTATATAACACAATCGTTGATGGCTGTGTTGTCCCAGGAGCCGCCGCGTTCCAAGTCGCATGCGCTTCTCATCTGTCTTCCGAAACGTTCAAGAAAACAGTCAAAGGCAAAGCCAAGTATGGCGTTGATGCCTTCGCCAACGCCCTTCTCATTATCCCCAAAACCCTGGCGGCGAACTCTGGTCACGACATTCAAGACTCTCTAGCTGCGTTGCAGGACGAGCAAAGCGAAGGGCATATCGTTGGACTTAACCTGACGACGGGGCAGCCCATGGATCCAGTCCAGGAAGGTGTATTTGATTCATTCAGAGTCCTAAGGAACTGTGTTGCCTCTAGTGCTGGCATTGCGTCAAACTTACTGCTCTGCGATGAACTCCTCAAAGCAAGACAAATGGGAAGGCAGGGCGGCCCGGCTGGAATGGATGAGTGATATGTGAAGAAGGACCGGAAATAGGTGTATGATATTTACCGTACTTGAATAGTGATACTCACCGAATGCCGACTTTGTGCTTATTTGAACCGGGAGAGTAATGCAATAAACGAAAGGGTGGGTTTTTTTTCATACTTAAAATAGCACATTGGACTTCTTCAAATGGAGTGATCAATTCTACGTGACAATTACCTTGTGTCAACAGAGCTCAAAATCAGAAAAATTTACGGGACATTTTAACGACGGGATTTTAAACAAAGGATTATTCATGTACACGGGTATCAAAATTGGGTATATTCCATAACTAGTCCTGACCAACGAACCTTTCATAAACGCCGTCTATCCCCTGCCATGCTATTATACATGTAAAATATTATAAAGCTTTAATCCCCTTCTTCCGCCTCCTGAACTTCCTCTTCAGGAGCCCATTCGCCCAGGAACCCTTCTTCTACAACGGGGTCCCTAAGATTAACCCTATGAGTCTTAGCCCACTCCAAAACACTCTGTTTTCTCACCACGGCAGCTTCAACATCACATTCCACAACTCCAGACGATGACGACAGGGCCCTTTTGCGCTTCTTGGCCGGTTTATCCGGCTCCACGATCCCCATATCTTTCAAGGCAGTAATGACATCTTCAACCAGCATCCCGATCGACTGACCAATTTCCTGAACTGTCATTTCCTCCCTGACAGGTTTCTTCTTTGCTGCCTTTGCGCCAGCTGTCGACCTCGATGAGGATGGGGTCCTCCAGCCGTAAGGGTCAGCTCCAGGGGGTCCAAGAAGGAAGAATCTAGCAATTCTCTCCTCCCAGAACCTTAAATAGCTCCTTCTTCCCATCTCACTAAGCGGTCGTTCTGGACCGCCAATGACACCCCCTTCCCACTCCCAGGCACTCAACTTGTAACTGATCCCCATGAGCATTTTGCCCAATTGTTTATGTTGGTATGGCGGGAAGATGAGAATACAGGCAAGGTTATTGGAATCCCAAGACATTTTCTCCTTTGAAAAATACCCGAGGACATAATAATCGTTTTGATCTCGCGGATTGGTAAAGACAAGGATATAATAGAGGAAAGACGTGACATCGAAGAAGACGGATTTATGGTCCAGGAAGAGTTTTGCAAACAGTGATAGGTTCTGCGTATAGAGTTTCCAGTCTTCGCCGTCTATTTCCCACACCGAATAACCCCGCCAATCGTAAACCTTTGTGCCTGGTGGGGTGGATCTGTGCTCGCAAACGCGGACGTGACCCAGATACGTCTCTTCATTGCAAGAGTAGCGGAAGCACCATCGACAGACATACAATCTGTCTGTGTCCTTGCCAACCAGCTCCTCTGGATAGAGTGAGTGGAACCAGGTCTTGAAAAGGATATTGCCCAGTACCACACTTTTGACGTTGCGGTCAGGGCCTGGTTTCGGAGAGTGGGCAGAAGAGGGATGATCATTCGAAGACATGATGACATGGGACTTTGGTCTATTTTTTAGTAGCGATAATGCGATTGGGGACGGGAAGCCCAGGAAGGAGTGAAATAATATTGTTGATTATAAAATGGGTGCAATCAATGGGGTGCAGACCCGGAGAAATAACGTAGGTAAATTCATTCCCAGCGTTTCGCCGAAGTCTTTTTTCCTTTTGCCATCCTGTGATGTGATTGCGGCGCTCGACGATAAAAGACGCTAAATCTTGGCTGTCACGTGTATCCCAGGCAGCCGCATCGGTGGGATATCATGTGATGTACTGATGAGGAATAGCGCGGCGTGGGGTTAGCGCAGCTTTGGTTCACGTAATTAGCGTCTACTGCGGATGGCGTACGTACATACTGCCTCGTTCATTTCCCCGGCACAGCCTGCACCACTCAGTTCGACAACTTAACTGTGCTGCCTGGAAGGTTGATGGCTTGCTGAAACCCTTAGATATCAAAATAGCTGCTCTGTCATATCCTTCCCAGGAAGACTACATTTTCAACAGACTGCTCTTTTCTTTTGGCTAGACCCATTCTTAAACCCCCCTCTTCCTGTCTGTCCTCTTGACTTTTGCTCGTTCCTCTTTGCTGTGCGTACTGTACAGGTGGTGGTGTCTGGTTCTTGTGATAGTTAGCAAACAGAGAGATAACGATCTTGAACTATCCCATCCATCCAAGTTACTTTGCTTTGCTTTTCTTCGCTTTGTTTTGCCTTTCTTTGCTCTCTGTTTGTGTTGCTTTGATGTAAACGGCCCATGATGCTGAAGCCCTTCCTCATCAGGGATCTGCTGGATCAGCCGGTGGAAAATGAGCAAAGCAGCCCCAATTCGATAATTAGTCCTCCTCTCAATGACAGACCAGCGATGTCTTATGAGCGGACTGATGTTCCGGCACCCCATATTGGCCCTATCATGGTTGGTGATTCGGTTCGGCCGTATTCGAACCACGGTATTTCTTCACTCCCATCTGATGAGATTAATGGCGGAGTAAAGTCAGAGGTTGATAACGATGGCGGACCCAGCGAAGCAAGAAGCAAGAAATCAGCTAATGATTCAGTTCCTTCAATGCGAAACAAACATCGTCATGGTATTGTTCGGGTTTCAGCTGAGGAATACGATGAAACAATTGCAGCTCATCCGCAGGCAAAGTTGTCTTATATGGATGAAGATGACGGGGACATAATTACTGTAAGCCAACCCGAACCGCTCTTTTCTACTATTACCTTTAAATATTATATTTGCTCTTTGCTCATCATTATTTTTGTAATAGGTCGGTTCATCTCTCGAACTTACGCAGCGACTGAGTGAGCCTGCTTCTCCGAATGTTCGCCACCGGGGTTTTGTTTCTTCCAATGCTTGGGAAGTTGAACCAATGCATATATTTGATGTTAATCGGTCGAAATCAATTTTGGATATATGGAGAAGTTTCGAGAGAAGGACCTCAATGGGAAGTCGTCCGTTGGAGACTTCAACCACAGGCGTAACCACCACCGAAGAGAACACCCAACCTAAACCCGTTTTTGAGAAAGGCAATGATGATCACAGAGAGCGTTGGTTCCAACTATGCAATCCTCCTCAAGTTCACACGTCTATAAGGGCTCTGGGTGAAAAAGCATCGAGTGAGCATGGCAACTCGGTGTTTACAACCCAGCCATCTGAACTGTGTGCATCAGGAAACATTGAACCACCGCAAGCGATGTCGTCTACCAGCATAACCGAAGAGGGTAAACAACAGGTATTCTGAGCTCCTATCCATTTAATAGATATGTTAATCAATCTAACGTAACCGCTAGGCACAAAAAGCTGGATCCAGGCTCAGTCGTGCGAGAAACGTAACGATTGATGCCCACCCATCCATCCCAGCAATACCTCTAACAGCAGAAAACCCCTGGGCATCCTTTACAACTTATCCATCAGGCTTCGGGCCCCAAGATCTGACCCAAAGAGAGCCTGAAAGTCGGGAATCTCCCATCAAAAATAGCCAGCCGCTTCTAGCTTCCTTGGAGGCTGAATTAGCAAAGATTATGGAGAATAAACGAGTTGGGGATTCGTCAAACACAGAAATACAGGAACAAAAAACCTTGGAGAACGATCCTCCACACCTCCAACAGTCATCCAATTCAGAGCAGAAACCAGAGATTTCATCTCAACACATCCCAAAGCCTGCCGAAATGTTGTCCCAATCCATGCACGCGTTGCTTGGAGGTGTTCGCCATCTAACTTCGGAATTGAGGTCTAAACTTCCCGAAATTGAACGCCGATTATCCAACGCGCACCAGCAAATTCCCTCAACAGTACAGACTACTATTTTTAGCACCATCAGTGCTATTGGCACCTATATACACAGTCTTGCAAATGCAATGCAAGACACGGTTGCTTCATCCAGAGTTACTGCTGATAGGTTGGTGGAGGCTGATGTTTTGGCAGCTGAGCAAATTGTGAATGGCCTGCGCTCTCTCGCAAGCGATATTGGAGAGATGGGGAGAACCCTGTTTGCTACCTTTGAAACAATGTCCAGAGGCCTAGGATCATCTCAGGCACAACCCAACGGGGAACCTCCTAACCACGGAGATATCCCCGATCAATCCAACCCTGAAGAACCTGTATCCCAATCCACTGCCTCTCAAAATGTCTCAGTCAACATAGAGTCGTTACCAGGGATTCCGAATTCTCATGAGGCATCCCTAGAGAGCGAAAGTCAAGCTGCAACTCTAAGGGAGAAACAGCTTGCGAACAGTCAGATCAATACTCTCTTTGTTGGAAATGTCTCTTCTGCAGCTGCTGAAAAGGATATACAAGATGCTTTTGCAAAAAAAGGCTTCTTAGGTAAGGTCAATCTGCCGAAAGATTCCGCAACTGGAACACATGCTGGCTTTGGCTATATCGAGTTCCCTTGTTCCTTTGCCGCATCTGCCGCCCTCCATGCTCTTAACGGGGATCTTATATTTGACCAGGCTATCAATCTTGAGTTCAGTCACGTATCAATGGTTGACAGCACTATTAACAGCGCTGAACGACTATCCGTCGGTATTGGACGCGCTTCTACTATTGTCCCAGCCGAAGGAAATAACCCCCAAAGGAGCTTAGTCAACGGACGCATCCCATTAACTGGCTCTGGCGATGCTAGAGACCCACTTCGCGATTCCTCAGATATTCGGCGTACCAGATCACTTGGAGTCCTTCGTCGATCCCAGGTGCACGATCCTCTTCGCCACGGAACCCGCGGCATGGCTAAAATCAAGGAAATGTCAGAAGATCTGGATCAATCAAATAACGAAGCCGATGGTTTGCGTAATCGATCTTCTTGGGAACCAGAACGAAGACGACCCAGTTCTTTGTATTCTTCCGCTACTGTTGCCAATCTACTGACGGATCAAGATGATGTGGAACCGGAGTTTTCGGCTCGTTATCCATCTCTGATATCTGATGCACATACGCGTGAGAGACGATCCCACCTTCTCCCTCATCAAACGCAAGGTCTTCCTCGAAATCTCAGCCCAGCGTCACAAATGGCACGGTTTCCCAGCATTTCACAACTAGAAGCACGTACCTCCAAAGCACAATCCCAACAAGTAGATCAAATGGCAGGTAGAAATCCTCCAACGCCTGTGGATGTTAGGCCATTTCCTGCAAACCGTTTCCCCGAGGTTTCTACCAACAATAGACAGAAGACTACATATCCAGCAACCCCTCCGATTTCAGGCATCAGGCTTCCCGGTTCGTGGCCGCCCGAGTACCATAGCGCACAACCTGTAGGGCTTCACACCTCGTCACCGGCGGCAACCGGTGAACTCTTCCGGTCAAACACAACCATTGCGTCCAATCCCGCGGCAAGGCTTTCGGGACCATTCGTTCCATTCGGCAAGCCCCACCGGCGACGTGAACGTTCCGGCCTTCGACGCAGTGCTTCTGAAAGCCAACATCGTCGCCCACTAGGAGGTTTCTTCGACAGACATCGCAGCAGATTCGAAGAACGGCCTGCCATTTACAGCCAATCCATTCTCCCAGGAATCCCAGCGGAAAGCCTGTCCAGTCTTCCAGGCAGTTTCCCCACTGAAAGTCCTCCGGTTATTCCTCCAAAGCCGATCCATCAGTATTCGAATATCCAGCCGGAAATGCAGGAGCAAAGACCGAGGAATGATGGCCCAGCTAGTTATCAAATTGAGCGGTGTATCCGACACCTTGCGCTCCTAGGTTATGGTCGTAACCAAAATCACCCTTCACATAATTTGAAGATATATGCAGAAGCCGCAGGCGGTGTGCTAGATGATGCAATTGAAATGATTGAGGAGGAACAGAAAGCGTTTGAACAACGGGGTGTATCTCAATGATCGAGACTGAAATCACGCCCGAACTTTCTCTGTTGTATTATTTCAAATTGGTATTGACGTCTTAAAGGGCGAGTCGATTCGTAGGAATATGTATCCAATTTTGGTTCAACTAGCAATTGTAGCTCTCCGTTCCATAAATTCATTCCATTTTACCTATACCAGTTCAGATTCACCTGTTCCCATCTTCTCGTTAAAATGTAACGTATTCCACCGCCTAGTCGATCGGTTTCTCTGACGCGTACACGTCCAGAGATATCCACACGAAACACCAAGATGTTCTCCAAGCTTTCAGTCAGGAAGAAAGTTTCTTTAGCTACTCAAGCATTAGAGAAAGGTCAAATCTCAAGCATTAAGAAAGCTGTGAGCTTGTATGACATTCTCTTCATCACTAGAATTTATTGATTGTACAACATGAGAGAATTCTATACTTAAGAATTAAAACAATCCGAAGGCTTCGCCTTTCGTAACAATCCTGATTTCAAGGAAGTTCTTGATTGCGTTGAGCATTCCTGTAACTGTGCAGCGTGAGTTACAGCGGCATATGAAGTAACGGGTGATCTGACTTAAGTAGCGTCGTTGGTACGAAGAAACATCGTATGCAAAAGCTCATCTCGTCGGTCCGGTGTCTTTAGCTCTCCGTTCGTCATCGATATTCTGCTTGTACTCCAAATAAAGGGTCCATATCCTTGGTTAAATGAGCTTATCTCAATGTGGAATATACGATAGGCGCAATATGATGTCATTCAAAGGTTGCTGACCAGGGTTATCCTAACCATATGCATAGAAGTGAAATGGAGCGGCTGTCATCATTATCACTGCCATTTCTGCAACTCTCCCCACGCGACTCGCGAAAATGATGAAGCAATCCTGGGAAGCCATCGGCCCGGGGCCAAAATGAAACCCCACTTTCATACACGCCCTGATGTGCTGACGACAAAAAGCCCTGTTTTGCCTAAGTTTTAGACAATAGAGCTGCGTTGAACAAAGTTACCTGCTTGGAGGCTTGCAGGCCCACCTGTCCATCTTTTCTTAAAGCAGCCAATGTTTCACAGAAAATACAATATCCTCCCTGTTGGTAAGATTGTTCAATGGGACATCAGAGACTTATATAAACTTGCTGAACGATCATTATTGTTCATATCCTGACTGAAGGAAACATATTTCAAATCAGATAGGAATCTTCTAGCATAAAGAATTCTTTTTCTGAATTTGGCAGTGGTGGCATCTTCGACGAGGTCGTTAACAGACTGGCACTCGGCATCTTCTCCGACTACATGTCGGACATAGAAACTTGAGTCGGTCATCGCTGTATTCAAACGGGGGGATGTTGGTGAAGGAGTAAGCTCGGAAGTCAACATCAGTTACTGCCCCCAAAGAACCTATTGATGATATCACCCCTGCTCTTGAAGCACCCGATTCGCCCAGAAACCCTGAGTTTGGGGTTTCGCTGGTATTCACCCCGACGAAGTTTTCCCCATTGATATTCAGAAACCGGATAGCTACGATGTCCCAGCGGATATCGGTCCAGAAGGAATCTGTCAATTTTTAGCTTCAATATCTGCCCACGTCCCTTGGACGGTTTCGCGCCTTTCGCAGAGGTGACTTTGGGAAATGGTCCAGAGGTCCACAATTTCATGACGGTGCAACTGAACATTATGAGGATAATGCGCACAGAGCACGGAACTCTTCCAGAACAACAGCCCCTAAATTCCACAAATCGGTAGATGGGTCCCGCCCCGATCACCATATCTGGTGGCTGGCGACAACACAGCGGGATCATTGCAGCAAGTAAATAAGACATATTCCCTTTTGCAAGCAGCCAGGCCGCAGCAAACTCGTTTAGAATGGTCTGAGAAAAAAATGTGAGTTCCCAAAGGACTTTGTGATGCATGTAACAGCAATTTGCTTTCCAGCAGCAGTAGTTTCTGCTGTTCGGAATGTTATGTCATCATTCTGGTACCCGTCATTGGAAATCTCCAACGAGAATAAAATATATAATCGGGGTAAAGGGGGTTCCTTATTCTCTTCTATCTCTGCACGTGTAGCGCACCTTATGATAGCAAAAACAGGGATTCAGCGGGCAACGAGATATTCTTTAGGGATACTTGCTTTCGCCTTCTCTGGAATCTGCAACGCGAGGTTGTCTACCAGGTCTTGCGCACTATAAAGATACTGCAGGCTAGTTGTATCGATCTCAAGTAGTTTACCGTTTACACACTCGAAGCGCGAGTGTCTATCCAGTAACCAGTTACGCGAATGCGTTTCGTCAGAAAAGAGTGAAATGAAAATGCTTCTGTAGTCATTAAATATCTCAATTCAAGTGGCGTTCAACAACATTGCTGAAATTGACAACCCAGAGATGCTGCTTCAATGACATCATTTCAATAGTATCTTGATAGCATGAAGACATCAGTCTTTTGATAGTGTCTTGATAATGTGAAGATGTAGTCTGAATATCATAAGATTTTAGAATATAGCCCTTTATAGAGATTAAATTTCAAGAAAAATAAGAATATAAATAATCATCTATAAAGATGTAAATTCTATCATATAATTATCATATTTTAGAAATTAATAATAGTGATAGAATGCATCAGTGCAGGTAGTATAGTGTTGAAGTCATTAATTATAATAAAATTAAAAATTCATCTAGTAAATTAATATACATATTTTAATCTGTTTGATAATTATATTATTATCATATTTAACACTGACTTTAATAATGATAAGATTAAATTTAAATGAGTATCTGCTCATGTAGATATTCTGAGAAATAAAAAGATAGATTTAGTAGCAAAGATTGAAACTGAAACTCAAAAAGTAACTCAAAGAATTATATCTTAATCATATATTAAAAGAAATATTAAAGAATCATGTCTTGATAAATGAATAAAAATCTAAAAAAAAGAGAAAAAAAGCACTCAGTATGCAAGATATGAAATGAAATCAAAGTGAAAATCTATATCAACAAAATGTAGAAAGAAAATATTTTCCTCTATAATATAATTGAAACTTAGACATAACTACTTTAAATCATATATGAAAAGATTTACAGATTCTTTGAACTTTAGTAAATATAATTTCTGTGATATAGTTGAAAGTTCAGATTATATGCTGATGAATTGTCTATTAAACAATAAGATAAGAAAAAAATTAAAAGAAAAACACTTAATTAATCAATTAAATATGATCTTTCTATTTAATACTGAATTAGAAAAAAAGTTTTTAATTGTAATTATTATTATTATTATTCTTTATTTAAGATGTATTCAGTCAGTAACTATAATATCTATTTTGTTAAAATTAGAATTTAACTATTTTATTAATTTAACTAATAAATAACAATTAATTCATATACTTATAAAGTTTTATTATAAAATAATATAGTATTTAATAACCTTTTAACAAAAGACACATTTATAGTTTCAAATTTAATCTAGTCTCTTTTTTAACTTAAATAAAATAAGTAACAAAACAAAATAAAATAAAATAAAATAAAATAAAAACAATAAACTTAATATAAAAAAAATCTTCATAAAAGTATTTTTGAAAATATTTTCAGTATTTTTATAGATTAAATATTAAATTTATTTGATATTAAATTTATTTGATATTAAATTTTATTCTCTAGAGACAATTTTTATTTTCTCTATAAACTTAATTAAAAACTCTCTTTTTAATTCAGTATTAAATAGAAAGATTATATTTAATTAATTAAATGTTTTTCTTTTAATTTCTTTCTTATTTTATTGTTTAATAGATAATCATCAGCATATAATCTGAACTTTCAACTAT